TGACGTGAACTTGAGCGTGGGATGAATTTGGTTTAGAGTTTGGACGAGGTCACCGGCTTGGTCTTCGTTACCGTTAAATATTATTAAGACGTCGTCCCTGTATCTCATGTAACTCACAATTGAAGGATTGTGTGGGAGAATAATTTCTTGTTCATATTTGAACAGGGTTATATCGCATATTTCTGGACTGCATTCGCTTCCCATAGCCACGCCAATTTTCTGTCTGAAGAACTTTCCATTGAATTCAAATATGTTTCGATGCATGATAAGTTCCAGGAGACAGCGAGCGTGTTCTCTTGTAGGTTTGGGTATTGCGTACAGACTGTTATCGGCAACTTCAAGTGCATCGCAGACTGATTCAATTGCCTCATCTTGTGGGCAATTCGTATACATGGACACAATATCCAATGTTATCAATAGGCTATCCTGCTTCAATGTCACGTTGTTTAGTTTTTCAAGCACATGCCCGGAATCGCGTGTATATGTGCTTTGTTGTTTGAAAATCGGAAGCAGAAAATAGTCTATGTATTTTGAAATTGCCTTGATTGAGTCGGACCTCCGCAACCACTAATAATAGGCCTCCCCACAAACCGCGTTTCTTTGGGTGATTCTTTTAATTTGTGAACTTTCGGTAAGAGGTAGAGGCAAGGAGTTTTGATCTCGTGGTTGTCATGGTTGAGAAACTCAAATGTTTTTTTGGATATATCTACACGGGTGGTGTATAATGTGCAAATGGATCCGAAAGCGGGCAAACAATGCACGCCTACATGCACTGAAGTAAAATGGATGCGTGTACTGTAAAATTATGGCGCTGCAATAGCGCGTTATAACGCGATAAATTACGGCGTTATAACGCGATAATAGCGCGTTATAACGCGATAATAGCGCGTTATAACGCGATAAATTAGGGCGTTATAACGCGATAATAGCGCGTTATAACGCGATAAATTAGGGCGTTATAACGCGGTAAATTAGGGCGTTATAACGCTATATAGCGCGTTATATCGCGATAATAGCGCGTTATAATGCGATAATAGCGCGTTATAACGCGATAATACGGCGTTATAACGCGATAATTTATGGCGTTATAACGCCGTAATAAATAAAAAAATGTATTCTTGGCGGAAATCAGCCACCGTAGCAATCTATAGTAACCAAAAAAGTAATATAGTAACCAAAAAAGTAATATAGATATATAAAAACTACATGCATGCCATGTGCAGCTAATGTAGCTATGACGCGATAATAGCGCGTTATAACGCGATAAATTAGGGCGTTATAACGCGGTAAATTAGGGCGTTATAACGCTATATAGCGCGTTATATCGCGATAATAGCGCGTTATAATGCGATAATAGCGCGTTATATCGCGATAATACGGCGTTATAACGCGATAATTTATGGCGTTATAACGCCGTAATAAATAAAAAAAATGTATTCTTGGCGGAAATCAGCCACCGTACATTTTACTTCAGTGCATGTAGGCATTCATTGTTTGCCCGCTTTCGGATCCATTTCTCAACCATGACAACCACGAGATCAAAACTCCTTGCCTCTACCTCTTACCGAAAGTTCACAAAGAAGCACCCAAAGAAACGCGGTTTGTGGGGAGGCCTATTATTAGCATGTGCTTGAAAAACTAAACAACGTGACATTGAAGCAGGATAGCCTATTGATCACATTGGATATTGTGTCCATGTATACGAATTGCCCACAAGATGAGGCAATTGAATCAGTCTGCGATGCACTTGAAGTTGCCGATAACAGTCTGTACGCAATACCCAAACCTACAAGAGAACACGCTCGCTGTCTCCTGGAACTTATCATGCATCGAAACATATTTGAATTCAATGGAAAGTTCTTCAGACAGAAAATTGGCGTGGCTATGGGAAGCGAATGCAGTCCAGAAATATGCGATATAACCCTGTTCAAATATGAACAAGAAATTATTCTCCCACACAATCCTTCAATTGTGAGTTACATGAGATACAGGGACGACGTCTTAATAATATTTAACGGTAACGAAGACCAAACCGGTGACCTCGTCCAAACTCTAAACCAAATTCATCCCACGCTCAAGTTCACGTCAGAGATTTCAAACAGTCAAGTCACCTTCCTCGACCTCGTCATCTACAAATGCGAACGGTTCAAAAAAGAAGGGAAACTGGATACTCGAGTAGCAACCAAAAAAACTGATACCTTTCAGTATCTTGCTCGAGATTCAGCCCACCCTGAGTCAGTGTTTGGCGGTTTGATTAAGGGAGAAATAATGAGATATGACCGTATATGCACACACTCAAAAGAATTTGAGGAGAAGGTTGAATTCTTCAAAGACAAACTACAAAAACGCGGATACAACCAAGAAGATTTAGCCCTTCTTCCCCAAAAAGGCGAAACTCGCGTGAACTCTAAAAAGCGTGTAAAAACCGAAAAGAATATCCCGCTGGTCTTTGTTTTACCCTACAACCCACAAATTAAACACCCAGCTCTTAAGCAGGCCCTTCTGAAACACTGGAATCTGATCAGCGATAATGATTTTCTCAAAGCACTCTTTGCGACCCAACCCATCCTGGCATACAAACGACAAAAAAAACATAAAAGATGGCCTGGTCCGAGCAAGAAATAACCCATCTCCACCATCCAACCAAGAAAAAAACTTGGATGAGGAGAACGTTCAAATCCTTTTGGAACTTCTTGAAGAACAGAACTAACATAATGGTCATTTAGGCATGGATTTCGAAATAAAAATAAAAAATAAGGAATCCACTTAGTCTGATCATTACAAGAAAAGCTAACGCGTAAAATATTCTTTACCATCATTAGCAATAAAGAAAAACAGGTGGGACGGCATATTATCACCGGTATAAATCAAAACATTAAGTGAACTAGAAACAAAAACCACATGTACACAAACCAGTCACTGCGTCGCCTAAACACCGGATGAGTTTTTTTTTTTAACTCCCGCTCTCCGGTTATCACCAATCTAATGGGCCCGCTATGTGTTGACAAGTTATAACCCACCCATCACCGCAACCCAGCAGTGGAACTGATTTTACTCCCTATATGCGTATTGAATTTCCACAAAAGGGAAAAAAACCTTAACAAATACGCTCTAGGCAGTTTAGTCATATAACTACACAGGTATTCATACCAGTGCTTGTAAGTCTTAAATAAACGAAAATCTTCCCTAGCTGGTTGCAAACACAATGTTTTCAAAAAAAGATTCATCAGCTCGCAGAGCCCCTCGTACTCCAATGTTATCATACATCCCATAAAAAGAAAAGAATGAGGAACGGCCCTGCTGATGCTGATAGCAAATCCCATCCCCCTCCCATGTTTTAAACCCTAATTCACGGCGGCAACTTTCTTGGAATGACCTTGGAACTTTCCAACAAGTTATTAATATCAACAGATTATTCCCTGAATTTTGCTTGCACAAAACCGGTTCTTCCTTGCTATTTTACTAGCCAGAAAACCACTTCTTTTTAAGAAAACACAAGTCTGATAAAAACTTAAATGCATGGTGGCGGCCAAACTCCATTCCATTTAACTTAAAATGTAGTGGCGACATGTATGATTACGCCCCTTCCTACTAAACTCAAAATACGAGGTTCCCGTTTCAAAATCACTTATACAGTACAATGTAAGGACGATAATAGCGCGTTATAACGCGATAAATTAGGGCGTTATAACGCGATAAATTAGGGCGTTATAACGCGATAAATTAGGGCGTTATAACGCGATAAATTAGGGCGTTATAACGCGATAAATTAGGGCGTTATAACGCGATATACTAGGGCGTTATAACGCGATAAATTAGGGCGTTATAACGCGATAAATTAGGGCGTTATAACGCGATAAATTAGCGCGTTATAACGCGATAATAGCGCGTTATAACGCGATAATACGACGTTATAACGCGATAAATTAGGGCGTTATAACGCGATAAATTAGGGCGTTATAACGCGATAAATTAGGGCGTTATAACGCGATAAATTAGCGCGTTATAACGCGATAATAGCGCGTTATAACGCGATAATACGGCGTTGTAACGCGATAAAATTATTTATCGCGTTATAACGCCGTAATAAAAAAAAAATGTATTCTTGGCGGAAATCAGCCACCGTACATTGTCGTTTTTGTTTTTGTTGTATTAATTTTTGTCTTAAACGGTGTTAAACGAATTTCGAATACATGGTCATGTATATCACAGTCAATTATGGGACGCAATCTCAAATCAGTGCAATGTGTTTTCTGGAGTTATCGTCTCCACAAAGAGTGCTTTATTTTTGTTCCATTAAAATTGACTCGGAATTCGGATTGAATTTTTCGCGATTAGTACACTGTATTTCCTTACATTATATTAAATTTATTCTTGAATGGTTCCCGTCGATTTTCAAAAGATTTGTGTCCTATACCCCAAACAATTATTGAACGAAATTTCAATTCAGTGCACTGTGTTGTTCTTGAGTTTTCGTCTCCACAAAGTCCATCACTTGTGCCAACTTCGTTTTGGCAGATCGTATCCACTTTGACAGAAGTCTTTGCGGTGTGTATGTGGTGACCAGTATTTGTGTAGCGCGCCCTCTGTTGAAAGAATTTGATGTTGGTAAAATGATTTTGCATATCCGACGTCCTTGCGATGCGCAGGGTGACCGTTTCAGCCGATTTTCGGCTAACTTTGACAGATTTTTTGTTTAAAAAAATGAGTTTGACAGAATGGATTTTTTGGCAGATTTCTGGCAGAATTCTACAAAAATGGGAACTGGATTTCGTCGCGATGCAACCGCGTTTTGCCTGAAATTTACGCAATAATTTCATAACATATTTATGTGACAGGCCCTATACATGGTTTATCATGTAATTTGAACCTTATTAAGGCAATACTACAACATCAGCATGTGATTTTAAGTGTCTATAGTGTATTTCGAGTAATTATGGGGAGTTTGGCAGATTTTTGATCAATCTGAGAGATATTTGAAGCACATTTAGCAGAATTTAGTCATGACATTACGGTCACCATGCATAGTCATTGCGACGCAACATCTGATACCGGCCGGCAGCCACGCACGTGGGCTGTGTTGTGGGTGAATTTTCCGTAAAGCCAAGGTAGGATAGGACTAATACTATAGTCCCTTAATTGAATTAATTATGAATTTATTAATTACGTTTGACCATGGTTTGACTGTAAGTTCTTTCTGAATGATAAGTAAGCCTATTGTGGGAATGGGGATACGATTTTCGAAGGTGGTTGCTGGATAGTGGATGCAATTTGTGCAGGTGTTGTGCCCATTCTTGAAAATCACGCATTCTCGAGAATGGGCATGCACATTCTTGAGAATGTGCAACTGGATCCTTGCTCAATCTTGGCAAAAAATAACTCTTCCAGATTGAGCGCACATTCTTGAGAATGCGCGACAAGATAACGGTCTTGTCGATGCCGAGCACCGGCTGCGCTTGGCAAGTCTAGCTAAATCCTCGTTCACTGATTCTCAATAATTATACTGTTGCAACGCAAGGCGCTGAAAAGTAGAGTGGATATGATAAGTAAAGGCGTATCTTGATATGGGGGGGGGGGACCGGGAAAATATAAGAGACATAATAATACTAGTGCAAAGAATTCTGATTTTTGGGATAATAAAAGCGGGGGGGGGGGGGGGGGGGGGGGACGTAAGAATGAAGAATGTGAAGAATGAGAATGAATACTGCGACATCCCATAGTGCTAATGCTATTTCCCATTTAAATTGCCACCAATTTATTGTTCACATCCCACCATAACGTCGCAGAGCTGGATTCTATCTAGTCAAAAGAGTAATTTTGGCAGCTTCTGGACATCGGGTTTTTTTCGTGGCACGCATATGATACATGCAGGGACTTGTAACTTGTCTAGCCTAAATAAAGCACTTCCCAGACTAGTTCCCAGTCCTCCGTTATTACAAAACTTCCCATAGTGGACAGAAAAAAGCAATAATAACAGGTTTAATTTGATTCAAATTATCGTAGTTATACGAGTACAGAAGCATAGCACATTTTCTTTCCTCTTTATATGAATTGTTTCCCTTTTAACCGCTATACAATTCATTTAACATAATTATGTCGTGCAATGTTTGTTAAGATTGGGCAAAATTCATAAATTGTGCACGTGATATTCCCACCCAATCTTAAGAATGAGCGCTCATTCTTAAGAACGCGTACTCGTTCTTAAGAATGGGCGCTCATTCTTAAGAATGCGCGCCCATTCTCGAGAATGTGCATGCCCATTCTCGAGAATGCGTGATTTTCAAGAATGGGCACAACACAGGCATGGAGGTAGAGGTAGTTTCCTACCTCCATGGTGCAGGTGAACCCGGTGTCACGGTCTCACTTCTCCGGCGTGCTAGCTTCTCCGGGTTGATTCGGCGGATAATTGAGCACGTTACAGTGCACGTTACATGAGCACGATTCATGCTCATGTGTCCGCTGTGCTTACTTTTCCTCGGGCTGTTTTCTGAAGTCTACCAAGCCCATTAATAACACAGTGAGGGATACCCAAGAATGTATTATGTAACACTTCCTGTGGGTCAAGTCATTCCATGGTCTTGCAAGCATTCTGATTTGTGTTCCCAGCGTCATGCATGTGTGTGTTCATGGAGGAATAATTAAGAACGAACTCCTTGGTCCGTGTTCCTTGCTCGTTCGTGGTCCATTTTGTCCTGATTTTTGCAACCACGGCTTAAAATAAATGTGCATTTTCAACTCTTTAATATTGGGAGTTAATAGTGCGCGCCACGAAAATTCTATGCATACAAATATCTTAAAGGGAAAATACAACATTGGCAAACATCGAAAAATAAAACTACTAAGTTTTTACAATTTACCTTACTAGGATGTTGGTAAATGACAGTCTAAAGCATCCTGTAAAATTATGGCACCTGGTTTGAAGTCATTTTCAAGAAAATGGTATTTTTGTATACATTTCCAACAATGGTCGGCCGACCACCGTTGGAAAAACCTAACTATTTTCAACTAATGCTCCAATTTACCATTGTTTTCAGTCCAAATTTGGTTTGCTATTGGTTATACATGTTCATGAACGGGTGCAGGCCAGCTAGACTGGTTCCCTTACCTTACAATTTTCCGGCATCAATACATTGATCCATTTCATCTTTAGTGGAGTCAGGGAACCAGACTACTTGCACATTTTTGTTTTTCTTGTTTTTTCCAGCATTTTCAAACAAAAAACTTCAAACATGTCAGTGTAACAATATTTGATCTATTATATTAAACCCTCAAAATAGTTCATTTCTGAAAATTACAGCAAAAGCCAATGATGTACATTCCCGTTAAGATCTAACGTACACAAACTTGTACAGCTCCGAAGAACTCCGCACACTAATACAGTGACGAAAATGTACACTACTGCGCAATTTTGTGCATGCGTGTTGAAGCGAAATTTCCCTTTTGGAGAAGCTAGCACATTGGAGAAGTGAGACCGTGACACCGGCATTTGCCCGGTAACACGAGCACTACAGCATGTACAGTCGAGTCTAGTCACTAGTCTAGTCAGTGCTGTTGTTGTGCGCTTTCTTGTGATTTGCGCAATCTTAATATCTGCCATGCTCTCTGTTAATTTGGTGAGTTTAGCCTTCAAGTTGGCTGGCTCTTCCTATGGAGGTCGCTGGTGTTGAAACGGGAAACGAGTCATGGGCCCTCTCACTCAAGGATGTTATTATTATTATTATTTTATTCATGCCAATTCTTTTTCATCGCATACAAGATGGGCATAGGAGAGGCATAGGAGAGGCAAAAGCGATAACAATCACTGTGGCCAAAGACCTGCCACTCCTTATCAAGTTGTGTACAGAGTAAATAAATATAAATAAAAATACTAATATAAAAAGTATTTGAAGCCAAACGTTAGAACTAAAAATATTTAAATATACAAAGAAAAGGAATTACTGGAAATGAATAAAGATAATGTACGCAATTGAATATGAACTTTAAAATAAGTTACATGAATAAGCAATTAATGATAAAGACACATTAAATAAGGACATAATAAACACAAATTAACACATGTGTAAGAGAACAGTAGGTAAGTGTACAATAAATGTAATGCACATCTAAAGGGTGATTGGCAAACAGGAGGCTGAAATAGTACTTAAAATGAGAAGAGACCTGCTGCTCCTCATCGAGGTATGAGTAAAGTAAATAAATAAATAAATAAATATAAATAAGAATATATAAAAATAAAAATATTGGGACATGTGAACATTTCGATATAAAAGAAATAAAAAGAAATGACTCACTAGAAATGAATAAAAGTGGAAATAAAAGTGGAAAGGGGTAAAAATGATGTAGGAAATTGAATGAATTAAGTAAATAAGGAGTTAGCAATAAAGACACAATAAATACAAAAAACACATGTGTAAGAGAAGAGGCGTATATAAATATATACAACAAATCTGATAAAAAGTAATTGATAATTGGCAGAGAGGAGGCTCAATTATTAATCTTACTTAAAAGAACATGTACATGCAACATAAATATGGGGTTGGGATTTATGAAAGAGAACACTGTTTCGAAGAGTGGGAAGAAACGTTGATGTTGTCAAATGACTTGGAGTCGAGTATCATTTGGATGAGTGCTTGAGTATCCGTTCTGTCTGGACATGATGTGGCTGTCTAGGGACTTCTGGTTGAAGTCAAATCCAAATCATCATACGGATTGGACAGTAACTGTCCAGTGCCGATGATCTTGCTGTGCCTATTTATTGTAGCGGACGGACGTAAGCTTCCCACGACTTACATGTACATTTTCTGGAAAAGAACAGGGTACTGGGAGTGGGAGTTATAACATATAAAAATTAAATAGATAAAACATACAAAATACAATATTAAAACATGTAAAATTAGATAGATAAACAACAATATTATTTATTTTATGTCAGTAATGAATGGATAATTAATCCAAATCAAACCACAAACCATTGCCTACCTTTGTAGGTTCTGTTCAGCATCTCCATCTGCATGATCTGGAGGTCCATCGCAATATTCCGGCCAGCGCATCCAGATGGATTGCAGTCCCATTCCAGACCAGTGTTTTCGCAATTCTGTCAGAGAAGGCCCCATTATTTACTCTCATGAGTAATCGGTGAGCCAGTGCCATATTTGTTGTGAGTTGTGAGTTCCCGTGAGGAACGTAACCAGATCTACCTTCCAGTGCACGATCATTCTGTTGCCGTCGTTGTGGCGAATTGCGTCTCTTCGAACGAGGAAGTCAAGGCCTTGGAAAATCACACTCTTATTGTACTCGCACACGTGGTCGACTGTTGCTTGTTTGATTGTCTTTGCCTATGAGATAAATTTTAAAAAACGATATTATCTAGAGATCCATTTTGTTGGCTCTTTAAAAAAATATTAAACATGAATGTCAATATAGATCGCATTTTAGGTTTTATTTACCTCTTTTTACAACTTTTCTTCTTCTTATGTGAAGATGCTCGGCGACAATTGGTGGAACAATACCACTTGCTCTTTGGGACTCTGTCCTCAGGAATTCCTACACACTGTAGATGAAACCAGGATCCTTCCTGGCAATTTGTATTGTCACAGCAGATCATTGCAGTGTCTGTAAAATAATCAGCATGGTTAATTAATTACATAATGAATTGGATTTGTAAAAAAAATAAGAAGTAGGTGTGCTAAAGAATATTTCAATTCTGATTCAATGTACTTTATTGTCAAATGTAATTACATGTATTCCAATGAATCTCAAAGGGGAAACTGAATAATTTATACTAAAACATTTTTTTTGCTTGAAGTTGAGTTTTGAATCTTACCATCTACGTAGTCTTTGCAAACACAGTAGGGGGAGTGGAGGATGTTTGCTGCCTGGCTGGGCAGGAACACATCGTTGACTATTCGACGGGATAGGGACATTACTTACTCGAGTTGGTCTTCTTTTGAGGAAGGGATGTCCAGAGGCTGTTGAATATGTTGCGATCCCAGCAGATGAAGGGCGTACGCTGCAATAAATCCGTGAGTGGCGAATTCCAAAAACTCGGCGTTGAAATTATAACTGTTTTGACCGTTGCAGTTACACTGTGATGACCAAACACATTTCCGAGGTGGAACAATGTCACCTTATCTTTGCCACTGGATGAGCTGTATAGCTGGTTGTAAATGTCCTATGATAAAAAAAAATATCAAAATTACATTGAAATAATTATTTTGAGTTGCAAAATCACAAGTTTAGGAGATTGTTTTTTATAAATACATAGATTTATCAATAAGTTACCTGTAAAATGATGACCTGCTTGTGCCACTCCTGCACACACGGTTCCAAACCCTGAGTTGGCTCCGTTCAGTCGCCCCATTTGATGCGAGCATTTTGTGCATCCTTGACTCTCTCGCAGCTCAGCCCGTCTCCGTGGAGGAATCAGGGTGCCTGGCCCATCACGCTCGTTGTGTGGCACATACTTGTGCAGAGTGTCCAGAATTTCGATCCTCTCGTCATTTTTACTTTCATCCTTCTCGATTACTCCGAGGGGTACCTGAATGATTGAAAGTTGGAAACGAAGAATACCCTTATTTTTATGTATATATTTAGAAGTATATAAACGTTGCTATTCCATTTTATAACCAACCATCAGCAGGTTAAATACGAATTTAAATTGTTGGTATTACCTAAAAGTTTGCACGTGACCATGTGGCTTTGTTTGGATGACTCCTCGCTATATTGATGTGAGATATCCCACTCGTGCTTGAGGTGCTGTAGAGGGGTGAGTTCCTGGCAAATGATTGACCATGTTATGATCACCATTTCATCTCTCAGCATGCTCTCTTCTTGTGAACTCGGTAGGATGAGTGAAACGGGAATACGTCTGATGGTGTCACTGTCGGGGTTGTCATTTCAAAGGTTGGTGGTGGATGTCCTGTCCTTGCTCGCATATATTTGGGTGAGACTGAGCTGCTGGTCTTGGTGCTGTTTGGGTTGGTGGCGAGCTGTGATGAAATGGTTCACATTGTCAAAACATCGCTAGTATCCCAGGGGTTCTATGAAGACAATTGAAAATGAAAAATATTCACAATTATTCATGATCTCTGCTGACTTCCATGCACCTTATTTTTCACAGCCTCATCAAGTTCTTGTCATGCATGCCCTTTTCTGTTCAAAAGTCTCCTCCGTCGAATCTTGACAAGACATCTTTCCAACCTTGGACTTTCTCGTCATGATGCTGTGTAATGCTGTCGATTGCTTTTCTCGCTCTCGTTACACCAATGCACCAGCTCAAGTGGATAAAGCGAGTAAAAACCTGTAAAGATACAGAGTGAAAACCTGTAAATATATATGGTTGAAATTTCATAATTATTCAATTAAGTGACTTTGTCATCGTTCGTCCATCCCTCCGTGTCCGATCGAGCCGTCAGTCAGTCCATATTGATTGATTGATCGATTGATTGTGTTACTTTTAGCAATTCTAATTTATAAAAATAAATCGCGCATATGTTTGACCGTTCTTTTGCAACCCGCCATCCACATTGGATGCCATTTAGGGTCTGCAACTGGCAGCACTTGTGTGGTCTACGGAAGTCGCGGAGTATGCTGGCAATGGTTCCAACCATGGCTGTTCTCTTCTTCTGTGTTTTCTTCTTCGTCTTCATGACAGATCCTTGCAGAGCAGCAAGGAGAGCCGGACATTCTGTTTTTGGGTCATGCGCAATCTCCTCAAAAATTATATTCTTTCAGGTTGGAAAGATTAAGGCTGGTGTCACACAACGCAGAACATTTCATGGTTAATCCCAAAAAATACAACGTCCTAAGACAGTCACTCCAGAAAGCACTTGGCTACTCTAATGCACAAATGACAAACAACTTCTAGGTCAGAAACATTACTGTGACGAAATTCTACGATACATCCACATTTAGGGACTAAGTTATATTATAAATATTTACCCTAAATTAATATCTGGAGTCTGCGTTCTAAACTTGCAGCGGCTTCTTCTGGACTCCTGGTTGTTGTCAAACTTCTCTTGGTTTGGTAGATGATATTTATTTACAGGCGTATATACAAAAACTAGTGTGTCCTTCCACGGGAACAGTCACTGTAAGGAGCAAACCCTACCTAATGGTTCCTATTCCCGTATCCGGACACATATGGCATAAAAACGGCGACTGGAACTGTAGAGTAGACGACTATAATACTGCTAAGTCTCTACACAGCGAAGGAGTGGGTGGTGAAAGCATGTGCTCCTGGTTTATATACCGACGCGTAGAATGGAATGCCCTGCCCTGCCCAGTCCAAAGAACTGAACACAATGGGCAATAGAACACAAAAATGTCTTGGCCACTACGGCAGAACTCAGAACAAAAAAGGACTTAACTGACTTTTTATTTCTTCGGCCAGGACTGCACATAATATATACAGCTGCTGTAGGAATTTCACTACACACATATGCAACATTAACATCTAATTGTTTTGTCACGCCTCCATTATAACTCTAATCTATTCTGCTTAGCCACACCTCCTTGATATTGTAGATATTGCGCATGTGCGGGAGAGGGGAGCGTCGATGGTTGGCTGGACACAGTGTTGCCCTCATCACCTGAAGGCGTTGCGGACCTGCGACGAACCCGGCGGGGCCCGGGCCCTTAAATTGCATGGTGAACGGTCCGGCCTTGCAGGGCACCAGCAACACTGCATGTTCGGCGGATCATTGGCGCTCCCCCCACTCCTGCCTCCATGCTTTACCGAACTGCCACTGCTTAGTTTTTTTTGGCATTTCTTTCCTTTTTGTCTCTCGCAGATCTCACGAAGTGTCTTTGTTTGTCCTTTCGTACGTCATTTTTTTTGCTGATTAGCCTACTGTTCTGTAACGCAGAAGTATTGCTTATGGCACAAAGGGCACTAGGTTGCCGAACGTGCCATTACATCACATCAACAACAACAACGCAGAACCACCTTCATTTAAAACAAACTGGAAAGTGTTGTGGACGTCATCTCTGATTAGTCGCAAAAAATCAGACTTTGCTCTATTTCTGCTGCTGATAAGTTCTCTAAAGCCAGAATAATATCTAGACCTTTGAATAGGCCTCACAGCTTTTGTCTTGGCAGACATTCAACGAGAAGTCTGTAGTGATCTAAATGATAAACACATTGAATAATTAAACACTGCATAATTATTCAATACGAGCCAATAGGATTTCATTAGCTTTTAAACTTCGTGCTTTATTTAAAACATTTGAATTAAATTAAAAACGCATTTAAATTCCACGGTGTCTTAGTCCTCAACATGGCCACCATCTCGTTTAATGCACAGCTGGGCTCGGCGCAGCATTCCTGCAACAGCACGGCGAATCACCTCCCTGTCTTGTCTGAGAATGTCAATTTCACGAGTTATCCTTTCCTGGAGGTCATCCAGATTTGCCTACTGAAACTCTTGCAAGCGAGATCCACAAATCTGAACTGATTATGCATTCCATGACCAGAACCAAGACAATGGTTGTGTTCTTTTAAATTGTCTCATTCTTATCTAGCCCTGACCAGTTGGCGCAAGTCAGATTTCACCCGACCCCTTTAATTGTCTCCTGTGCAGTCATGCATGAAACTAATCCAGTAAAATTGACACCAAAAGAAGCAGGAAGAGTTACTCTAAAAGTACATATGAAAATATCTTATCTATATTGCTACAGAATAAAACTATGGCCAATTTTAAAAGTGTATAGTTGGTTTTTTTTACTCACACTGTATAGTAAATACAGATAAAGTCCAGTATGTCTGAGGCGATTATCATGTACGATACATTCAAGGACCTCATCATGTTCTTACATTGCCAAAACATGGAGCTTTTGGGAAAGACTTGCATATCTGGCCATTACTAATTCCCTTCAGTGACCTATCAGCCATCAGAAAGAATAGGCTATGTCATAAAAGGTCAAATTTGGCAGGGAAATTATTGGAGTATTTACTGAGAAAACACTTACAAATTTTCAGACCAGTCTCAGGGGGTTTGTGCACAGGATGACAAGTGATGGCCAGATATGGGAATCTTTCCAGCTTTCGTTATAGACGTTAAAACTGGAGAACCATCATAAATTTGTTGTGTACTACAAAACCTCTGTCAAGTAGTAACTGTAAATATAAATAATGGAGAAAAATATTATCAAGGTGATTATAATTTATAGTACTAGTTGTATAGAATACATTTATGTTTTCCCAAAGAATATAATTTTTCCCAAAAATTTGAGAGAAAACATTACAGGATATATTTGCCTTACTTCAATCTTGCATATTCTTTAACCCTAACCACCCCAACTCCATCAAAATCCATTTTCCCATTTTGGTGGATTTTGAGGGACTTGGTCCAGGATGCCTGGCGTGACTAAATATTGATGGAGTATGATGGACTTGGGCCTGAAGGCCTGAAGCAGTGCTACGGGTATCCGATTGATTTTGCCTAGCTTCCTGTACTGCTATTGTGATAAAAGCCATGTATAGCAAGTCCATGAATGTCAACCAGTGCGTCAATGGTGGATTCCATTATGTCATATACAGTTCTGTATTGGACGCACAGTGATTGATGGATTTTGATGGACTTAGTCCAGTTCCTAGTAAAAGACGCTAGGAAGTTAGGGTTAAGCAAATATGTTTTGTAATCAAACAGTCTTTTATTTTTTACATGTGAAACATTGCAGCAGCAGATTTTCAAGCATCAGAGGCAGTATGGCACCTCCTCCAACAAAGTCTAGTTCCCCGCCCCTCAAGAGGGCCAAGCTGAGTAAAGGGGCGCTGTACAAACCACCAACAAGTGAGGAACTGAACACACTGAAGGAAACAGACAACGTATACCAGTCCAATCTGTTCCGTATGCAGGTATGTTGGTAGTCATGGTCCAACTCTGGATTTGGATTTAGTCCCCTCATATAGCCTGTTCTTGACCTATCAGCTATCAGAAAGTGATAACATGTCCTAAACAGTCCAGTTTAGCCAGGAAAATATTGAAGCATTTACTGAGAAAACACTTAGAATTTTTCAGACCAGTCTCGTAGGGTTTGTGCACAGGGTGTCGAGATGTCCAGGTATGGAACTCTTTCCGGAATTTCTATTTGATACCTCTCTAAGCAAATTTTCCTGAGGAAAGTATGCCTCAAAAAAAAACTTTCTGAACTATATGTATGTACGGTTATTGTGATGGATGTAGTTAATTTTTTGCCTTTTTCTTGTATATTATGAAACCTTGATGTATATCATTTTGTCAGATGGGAGAGTTGATTGGTGAAGTTCAAGTGAAAGAGACAAGGAAGCAGCTCATCACAAAGACACTGCAGGAGCTGAATGACGTACTGATGAATCTGCCATCCCAGGATGTAGATGAGGTAGCTTTATGTGTGCTGGGCTGTGTTTCACAAAGCATGGCCATCCTTCGTTATTTAAGTTTCAGTGGTTTGATAGTGAAACTTACATCAGCTGCTACAAAACAATTCTGAAATTTTTTGACATGGTAGGGATTGGTAGTTGTATGTGTACTACGACCCGTTGTATTTCAAGTTTGGGTGGATAAACTTGAAAGTTACATCAGCTGCTGCAAAACGATTCCAAGACACTTTGGATGTGGTAGCTGTATGTGCACTTGGACCCACCGTAATTTAAATATCAGTGGATAACATTGAAGCTTACATTGACAAGACACTTCTGATGGGTCAACTATATCATAAATACAGTATGTCCATTTTAGCGTCATTCCATTACCAACCTCATTATTATTTGTAACTCGTAATATAACAGAAGTTCTTCAAAAAGTGAATGTGGGAATAAAAGGTGGTGGTTATAGTAAAAGAAAGAGACATTGTTTTGATCCTGTGAAAAAGGTATTTGTAGCACACATGCTTTGAAGTTGAAAAAAAAAGCCTGAATGTCATTCCATTACCATGGAATTGTCAAAATTCTACTAAAACTCATAGCGTAACTCAGTAAGTAACAATTGTTTTTGTTAAAATTGAACTCTGCACTCAAAATACCTACCAGACAGCTTGACCAAGACAAGACTATACCACACTTGATCTACCTTAAAACTGACAAGATTTAGCAAGATTTTGCTGATTACAAGTTCCATTTTGCCTCATATTTTTGCACAGGTAACAGATTCAGCGTGGTGTCAGGAGGATGTCAAATGCCCAACCAGCTGGGAACGATCACAGGTCAAAGGTCAGATGTCGTTCCACAAGCCGGCCTCGGTGAAGGTGGTCGGGAGTTTCCTGCTGGACATCCTGACCCAGCCTGACCTCGGCATTGACCTGGCAGTGGAAATGCCTCAAGTAAAGAAACATCAATTATTATTTTATTGTTTTTACTAAGTCCATTCACAAGTAAAAACCCTCCAATGCAAACATACATTCTATGTCAGGTTGTCCTTGCAGTCAATATCAATCAAGTGACTGTTTTCAACAGTTAAGAGCTCCCAGTCTACATAAAACAGGATTGACTGGCTGTGACTATTTATGTAACTTGATACAGCTATGGTTTGACTGTAGGTGATTGATAAGCCAGCTGTGCCTACAACTTGCCTTTTTTGTCTGTTGACTGAATTTGACTAGTCACCGTGCATGCTTAAAATATGATATGACTGTTGGTGACTAGTGTGTGTAGAAGGTATGGAAGGAAGACCACGTATATGACCACGAAACAGAACCTGAGATCAAAAGTGTCTTATTGTGCCTTATATTTGTGCATTTGCGAAACTGTACATGTCTTGTTTCATGGTGAGGGGGTGCTATCAGAAGTCACTGACTTGAACATGTACATACTCTGAAGATATGGAGCATTTCCTAAGATCAGTTGAACAGGATGCTTCTTCTTTTTAAATTAGAAAGTATTCATAAACTTGTTTCGCTGTGTATCCCTAACATCCACCCATACAGCTAAAATAATAATTATTCTCTGAAGACGATTACTTATTTTGTTAATTTCATTGTTGACAAATGCCTTTCCCTACCTTAACTGTTGCAGGCTTGCCGACAACCCAAAGACTACCTGAACTTTCGATATCACCACAAGAGGGCGCTGTACTGTGCTTACCTGGCCAATCAGCTGAGAGGCCACAACCTCGTCGAAGAGGTCAAGTACTGCTGGAAGGATGCCAACCACATGAGACCCCTGGTAGTGCTTAAACTCGCTGGTGAGGATACTCACTTTCTTATCAGATGTCTTCTAATTTGTCTTAAATACACACACCCACTCAAGACACGTTTATTTATGGTGTAAATCGAGGATGTTCTATTGTTCCTCTTCCCTTTTCCTTTGTTTATACTCAGCAACACAGCTCATTGGTTTTGTAATCGAGGAGTCCTCGATTTGGTTTCTGTCCTCAATTCATCGATTATGTTGCACGTGTGGGTCCTCGATTTACACCATAAACAAACGCCACATGTGGAGCATCTCTCTTGTCAAGTTTGTGCTTTTGGTCGTGGGTGTCACCCTTTTATATCCATTGACCTTATTTTTTGTCTTCTGTGTTGTGAAGGAAATGAATGTGTACATTCGTTCTGCAGAAATTTGATGATGGGACACATTTGAAATCTAATTACTCTGTAAATTTGCCACTACCATTGCCCTTGGGTAGCAATGTCTGTGCTCCATGATCTCGGGATTTTTCCTGTTTTCAGGAATTCGTTTTGAAATCTGGAGTCCCTGAGTTTTTACCGTAAAAGTGTTTTTACCTATGAAAGACTTTATAGAACAAAAGAAATTGGTATTGTAAATGGTACCTTTAGGCAAACTCAAACGTATACCATACGTGTAGACTCTATTTTACTCTGGCGCCCTCCAACCCGCTGCCGATTATTTCTTGAATTTTTCATTTTCCCCAATATAGTGGTGAATCTGGTTGTTGGGGTTGGGGGAAAATTTCACTAATAAAAAAAATCTTGAACAAATCAATCAAGGGAAGGCAGAAAATGTTAAAGCTACTCCTTATTCAGCTACAGTTATAAGCGCATTCAAACAGGATTTTGCAACAGAAAATTTCTTTCGTTCCTTGACCTCACAACACCCTCAGCTGCTTGTACTTTGTTAATTCATATTATTATGAAGAAAGGGCAATTTCATTAATGATTTTTCCCGATCTACAGGCAAGACTATCAAACACGTTCAAGTGAATCTCTATCCATGCCTGCCGGAGGGCAACTTCAAGAAGTCGAGACTGCTACCCAGTAAAAGCAATATCCGCAGGCAATGGTACACAGGGAATAAGGAAGTGGAAGGTGAGTTCAAACAGTTACTTAATGTATATAATAGCCATGTATCGACTGTTGTATAATTGATATGCCAGCTGTTACGTAGTTGCCTTTTTTCCATGGTGATAGAATTTAAATAGCCACATGCTTACTGCATGTGTGATCTGACTGTTGGTGAGTAGCCTGTGTATTGGGCAAAGTAGGGGAATTTTGACTTTGTTCAGACAGAAGGAGGCTTTTTAGTTTGTAATGCTTATCCGTGTAAGCAGGGGTTAAGATGACTCATTATGTGCCTCAACGTCGGATTTCTATTTTGATGAAAATCTTCTTTTCTTCAGAGACTTTTCCATCAACACCGCATTACAACAGCTCCATTCTAGCCGATATGTCTATGGAGAGTCACCTTCACTGTCTGTACAATGCCGCCATGGATTTCCCTGGCTTCAAAGATGGCATACTGCTGCTTAAAGTCTGGCTACGTCAACGGCAACTGGATAAGGTCTGCTTCCCAGTTACGCTTGATTCTTTGAACATTTTGAAGTGGTGAAATTTAGAATTATAATAATGCAAATAAACTCAGCATTACGGTGGATATATTGTGATAGTTTTTATGGTTGAGTTGAAGGTTCTTGTTGCACAAGCTCCTTGGGTGGTATAATGTCATATTCTGTAAGATGTCCATAGCTGGAAATATTCCTCTTTCGTGGACATCAAACTACAACTTGCTCCTGAATAGCTAACAGCAACTGATGCAGCGATTTGCACTGAAGTACACGGAAGCAAAGATTGGTTTTATAATGATACCTATATTTATTGCTGCTCAACAATGGTGGCATGTTTTGCAAGTAACTGCAAACATACATGGGAACTTCGTACTCGTAGTTCAAATGAAGCAAATTTCAAAATTAGGGAAGAAAACCACAGTCCAGTGTGACTGGCTGCTGTACAGTTTCTGCTGTTGGGTGGTCCTGTTACTGTGCACATGCTATTGTGCATCAGTAGTGAATACATGGCCTTTTATTTGTGGAGTGATGTGGCCTCGAGGTCTTGAGCATTAACTTTGCGGTCTGCAGGTAATTCTGCGGGTTGTGGGTTCGAGTCCAGCCTGCCTCTACGGTGCGTGTGCCCTTGGACATTGCACTTTGTCACGTATTGTTTCTCTCCACCCAGGAGTCAATGGGTACCTGTGAGGGCAGAGATGGTTATTGTGATTGATTCTAGCTTCCTTGCGCCTAACAGGCAGCATCGAGCTGTATACTCCCAGGGAGCTGAGATGGTATTTGAAATTTTTCATTGGTCTGATGAGCAGGGGTAATAATAAGCGCCTTGTATCCTTTGGCAATTTGGCGCTCTATAAGTCCAGTTATTATTATTGTTATTATTTTGTTTTTAGGGAGGGCATGCGTTCAGTGGGTTCATCATGTCCATGCTGGTTGCATACCTTCTGTCCAAGCGAGTACTCAACAAGCTGATGAGTGGCTACCAAGTATTCAGGAATGTCGTCCACTATCTAGGTAAGCTAGAAAGTTTAATAGTTCATTCGACTAGAGCACAGGCCCAAGTCAGCCAGGGTTTATTTCACACAACTGCAATGGATCTCTCTCAAAGGATGCGATCTTCTTGGGAAATTACAACTGCGTATTCAACGCAATCAGGTGCGTGTGTGCGCAGTGTCCAAAATGATATAAACACGTGTGCGTGTTGCTCGAAATTTCAGCCGATGCACGTCATGAAAATTTGACGCCCAAAATTCCGATGCATGTGACAATCTGTAGGAATGACGTCATTTGAGAGAGACCTATGAACAGAAATTTGTTTAGTCCAGACAAGTTGTACTTAACAACATTAGTTTACTGGACAAAAAGCTGTGTGAAGTATTGGATTCATGAGCGGTTCTCAACTGCTTTTTTTCTGAACCAAAAAAAATTATCAAAATTTCTCCCAATCAGTTCTAGAGATAATAATCCTTTTTTGGAGGGGGAGGGGGTTTGATAAGGATTTACTTTCCATGTTATCGTACCAATAATAATTTTTCACGAACTATTTGATTACCAAGGAATATTCTGTTCACAAATTTCTGAAAATGAAGATATCGTCACCTTGCCCAGTTTATACATAGCATAGATCATGCTTTCATGAATAACCCTCCATTGCCCATAGGTCTTGTGATTTACTTGTTACCATGTGACTACAACTCTCCAATGTTGTAGTCGAGGTACTTGTGATGGTTCACAAGTCATAGCAAGTCATCTACAACCGAGTCGAGTCAAGTCACAAGCTGTTAAAATGAGCTTTGACAAAGGCATTCCTTTGTTATTGTTCATCCACTGTTACTTGGGACTGGACTTGTGAATTGACTTGTGACCGGACTTGTGATGCATCACAAGCACCTTGAGTACAACTGTTCTATTCTCTGTCCTCAGCTGGTTGTGACTGGACCACCGATGGCATCACTCTCTGCAGAGACACCTCAGACAAAGACCTCCCAACCATCAAGGAGTTTCATCAATACTTTGATGTTGTCTTCCTGGATTCCTCTGGTTACCTGAATCTCTGCACCAACATGACCAAGGCTACTTTCCAACAGGTAGCATGAACTTTCCGAACCCCAACCCCCAAACAACTCTCATATTAGGAACAGAAATCAAACATAAACTAACCTTCCTCAGTATTTTGGCCAGAGTCTGAGGTCGTCAACTTCAGCAGGATACAACTGTGGCATTGTTCAGTGGTGTTAGCTCCCATTCTCTGGTATCACATTTATAGTGTACTTCTTGTGTTCCTAAAAGCAAGTATCTTTGCAGCAATTGTACCCCTCAACTCAGAGATATAAGCAGATATATTATGGGTGCAGCCCATTTTTGTTTGCCAAGAAGCGGTAATAAATATTCTGTGGACATGTGTCGAATGTGCATTATAAATTTTGTCATAATTGAAATGATTACTATTGTTTTTCCGTCAAGGTTCGTCATGAGGCTAACCTTGCCAAGGTCTACCTCGATGCTCCAACTCTTGATGGATTTGATTGTCTCTTCATGACACCGGTGCCTTTTGCAAGGAAATTCGATCACATCTTTCAGTAAGTTCTTTCTGTAAAGTATGACGCAAAAAAATTACATATTCCACACGGTTTTCTACCAATTTGTAAATGTTGCCTACTGCGCAGTATGCTGCTTTCCATTACCACTTTCTGTTATAGCGATTCCTTGTAAATAGATCCTTACTTATTCCAAATTTCACACAAATCAACAATGCAGCTTGGATGATTTGAGTCAACTGAAGGAGTCCAGCAAACGCTTCAAGCAACTAGAGGACAGTCTGATGGACCATGGAGGGGACCACGTCAGGACATGTCTGCCAAGACTGATAGAATTGCTGCATCGAGGCCTAGGCAGCAGGGTCAGCATGATTGCAGTACATCTCCAGGAAGACAAACAGGTTGGAAGAAAAAATTACCTTCTCATTCAATAAAAACTTCAACTTGCAAGTACATGCCTTTAATCAAAGCAACTGAAACCACTTACAATAGATGAGTAAGTTACTACTGACTGAAAGGGATTTCGACAAAGCTCGAATTGCATGTGTGTTGTAAAATTAGAACAACCATTTCATGTACCATTTTCAAGCTGGCATTATTGTTGACAGTTACAGCTACATGTATTGACTGTGGCAGGGCAATGGCAGAAACAAGCCGTAGCTACCAAAATATCCCATTCAGACGCAGGTTATGGCTTAGTGGGAGCAGAAAGACCAGTCCGTTTCAATAACGTTAGTGTTATGGATTTCTTGTGCCTTCTGGCATAAGGCAACAACAGCATATTGAGGGTCTCAGCACTGTTTTGTACTTTTTAAAGTAGACGGTCGTACATTGTAAGCTTGCATTTCAATGATGTGATTACAATCAATGATTCAGTTTCCATGTTTCAATTTTCTGCCTGCCTGGATAGTGGAGTATTTCAGATACGCCTCCGAAGCCAGAGGACCTGGGACCTCTGACCTTTGGTCTGCTTCTCAACCCAGAGTTTGCCGGCAGCGTGTTGGAGAGAGGACCTGAGGCAAATACACCAGAGGTGAGTGGACTAATCCAATGGAGAGATCAAAGTAGGTTTTGCCCTTCACCGACGTATAAACACTGTATACTCAGTGTGTTACCTCCCGAGTGAAAGTTGGAAAAAATCACTCGGTGGGACTCGAATCCACGACCTCCTGCCTTCTAGTGCAGATGTCTTACCACTCGACCACCGAGCTAACGGGATCGGTTGGCTGGTTCGAATCTGATGTACAAAGCAGCGGGTACCGTATTAACTATTCATAAGATGGAATTTTTACGTTGGGGCAGTGTGATGTAAATAAGACTAGGCTTTGCCCTTCACCGACGTATAAACACTGTATACTCAGTGTGTTACCTCCCGAGTGAAAGTTGGAGAGATGGAGAGTGAAAGTTGGAAAGATGTTATTTCCTTATTGGCTTTAATGACACTGTTTAGATCTTGGAAGAAGTTTGTGAGTTGTGAGTTGACTATTTCTGAAGAGAGGTGGCTTAGGGAAGAACCAGAGAGTGTTAATCCGCCTCTGACAGTCATAAATAATGAAAGACTATGAGAATGGTTCTGAAAAGAACCAGAGGTATAAACTCTGGTATAAACTCTTCAGAACCATTCTCTCTTAGTTGAGAAATTATTCGCACATGGTGTTTCCGCAAACCTTTCATTATTCAGTATCTCCACCATGCAAAGCCTAAAATCTTACTGACAGTCATAAGGAGCATAATTCCTGATGGTGGTCAGAGCATTTAGACTGACTGACGAGCCAACATCTCCAATCCTTCTCACAACCATGTCTTTTTTAAAGTAAATGCCAGTTTATGCAGCATGCAAATTTGTTGGGGTAACAGCATAAGTCACAATGAAACTTTAATTGTTGACGTCATAAAGTAGCAAACTTTTCCTAAGTAGTACTCGCTGTACAACTCATTAACATGCAAAGCCTTAAAATACATTTCAAGAGGTTTTGCAGAAAGCTTGCTTTTAAACAAAAAGACAAAGCGAAATATTAAAGGTGTGGTTTTTCTGCATTTTTCTGTTATTAAATGAAGTAAAAAAATTATTTGTATCAGGATATAGTTTTCATTTTAACTGTCTTGATTTTGCGTAATTACTACTATTTGGTTGCTTTTTTTCTGTCAGGCGGAGGAGTTTCAGAGGTTTTGGGGTGAGCGTTCTGAGCTTCGTCGATTCCAGGACGGTTCCATCTGTGAGGCCGTGGTGTGGCCAGGGCAGACGGCCGCTGAGAAACGTCTCATCTGCAGTCATGTCATCAAACATCTTCTCAAACTGTGAGTGTTCTCCAACCAATGTGACAAGAAAATCTTAACTACTTTTCATTTACAAGCCCTTAAACAAAGCTTGCACAATAGAATAATAAAAAAAAATGTCTTATTTTTACTGACATAATTATGGTCAAAATTCAGATATCCTGCATCTTTTGTGGTGCAGACAATCATATCTCCTGAATTTTCATGTGTTAACACACAAGCTACAATGCAATAGAAACCTAATGAATAGAAACCATTAAATATCAACCAAAACTGTTTTGGTTTAAATTTTAAAACGGGGAAAAAACATCAAAGCCAGTCCTGATACAGAGTTACTGATCTTGTTTTTCAAATTGGCATTTATCCTTTTTTTTGAATTTGTCCATGAGTGGATTTTAGAGCTTCTCCAAATTTGTTCCTTTTTGAACACAATAATTGAAACAACTATTTTTTTTTAAATTTACATTATGTTGTCTTGTTTGGATTTTCCTATAGTCATGCCGGAATCTCACCGGATACACTCACCTACGTTGGCGGACAACTAGACCCTATTCTCTCTTTGTCTGGCATGAGCACACCCCACCCTACACCAGACAGCAAACCCCAGGACACACACCAGGACCCCCACCCTGGCACCGGGGAGGAGGAGAACGTGACCGTGCTGCAGGTCTACAATGAGCTGAGCAAGGATCTGAGAGGGTTGAAGGGCTTCCCGTTGGTCATGACATCTGTGCAGGGAATCTCCCCAACACTCAGATACACTGAGGTTAGTAATAAATATAAACAGCATTTTTAATAAGCCAGTTTGGTGTTCCAACTAAGCGTGGGCAAACCAACATTTCACAATTTTTTTTTTTTGAGGATAAATAATATGCTGTTTGTATGCAAAAGTATAGAGGGTATCAGTGAAATTCCGGGAAAGTTTTTTTCTGCATCAAATGAAAATTTACAAAACCTTTGGACGACATAATATTTTAGAGTATTTAAATATCTCCAACTTTTGTGCAAACAGTATTTCATTCTGGTTTTTGATTGCATGAAAAAGAGTCATTGGCTTGTGTACATTACGTTATCTCCTGCTTTTATCCAAAAGTCAAAATCGGCCAATCTTGATATGCGTATGCGCAGTTTGAATGCCGTAGTGACTTATTTGTCTTAATCATTAGCAAACTGGGCAAAGAGATCATTAAATTGGATATAAAGATAGTGATTGCCTGGGCAGAGAACATTAGAAGTTGAATAGACTTCAGTTGTCAATTTTATTCTCTTAGCATGAATATTCCATCATGAAGATTTTAATTTTTTTTCTCTGGTTTTGTTCTCCCATAAACATTCAGGTATTTCCACCCACCCCAGTTCACGCGCGACGATCTGGAGGCAGAGCCCGTCTCCATGGTTATGTCCAGGTTCCCGTCTCTCACCAGCCGTGCCCAGAATGGGTACCAGCGATAAAAGGTTAGCCGGTAACATGCAGCAGTTGCTTCAACCTTGCCAATAAAACCCTATAGGGGTCCAGCTATCAAAGATTAGCTGGAGAAACACAGAATACACGTTCAAACCTTGTCAATAAAACCAGAGTGGGTGCCAGCTAACAAAGATTAGCTGATAATATGTATAATTCACATTCAAATATTGTGAGTATAACTAGAGCAAGTACAAGTTATAAGATGTTCAGCTGGTAATATGCAAAATTCATATCAAATATGATTTGAGTAAAAGATCTTGACCTGGTCATTTTAACCCCTTATCTTCCTCCACCTAATAATTTTGTTGTTTGTTTCATCTTTCAGTGATCTGCCAACTTGAAGGGAGTGGCAAGTGGCCGGATGACGTACCTGCCATACAGCGGATCAAAGCTGCGTTCCATATCCGACTAGCTGACATGCTGCATAAACAGTGCCGACTGGTCACGTTTGCCACGCCTTCATATGTCGATGTTCTCAAGGTACGAAAAGCTCCATTTTTTGTTTACATTTTCTTAGACTGTTTAGATCATGTCATTGTAAGGATGATTAAACCTCAATTAGGAGAACTGGTTAAAAGATCTCAACTTACCATACACAACCTTTCCACCTGGTTACACTAACCCTGCCAAATCTGCCAATATCTAAGGCCTGGTTTTGTTTGATTTTTATTTATTTATTTTATTTCTTTCTGGTAATGAAACCAAGGATCCCTCAAAAGTGCCCTAGGCACTGTAGCTCGAAAGCCTGAAGAAACCTGTAGAGAGAAGAGAATGAGAAGAAAGTACAGTTTTAGAGGTGGGAGGAAAACCCAGAAGAATATTCTGAGGAAAACCCACGGAATCAGGTAGGGGCTGAAAACCCAATCCACATATTGGCCCAGGCGGGATTCGAACCCGGGTCACAGCGGTGGAAGGCGAGGAAAGTACCACTACGCCAACCTGACTCCCCGACGTTTGATTTTGATGGATTTGGATGGAAATTTTGTTTAAATTATAAGAAATGTGCTGTTGGATTGCTGCAGTGTTGAGCAGACATTTTGTCCAGTTCAGGAAGGTTCTTAGAAAAAAATTGCTGAGGGTTTGAGGGTAAATAATATTTTTGCTAAATTCTTGAAGTTGTTTTTTTCAAAACAGCATCCTAAAATGAATTAAAGCCTCAATCTGACCCGTACAGCATGTTCCAGAGAATCGAAAATAAGTGCTGAATCCCTTAAAAATTTTGGCAGACTTTCACTTGAACATTAACCCACTGCTCATTTTTTTTTCTTGACTTGCTTTTTTTTCTCATCATGGCAGGAGGGTTATGTGTTCCGTGTCGAGGTAGCCCACAGGCGAGAGATTGGCCTTCTGAAAGAGACCTACACACCTGATGGCATGAAGGTTCTGCGTGACAACCAGCAGTCTCTGGAACTGGAGAGAAGAACGGTCATGCTGCCAAGACTTACCAGCACACTGCACGGGTGAGATTCCTTCAAATTACATCCATGGAGAGTTTATGAAACCGAGGCTTGTCTTCAGCTCTTGCTCCATCTATAGCCCAAGATTTGCAAGAATTCTGCCATTCATAAACACATTGAATAAACACCAACCATTGGCCTTGTGTGACAGGTTTTGGTGTCTCTGCAGTGAAAACAAAATATGAACCAATGTTTTACTGGAGTCTGTCAAATAGAGGAGCTAGAAACACAAAACTGGAGCATGAAGCCAGTGGCAGAGGCAAAGCCACGATTTCGTAAACTATCATAATCACTCTCACAAACTTGTACTGTATAAACCATTTCTCTAGGGAAGTCAAATTACAAATTATCGATGGACCAAGATGGAGAGTAATATGACTAGATATAATTCTCATGACATTTACCAGCCATCACCATGTACTATCAAGCAGTCTGATGCTGCCACACAAGCAGTGATGGTCTTTGCATGATTTTGTGTTCGTTTGCACAGCAAATGGCGTGTATTGAAATCAATGATGAAATCATTCATCACAAATCATCAATTGCAGTAATCACTGTTACCAGATGTGATTCTGTGAGCTCTCAGACAGCATGGAGTATACAGTGCTTTGTCATGTTAAGATTAAAACCCAATGTTGAAATTATTGAACTCTAAATTCTGTTTCAGGATTCAGCAGCAGCATGCGTCCTTCTCTGGAACCGTTCGTCTAGCCAAGCGCTGGGTGTGTGCTCAGCTTCTCTCCAATCATGTACCTGAGGAGACCATTGATCTCTTGGTAGCTTACCTGTTCCTCCAGCCTGCTCCGCACATAGTACCTGGGTAAGTACTAAGGTTTCCAAAAGAGTACTATATCCTCACAATAAGTATTAAGTCCTCACATTAAGTACTAAGTGTTTACAAAAGTACTACCATCTTGCAATAAGCACCAACTCCTCAAAATATGCAACAAGTCTGCACAACAAGTACATGTACGAGGACGTCATAAGGAGCTAGAAGGCCACACTATAAACACAACGTTCTCAGTATTCACAATAATTACAATGCTGTCATGAAAATAACTTAGTTCTAACAATAAGTTGTATGTCCAGGAGTTTTCAAACTATGTAATTAGCCATGATATGTGCATGTACCAAGTCCTCAGAGTTAGGGTTTTTTATTACTCTGTTACAAGACTTTTGTTCCACAAAAGCATGATTGTACTAATTCCTTGATTTGATGATTTGGTTTTTCAGCTTGGCATAAGAATGGATGAAATCTTAAAAGTTTCAATTGTTAAATTATCCTTTGTGTAGTCATTTTAATTAATGCAAGTTTTAGAGATTTTTGTATTATTCCAGAAATATTTTCAATAAAACCTTGGTTATACTATTATCATTGATATCATGATTTGTTGTGTACAGTTCTCCGTTGGTTGGTTTCCTACGGTTCCTTCATCTGTTAAGCAGTCATGACTGGCAGTCTGCTCCTGTCATCATCAATCTCAACAACGAATTGCAAGGTTGGTTTGATGTTTTTATTTCAATTTATTTGGATATCAAGAACTCTTTTTTTTTATTGGGGGGAGGGTTATTTAAAGGGTTTTTGTCAACTTTTTTTTTTCATAAATAGATAAATAAGGCCAAACAAAAAAATGGTGTGTTTACAGTAAGCCGACCGACCTGGAATTTTTTCAGCCAAATTGCCGACCTCAAATTTTGATATTGATCATTTTAAATGAACAAATTTCAAAAATTTCAAGTAGGCCCTACTTTTAATTATTTTCTGACAGTATACTTTACCCGTCATCAGGAGACTGAGGGATTCCAACGATGAAGGGTGGTTATGTAAAGGATGTGACACTGGACACCAAGCTGGGGCAGGGGATGCAACCGCAAACTAAATCTTCATCAAGCAAACCTGAAATCTATCAGATTCTTAGCACCAAACCTCAATCCAAACTGATCACTTAACCCGTAGTTATTTTGTTCTTGATTCAATATTCCAGATTCAGACTATGATGAAATCCGCCAGCATTTCAGCGAGCACAGGAGTCAACTCCCACCCATGTTTTTAGCCACGCCCACCGACAAGCTCAACTCAGTATGGTCACAGAAGCAGCCTGCAGCTCAGGTATGTCTATGGGGACAAAATATCAAAATCTATTGGCTCCTTTCATTTTCACATTAAGGCCATGTCAGTATTACGGCTGGAAGTAACACGTGTGTCTATTGTATGTAGCTGCAGCAGTTTGCATACACGTATGTGTAATTGCGAACCCTAGCCAAATACTTTGGAAGCGGTCTAATAGCCTTCCAGGTGATGTGTGGAGCATACTGTTTCATCAAGGGCAAACCAAGAGAAAATAGACTGTGCATATAAGCACCCCTCATCAATGGGCAAGTTTGATCAAGGACCAATGGTTAACCAGTGGTTGGTTGTGCGTACTTCATGCCATACATACATGAACCAGTGCGTGCCCACGGTTGGTTCCAGACCCTAGAGCTGTTACCCTTGTAACACAGTAACATCTGCTGTTCTGGCACAGAATCCATTATTATGTCAATGGATGTGTTTTACAACCTAGGTGCTGTACAGTCTATGAGATAAATGAAGCAAAGTTCATTTTGTAAGAAATTCTCTTTTAGGTTTTCATGCTTTTCAAAGTCGCTGAGCGAATTTGAGCTGAAAATCAGTCCAGAGTTTAGTCAAACTCTGGACTGATTTTTCATCTTGTGTTTGAGCTGATTTCATGTGCGTGACCTGAAATTTGGAATGGAAAGCCTGTAATACTGATTAGCAGAACCTCTCTGCTCCTAGTAAAATCCAAGTGTTTAAAAGCAATTTTGGTGAGTATATCTCTGATTAATATTTGACAATGTTTAAATTTGTGTTGTACCCCTTTGCAGATTCTACGGCGGTTGCTGGAGTTGGCTAAGGAGTCACTGCGAGTCCTGACATCACAGATGATGGGCCTAGATACAAACACAGACTTCAAGGTGAGAACTAGAACCAAGATAAGAATGTCACATTGAATGCTTCAACGAAAGGTTGCAATTCATTCAAACATGGTAACTGTCGAAACTGCTTACGATCATCATTCTGTGCTTACAGCGCTAGTGTAGAAATGCTGTTCTAACCCTGTAAGCTACGAATCCCTCAGTTATGGGATGGGCACGTGCGCACAAGCCAAACTTCTTGGCTAATTCTTGAAATGCACGAACTGTTAGCTCAGGAGAGCTGTGATATTGGGCCCCATTATTTGTGGTTTGTATAAAACAGCACAATATCAGTGAACGACATCTGATTTATTTTCCAGCAAATTTTCCGACCTCCCCTTGACCTGTATGACGTCGTCATCCACTTACGACCCAAGCTGGTTCCCAGGAGAGGGGAGGTGGTGGACGGTAGCGGGGCACCGGTTCAGAGGTCAACCACCGATGGGAGTCTGACAGAGAAGAGTTCCCAGCTTCCCGTTGTTGACTTTGATCCTGTCTCATTGTACCTTCAGGAACTACAGGTGTGCATTATGTTTACTTTTTCAATGAGATTTTTTTTTTAAAGATTTTATCAACTTTGATGGTCCGCTCAAGTTGTTAACAAGCTGTTACACTTCAAAATTGTTCATAATTAGGTGTCAAACACAGATTTGAATAATTCACTTGAAACCATGAAACATGTTGGTGTAATTTTTTTTAAGTGAAGGAAAATGTTACCCTCCAATGACAGTTTCATTATTAGTTGAGGCTTTCATTTCATTGGTTGTCTTTTCTTTTACATTGCACTTTCATCTTTCTGAATTGATAATATTGATTTGGTTACAGAGTTGCTATGGCGACCTAGCCTTGTTCTTCTATGATCGTCATGGAGGTACATTCATCACCTTGTTGTGGAACCCATCGGCCTTTCAATCTCAGCCATTCAAGGTATGCAGAGACTTCCCTTTTCACTGTAATAAAACAGCCGTTTTAAATTTTTATAGGATTTATGTTTCATCTTCGTTGGGTTGGAAAATTTAAAAGTAAATTACAGTTAAGGTACAGTAATTTAGAAACAGGAGCTTTGGATGCATAGTATTAATTATATTCCGTTTGAAAATTCCTCAGGTTCTTCAAGCCAAGAGCATGATGCCACAGCCAGGCACGTCGTCTTCCAAGCAGCCCATGATGACGCCCAATGTGGAGGCCATAGTAGAGGACTTCAAGATACTGGGACAGGGGCTTGTGCAGTCAGTGGAAATACGGACAGAGAAATGGGTTATATGAAGGAGTGAGAAGGACTTGGACTTGTAAACTTTGTGGAATTATGGAAGAGAAATGGGTTTAACTGAGAGGAATTCAACGTAAAATACTTGGACATGTCCCTGTAAAGTTGCTGGCAGATGGATTGACAGTGCCGTGTTAAAGCTACGTAGGAACACTTGCAATTACCCGAAAAGTTAGCGATTTTAAGAACAGAAACCTTGGTCAAAGTGAAGACAGGACTGGTATCAAATAACCTTCGAGATTATTCCGCCTAAAATGGTATCGTTTGGGAGAAAACTAAGATAGAAGGTGGTTTAAAATGAGTGCCCGCAGACACACTTTCTTACATTCATTAGCAACGGAATCCAGTTTTCTTAAAACGTACATGTTTTTGTAAATTATCCACTGAGCTGAAACTTCAAATAGATTAGTTGTTATGCTCCCAATATCCTCCTACCTTCAGCTTTCCTGATAAATATTTCTCTTTTCCTCATATTTTTCTTTTTTGTAGCCCTTTGCCAAGAGTGGCTTTCAAAACCTTGCTTGGGGCGATATTCCATAATTTAAGGCAAACCCTTACATTTTTTAAGTTTTTCACAAAAATCAAATTTTGCCCAATTTTGATCAAAATGAAAGGTTAACCCCTTACAATTTTTAATTTTAGAGAAACATCAAATTTTGCCCAATTTGGTCAAAACGCAAGGCTAACCCCTTACAATTTTTAATTTGAGAGAAACATCAAACTTTGCCCAATTTTGATCATAATCCAAGGTTAACCCCTTACAATTTTTAAGTTTTTCACAAAAACAAATTTTGCCCAATTTTCATCAAAATGCAAGGTTAACCCCTTACAATTTTTAATGTAAGAGATAAATCACATTTTGCCAAAGTTTGATCAAAATACAAGGTTAACCCCTTACAATTTTTAATTTTAGAGCAAAATCAAATTTTGCCCAATTTGGTCAAAATGCAAGGCTAACCCCTTACAATTTTTAATTTGAGAGAAACATCAAACTTTGCCCAATTTTGATCAAAATCCAAGGTTAACCCCTTACAATTTTTACGTTTTTCACAAAAAATCAAATTTTGCCCAATTTTGATCAAAATGCAAGGTTAACCCCATACAATTTTTAATTTAAGAGAAAAATCTAATTTTGCCCTATTTTGATCGAAATACAAGGTTAACCCCTTACAATTTTGAACTTTTTCACAAAATCAAATTTCGCCCAATTTTGATCAAAATACAAGGTTAACCCCTTAAAATGTTTAATTTGAGAGAAAAATCAAATTTGCCCAATTTTGATCAAAGTTTTAGAGCAAAATCAAAATTTTCCCTAATTTGGTACTGTGTATCAAGAAGCACGGAAAAAAACCTACTTCAAGATGTCGAGCAATTTTGTTATTACCAAAAAAAACTGCGCAAAAATAAACCATCCCACGTGCCTTTAAACGTGCCCAAAAAAATTGTGCAGCAGTGACTATAAGCCGTTGATCCTCTTGTTTTTTCCAAACATTTTATTATTCAAGAACATGTATAAATGATCAGCCTTCAATATGAAAATATTTTCAATTTTTAGTATTTTACAATGTTTACATAATTGCACTTAATCTGTCTAAATTACTAAAACAAATTGTATGTACCTGAAGTAAAACTGGCAATAAAGAGTATTTTTGGCCCCACAAATTGTAAGAGTTGCTTTACTGACCTATTATAAATTACAATTTGTCAAAAAAATGGAAATGTTTAACGTTCATTCCCTACTTCCCCAAAAAATATATTTATACAGAGAGCATATGTACAGCTGAATTGTCCTGCAAAAACTTTGAAAGGATCTACAAACGAATGCAAGTTTACAGCACATGTTTATAAACTTCAAGGCTTACCTCTTTGCAACTGCATAAAAATCAGGCTCTTGTCATGTTTTTTTTACAGTGTACATGTATTACTTAAACATTCAATAAGGAATTTATTGATAAAGATTACTCTTTACATCTAATACTGTTTGAAAGCTGAGCGTAATTGGTCCTTAAAGGAATGTTGTCATTTTTCCCAATACAGTCGAATCTCGTTATAACAAACTCGTTCGGACCTAGCCAAATTGTTATATCAGAATTTTGTATTAAGAGGAACATCAGTCCCATTCATTGTGCACATAAATGCACAGTCGGGACCAAGGCTTTATGTTTGTTACAACCAGAATTTTGTATTAACAGAGTTTGTACTAACGAGAGTCGACTGTATATACCTTGACATAATGCCCCGACATAATGCCCCTTGAATCTTTAATAAAATTGCATGCAGCATTAGGTCAATTTCATTCGTATAAATTTGCATAGGAATGTATCTGATTATTTACTCCTCACCTCGACTCCCCATTGTAAAACTGTACTGGCCAATTAGAGATTATACACTATGAAAACCCATATGTGGTCCGAATATTTTGGCAACATTTGAAAGACAGTACATGTGTGTACAAAAATTTCTTGGAGTCTTATCTGAATTATTTTCTAAAAAGTTCCAAATAACGTAGGACCTTTTCCCAGCACTCTTTATATGAACAGTCACAGACAGTAAAAAAATCAATCCTCGCCCTTCGCATAGTCAATGCCTGCTAAAAGTGCACTACTTCTTTCAAGCAGTTCCAAGATTCACTTTCAATGGACTCCATGCAAAAACATTAGATGACGCTCTTTAGACTATTATCATGTTGCAGCCATCTTGATTTTTGTCCCATTCAAATCAACGAAACCAAAGTGAGGCTGAAAGGAAAAATAGTCTGGTTCCTTTTTGCACAAAAAACATTGTCATTCAGTACTGTCATTGGATACAGGGAACATGACTGAAATGGTGGCAGCATGATAAAGGTCTATAGCCACTTTGGAGAGCTCTATGGGGAAGACACATCTCGTGTGTGAACACACTGGTGTACGCACAATAAATGTTATTCTGAATGTACACAAGCCCATACTGTCTGCCTGTGACGCTGTCTGCGTGTGATGCCGGCAGCACAGCGGTGACGTGTTGGAGTCCCACTCAACTCTGACTTTGTAACCAATTTAGGGGATACTTTTGCAGAGAGTCCATAGGCGCAAGGCAACATCTTTGACCCTTTGTTTCCTGCAAAAGCCATGTGATTTATACTGCTTTAAAATGTACTGAGCAATGTTAATTTTCGCTCAGCAGCTTTATGCCTCAAGCAACATCTTTCAGGTAGGCCCCGGCGTCACTCTCCAGCAAGCTCAAGGCAATGTCTTGGAAGCTCAACTCGGTAGCAATCTTGTAAGCTGTGAGCACGTCGTCACAGTAACCCAGCAGTTTCTTCATGTTGGAGGTTGGTTGGTACGTTCTGCTGCCGCCTTGGCGATACCTGACCAATTAAACATGGGGATGAATCTGAAATTATTTCATGGGGCACCCAAAAACAAAAACAAAAAACCTTCCAACATTCAAAATCAAGAAACGTTTACAGGGCTCGACATATACATGTATCATTGAAATATATTGATTTCCCTTGTTTCAGCCATTATTGGGTGATAATCGTGCTGTAATATCTAAAAGCAATCATGACCAAAATTCCATCAAATGGCCTGAAAGGATACATGGCCTTCTGGAAGTCTCAACACGTTGAATTTTTTTACCCGAGTTTCACGACGCTTAGTTTGCAAACTTTCCATATGCAAACAAGCTATTGTAAAATTTAATCATTATTTTTACCCTATAACCTCTCAGCTATAGTCCTTGGAATAATGATCTCTATGCAGTAACCAAAGCCAAGTTTTTATAGACTATACGGTCTCTTACTTGTTGGCAACATCCCTGAACAGCGCGTCATTGAGTGGTATGCATTTACTGTAGTCCTCCAGGTACTTGAAGTCGCCCTGTATGACCACATTGTGATAGATGGCATCCGGCCAATGGGTGTGTGACCCATAAGCATCGGAAACAATCAGGGCCTGGCAAGAAAATAACAAACCAGTAGTCATAATACAAAAACATGACCTAAAAATATCCATTAGCCAGAAAAATAATTTAGAATATAGACCGATCAGCAGTGTTGTAGTCAAGTCAGGACTCCATTCCGAGTCCAGTCTCAAGTCCGAGTCCAGACTCAAGTCCGAGTCCAGACTCAAGTCATGCAACACTGCTTATCACAACTACATGATCAACTACTTGATCAGCTTACAACCAGTAAACATATCTGACTAATCCTACTTAACCCTTTTTCAATTCCACTTTGCGACTTCACACCACAGCCATCTTACTTGATCAGCCCAGCATTCCATTTTAAACCAACTTTGATTAGTTGTCTTAGTTGTCGACCCACTTTACCCACCTAATCAACCCAGTTACTCAGCTAGACACATCCCAGTTTTGCTCACTTGACCGACCACGAGTAGACCACTTGCACACACAGTAAGGCCACTTGATTAACCCAATCAACCCACTACCAGACAAAGTTTGCCTAACTTAAATCCACTTGCAAAGTCAGTTATACCACTCACTAAACCAGTTAACCCACGTTAGGACCTGGGGCCGACTACACGAAACTCATCTTATCTTGCGACTCATCTTAAGACTTAAGAAGAGTCCCTGCTCTAAGATCGATCTTAGCTAAGATGCATCCTAAGACCGATTTTACTAAACCCATCTCAAGCAAGATGCATCAAAACTTTGATGGACGTTTCATGTTTGCTTTTACCGCTTGACGAAACAGTAGTTGAAAAGAAATGTGCATAACCAACTTTACCAACCCTGTTAATTAACCTAGTTAATTAACCTAGCTAATTAACCAAGAAAAGGTATTAATTAACCAAGTTAATAACACTCTTTACCATCTGTTATGCCACTAACTACCCATCAATTTCAAGTTTAGCCAAGTCGCAAATGTGCTAACTGCAGCCACAGCTTCAGCTTTTGGCACTGATGTTTTCCCCTAGCCACAGCCCAAAAAACACGGTCTAAATTTTAATAGCTCAACCCAGCAGCCAAAGTCAAAATTGATTTTAAGCTGCAAAGCCCTTTCACTGACCTCGTGAAATCTTTGATGTTTCATCATGAACGTTCCCAGGGCTTTGGAGTCTAGGTTCATGACCTGAGTCTTGGTTGGCAGAAGGTGGAGCTGCAATGCTACAAGACGCGCTTGCTTGATGCACTGCTCAGCGTGGCGTAGGCAGTTGTCCTGCGTACCAGAAAGAAAAGAGGAAACAAGGTATATCTAATTGGTGTAATCATGATGTCATGGAACTGTAAAATAAAGCAGAGATGTACATGTAATCAAGTCAACTGCAAGTCAAGCACAAGTCAGATCAGACTGAAGTCAGATCAGAGCTGACAGTTGATGAGCAATGAGAGGGGAATGTAATAGCTCACTTGACTTGCAGTCACTCTTGACTTGACTCTGGTGATCAATTTCAATCAAAAAAACCACACAAAAACCCGAGCACCATTATCAATACTGAACAAATAAACTTCAGTCAGTTTACCTTGGCATAGCTCTGTGCAGCCTTTGTGAAGTCCTGCAAGATGACTTGGAGACTATTCTGCAGCTCAATGTTTGCATCTGACATGGTATAACAAGCAAAAAATCACAAATGATGTCAGTGAGCAAATACATGTAGTGTAAGCAGAGATTCTTTCGTTGTTTTTTTTTCTTCACAAGATTCAATAGCCAAGGCTGACTTGTGACAGCACATAGAATTTTCAGCTATATTCTCAAATAAAATAGCAATCTGTAATTTAATTTACTAAACCTGTTTAACTTCAGTCTTTCTCTGGACAAAATGTCAATAAGAAAGAACTTAAAGAGATCATTTCCAAACAATTTTTGTCCTGGCCTTTGGAACATTTCCAAAATGACTTTTGGATTTGCTGTGACAGCAAAATTTTGTTTCAAACACTTTATCTTCAAAACCCTTATTTGACAGAGACATTAAACCTCAGGGGATTCGCAAAAGTGTAGACAATCAAGAATTTGCCTCAACCAGGAAACCTCTCAACTGCACTGAATACTGTTCAGCAATGTCTAGGAAAGGCTGTTGACCTTTTAATCATGAAGCACTCAGGTAAAACAGGATTGACATCACAAACAGCAGCTTTTTCTATATTAAACCATCCTACCCATCGTTTTCTTGCTCATGCCCTTCAGCTGCTCGTGCGCGTCTCTCTCCAACAGCTCAGCAATCTCACGATTCATCTCAAACTTGACTGCCACAAAGTTATAGGCCTCAGTGTCAGGAGGGTCGCAACGCTTCAGGTAGTCCAACAAGGCAACCTTCAGATTATCGTCCTGCGGTGGTTAAAAATATAGAATATTAGCTGGCTTTTGGTTCATATTTCTAACGTTCTTCAAATTTACAGCGGAGTGAAAGAGGAATGCCTTTGTCGGATCGCAGTTCATTTTAAGAGCTCATGACTTGACTCAAGACTGAAGGAATTAAGCTTGGCTTGTGAGGCCTCTGTTTCAAGGGCCAATATCTTACCTTGCCTCCTCTCTTCAAGAGCAACTCAATCTGCTGGTTAGATCTGAGGACATCCAAGATGTAGGACATCTCACAGTACCTGCCTACACCGGTCAGTAAACGCACCTGTTGGTAATAGAAACAATGTGCAAATTTTTTAACATGTTAACCCATTATCACATGTACTACAAAAATGTAATACATTGTATATATTCCCTCATGATGACTTCACAAGACCAGTGCTAAGGAAGTTTGGCATGGTACATGGAGCATGGGGCTAAAAGTTTAAGGCTGAACCCCCAAAAAAATGAATGAAGAACAAAATGCACATAGAAATTGAACCCGCAACCTTTGGAACACAACACCAGCACTCTATGTTATCTGAAACATCATGCCTGTTATATAAGTGTCTTTTTTTCCGTTTTTTTTTCACTGCAATAACAACATTTGTAATAAATGCAGACAAAATAGATCAGTTTACTTTTTTCTGGTGAAGTCAGCAGTAATTGAGCACAACACTAACTTATTAAAAACGATTTTGAGAGTAACGTAGTCTCATCAAATAATCCATGAAAGCACAGTGTACGGTGGTTCAAATGGCATTCAATAAATGTCTTTGTTCAACTTTAGGTTGTGACACAGTCTCTTAATTAAAGTCAGATTGTGTCAAAATTAAAGTAAGCTTCATTCTTCTCACCAGAAGTCCGTACTCCTCAGCAAACGCCAGGGCGTTGCTGCACTCGCGACACTTTCTGAGCACGTTGGATATACCTTCCATGTTACAGCACACGGTGTGGCAGTCATGGGCTCTGATGATTAGCTCCACCTCCATGGTGTACACTGTAACACAAGACAGATCATACAAGATGCTGTCAGTTGATTTTGGGTTTTTTACTTATGGGCTCCATGCACAAGTACCCCCTCAACGGTAAGAAAGGGACAGTTGGGGGAGACCACTGGGAGAGACATTGCACACATTGCTAACAACGCCTGATGCACACGCGAAGATGCTTTGGCTTTGTGCACATTCAAAATAAATTAGTAGTTCATACTTTGTGCTATACGCTCACGAACCATTACATGTATGCGGTATGTCCTATCCACTGGGTTCTAGAAAATGGTCAAACAGCGCCCTCTCTTGTTCCGCAATATGCTTAGCTATTGAGATTTTTACCAATGGCAGCCTCCCATGAAAGCCTTGTCAGCTAATCTTGCTTTGAAACACAGAAGTGTTCAACAATTCATCCTCTTTCAATCAAAACATACACGATTAATTAAATTAACACAGAAAAAGTTGGATATTGACAATTTCTACACATTTCGCACTAACACATAGGGAACGATATCAATCCCTACTGAGTACATGCGTAGCAGGTAGCAAGCCGCACGTGATGTCACAAGACCACAAAAGCTGATGGCATACACAGTGTTCTAATACCGTAATCATTCTCATACCACTATGACCCAGAATGTCTGACACACTTTTGTTCCGGACAAAATGTCTGAAATTTGAACAATGGTGATCACTGTCCAGTTTCAGACATTTTGTCCGGAATTAAAGCATTTCAGACATGTCTGGTTCCTAGTGCACGAAAGCTCTAACTATCCCACTGACCTGATTTGGTGTTGGCAATGTCTGAGCTGACCAATGAGGTAGCCTCTTGTAGCAGTCTGTTGCCCAGGATGGCCGGGTTGCGACACAGCTGGATGACCTGGCTGAACTCCTCTCTATCCCCAAGCTCCTGACCCATGTAGGAGGACAGAGAGGCGGAGGAGAGACGGGAGGACAAACCACCTGAGTTTGGAAAAAACATATGCAAAGCAAATTATTGGGGATTGGTTTTAGGGGAGGGGATACTAGGGTTACTTTTTTCTTTTTTCCCCCCTTTTTGTTCTTTGAGTGATCCCTGTCCCCTATTTCCCAGGTTTGTAAAATTGCTTGTGTTGCTAGCGTCGTGACTTTGGGTGTGATCCCTGGCTGCATGGCATTGATGGGTTTATGGCTTCTGAATAGCACCCCTTGAACAAATTGGGGAACCGCCAACATAGGGCTGGATAGCTCAGTTGGTAGAGCACCCATACAGCAATCCGGAGGTAGCACGTTCAAATCTCGCTCCAGTGAAGGGTTTCTTTTGGTTCAACTTTATAATTATGACAAAATTTAGCATTAACTGCATTAATGCTACTGTGTAATCAACAGTGCTTGACAGTGTTGTCATGAGCTGAAATGACTGGGGTCTTAAAATTGAATAAGTAAATTTATTTTAATAATAATAATTACTTAAAAATTGCTCTGCTTGTAAAAATCATATCTCAAAGTACTGTTCACTTTATGTTAAAGTAAAAAACAAACCTGAGAAGTTAAATATGATAAAGTTAATGAAATGCATGAAACTATGATATTGCAACCTTGGCATGACCACTGTTACTTAAGGCGAGCCATCAGATAACAGACCGTTCGGGTACCGGGTCCGGTATGCTAATTTCTTTCACCCCAATCGGTACGAAGCCAGAAGCCACCCGGTCACTGAAGCGTGACGCCCCAATCGGTCCAAACTGGTGACTCAGGGTTTGACAATAGGCAACATAAATTGAAGTCTGGCCATTGTTGGAGGATTATTCGGCCCACTGGGATTACCAGCGGCAACTTCTATGAAGCTCATCACAGTCATTATTGCCTACTGGAGGATTAGCGCGTCGCAAATTGGTTCCTTTGTGATGAGCCAGAGCCATGGTGCAGAAGCCTGGTGGAGTTAATCCAGGCCGATCGGTTCCATGCAAGGTCCCAATCCCTTCAACATACTGGGCGGGCTCAACCCCGAACGGTCTGGGGAGGGATTCTAATTTGAGGGCTCGCCTAACTCATAAAGTAGATCACAGATAAAAAAACGCCCAAACAAATGACAAACATCTTGCTCTATTTGAAGCTTACCTTCTCTCCTTCGCGGTTGGGGCTGGCGGGTCTTCAGGCTGGTGATCACTGCCTCGCATAGAAAGCCTGCAACCTACAAAAGAAAAAAAAAAAAGAAGCTGTATCTAGCAGTATTTGTTGTCTTCAGGCAAACTGTCTTTATGAAAATGCACCAAAAGACCACAGAAATATGGGCTTATGATCACCATTTTGAGCCTGATCTGCTAGTATGGAAATTCTGCACTGACCATGTAGGCACAGGATCCTTCGTTTGGGGATGAATACATGAGCAAAACCAAAAGTTCTCTCTTACATGTGAACTATGCCAACTATTAGTGCAAAATTGTCTGCCGTTGCTATCAGGGACTTTTTATTACAGAATGCAAACCCTGGTCATGTGCACTGAATATCGTTTCTCAGCTGGTACACCATTTTTGCTTCAATTTTGGTTTTACGCATCCTGCAAAAAGTGTGTGCTTTTAATAGCTTATTGAAACTACCTTCAATCTTGATTCTGGCAAAATTCCAGGGAAAAAAAAGAACATTTGCAAGCACTTGCCTGGGCATCAGTCATTTCGTTGGCAAGAATGAAAGTCTTGGCTAATGCAAAACGCTGTGGGTGACGGCACCGTAGTATGGATCTCAGGCTATCGAACGGTGCTTGGACAACCACAGATCTGTAGGAGCTACTCAGGACCTGAAACAAAGAACAATCACAGGTTATTATGAACTGTTCAGTTGATTGTAAAATCAAACCTAAACAATTACCAATGTATACAGTTGTAAGGCCCGTTCTAGATGCCGAGCTACTGCTGCGCTGAACTTATTTGAAATGAGTGCGGCAATAGCTCGTCTACAGCACACAGGTGCTCTAAATGCTGAACTTAAAAGTCACACCTTAATGCATCTGGAGAAACTGGCCTGGTTAAAGCAGTTCAAGCAGTTCAATGAATTTTCAGCGCGATCAAAATATTTGCGCCGGTTTCAGTCCCCGTGATGCGGACGCGAGAGAGGATATTGTGAGGATGCGCATTCCTAAAATGTTTGCCCCAACTTCGAACTGAATTGAGTTCGGCAAGGCAGTGGCACGGCGTTTAGAACAGTGCCGTGCCACTGCCATTCAGAACGACGAGTACCATCCCCCCCCCCTCGCTACGCCCATGTCTATCTAGGGGTAACCTACCTGAGCTATCCTGTATGCATTGATGATCCTGTCACAGCACTGCCTAGCCTGGGATGAGCAGTTACCACACAGGGCTTCAATAGTTGTAAGGATCTCGTCCAATTCCTCTGGGTCTTCAGTCGGGTCCAGGCTAGCTAAGCTGCTGACACTCACGGCTGAAAGGTGACACATGGTATTAAAATGGTCAAAAGTATGTACAGCTACCAAATATTGCTGGGCCACTGATTTTCTTCACAGAAATGCCTGTTTTCCTTTATATAGGAAATTGTAAATTCCATTTCAACCGCAAAACTGTGCAAGAAAAATCAGTGTCTTGCTTCATCATGCGTGTCATGTTGTGGATGCTAACGGGAAAAAAACGAACATAGTTTTCTATCAAAACAATTTTGCCAGCAGAATTTAAACTGAATGGCACTCAAATGCCATTGTCGACGTGCACTTGGAAACCATGCATGAGTGAGCAGACACTATGTGTTTGGTCACATTGAGATTAAAAGAAGTGTTGGCACTAAGTGTGTAACTGGAGCTCTTGTGGGTAGCCACGCAGCATAATCTACTGCTCCTGTGCCGAGTCCAAAGAGTGCTTATCTACATTCATCCTTATCAGGTGGATATAAACACACCTGGTCACTTAACAATGCGACATAATGGCAGAGCATATACCGGGTACATGTACAGTCCAAATTAACGTTGAAGTTTCTATCGTTTCTTCTGAGAACAAAACTCACAAATGGGACTTCATTTCACATGGTGCAACTGCAAACTCACTCTTATTGCTGCCTTCACCATGCAGACTTTCAATCATATCTGACTTATTTTTGATGAGATTGCAAAACCAGCACCTGTACTACATTGTATTACATTGTGCGTAATCACTGAAGAATCATTGAAACCATAGAGTGCTCGGGCAGTTTCTGGCGCTACAGTGATTGAAGGGTTAAGGTACTTACTACTTGCAGATCTTGTCAGCATGCCCTTGGACATCATTCCCCTCCAAGCTTCACTCGTCTTCCTGGTTCTTCCTCTTCCAACCCCACCACCAATCCCTCCAGCCCCCAGACCTGATCCCGCTGCTGCCACCACCAACCGCCTCATCTCCGGTTCTAGCTCCGATGGCCCCATTGGCGCCGAGGCCAGCTGGATGCTGGTCAGTATGATGGCCAAGTCTTGATGGGGATGGTTGAACTGCTTGGCCAGGCGATGGGCCTGCCGGATGCAGCACTTGTCCAGGAGCTGGCCGAGGATCAGATTTAAGGCACGCACCTCCTGCAAACAAAACAAATAAATGTAAGGTTCACTAACAGCTGCAGTACCCACTGCTATATCAAACCTACCAGCCCACTGTGCCAAGCTCAGTGGATGACTTTTCAGTTGTCTGCATAGTAAGCAGGAGGTCATGAATTTGAGCCATAGAAGAACAAACCTATGACATTTTTTCTCGCTAGCCCTGGGACAGTGCTTATGACACAAGGTTGGTGAAGGGCATAAACCAAGATTGAATTTACAATGTAAGACTGAATAAATAAATTGGCTGTGGTAGCATTTGTGCCCGTGACCCCTGAAACATGGCACTGTTACCCTACCAATGGTGTCCTGGTGGTTGAAGGTTCAAACCCCACTCCTGTCCATGTCTTACTTCAACATGAGCCCAGTACAGAAGAATGCCACAAATAACGAACAATTCTTTCTTGAACACATTGGTGCGATTAACACTATTTTTGGCCTAACCTAAGATGACTTTGATAATGATACCTACTGTAACAACAGCAAAAACTAGGCTTGCAGCCTTCCTCAGACCACACATATGAAAAGTAACTACAGTGAAATCTTGATAAGTCAAACTCTGAAAACTCAAAACAACTGTTAAGTCAAACAAAGAATCCATTGCCTTCAGTAGCATAACAATGATATACAACCCTGCTTAACTCAAAACTCTGCTTAAGTCAAATTTTGAACCTGTTCCCTTGAGGTTTGACTTATAGAGATTTCACTGTAAACTTACGTCCTGCATCAAGCCCAGACCTCAGCTTGGACTCTAGAATACTGGTTTCAGGGCTTAACCCGTTAGTCACTGTAGCCTAAAACTGCCAGACCACTCTATGGTTTTACTATTAAGTTTCAGTGAATAAACACAATGTAATACAATGTAGTACATGTGCTAATGGGTTAATGGGCTTATTCACTCATATTTAGCCCTTGTCTATCCCCTATAATGTTGCGAATTTTAACCTTAACGTCAAGCCCTGTAAGTACACTAAATCTTCCCCTGTTTGTCTCCCACCTTTTCGTCTTTCAGGATCGGAGGAACGTATGCGTCTACTTCCACATTGGCAATGTACAGCAGCTCCTCTGACAAGCGACGCTTGAAGTCCATCTCGTCAAACCACTCGGTGCGGTCTGCGTTGAAAGCGCCCTCTAGCAGTGAAGGTGGGACAGGTGTAGCATCCATCTAAGTATTTGAAACAGGTGTTTAGCAAGCGTTCCCTCTAGTTTATTCTAACGACTACTTTTTATGGTAGGTAACACAGGATGAAGAGACAGAATGGACAAAACTCTTGAAATCTAATCCGGGAAATTCTGTATTATGTATGCAGAATTACCTCCAGACCACGAGGCCACGGCACTTCAAATATTTATGTGCCGATGAGCAATTGATTTGTTTCGCTGGCAGACACGACAGGACCAGCTGTGTTTTCATCAGCTGGCATTACAGGAATGTATACTTTTTATCAATCGATTACTTGAGTCCAAATCAAGATGATACTTATCGTCTCCTATTTAATTTTTAGCATTAATGAGGGAATCATCTGGTATCTAATCTATGATTTTCATGAAATTGATTGTATAACTTTTATCGGACATATATTTTATTTTGTGCTTCGTAAGGCAACCGTTAAAACCCACTTGAACATGTCTTTTACGGAATCTTTGCTATTTTAATCAATCAATTATTTTGTGTGTACTTTGGATACTTCATTTATATCATTTATAAACCATAATAAATAGTAGACTATAAAAGGATTCAAAAGCTCATCATTGGACCTTCTCACCAAGACAGACATACACTTTCTAATGAAATTTTGCATTCAAATGAAATCAAATCGACACAGGTGCCCTACCTTCTCAACTTCAGCTGTTAGTCTCCACCTCCAGGCTTCCTGTTGTAAGCCCTCTACGATAGCCTTATGCTCAGGGGACGTGGTAGTCTCCTTCACCAGCCACCTGTGGGCCAGACTCAGCAGGCTAGCCTTCTCTCTGGCCTGCAAGTCTCTCTGCTCTTTGACTTGGCTCTGCAAAAAAAAGTTGACAAACTTGAAACGTTTCCATTGAAATTGTTAAATAACTGTTTGGGCACAACAAGCTTATAAAATGGCTCCTAGTAAAGACAATGACCCCATATAGAGACTGAAATATAATAACCCATGTTTTTAATGAATGTAATTAATACAATTATAATTCCATTAAAAAAGATTTAAAGAAGATACTTTTTCGAACTTTTTCAAGAATAACTGTAATCAGGCCCTAACCTAAAGGCTTATAATGAATGCAAATGCGAAGCGATTTTGGTGGGAAACATTCGCTGAGAAATTCGCTGCAGTTGAAGTGTGTTCAACTTTTGCAAGTTCGCAGTGCAAAAACTTGTCCTGACAGCACAAGTTCGCGTTCGCTTTCACACCGAATATGAACAGGCCATTACCTTGAAGAACTTTGACACAGCCCTGCCGGACACGCTGTTGGCTTTGAAGGAATTGTGGCAAGATTTCCAGAAGATCATCCGCCCGGCCTCTGTGAACCACACTTTGGATTTCTGGAGTCTGGCAAGTTTGCAAAGCAGCTGGACAAGAAATGAGATAAAACAGACTGTTCACAGATATGCATCTCCACGTTTACTAACTTTTTCCCTTTCTGATATAGACCAAGGAGAGCTCAAACGAGGACATTGGCCACTGTAGTTCACAAGCCTGTTTTTAATCTAATGTTTTAAATCTTTGTTTGCAAATCATCAATTTTCCATCATGGCAAAACAAGTATTTCATTACCCTGTGAATTCATTTTTCCAATCTTGATGTCTGGCCTGTGACCAGCTTAACAACCATCATATTTACTTTGTGATCTTGGATCCTATAATTTCAATATTCTAGAAGGGTAACTTCAAGTTTGTACATACTTCACATCATTTGCATCCTTATGGGCTACCTGCACGAGTATCCCTTCAACGGCCAGAAAGGGAGAGTTGGGGGAGACCTAGACTGGTTCCCGGTCCATCCACTGCGTATTTCGAATGATCCAAAGTTATTGGGGACGGTAATTAGTCTCAGAGACCATCACAAGCTAAATTTGAACGTATTCGCAACGAATGACGCTGTGGCTAATAGCTTTGGCACATTCAGGAAGTCGTGCGTACTTCGCGCGCAAACCAGTAAAGTACAGTACGCACACGCTGTGCGTCCCGTCCACGGGGCTCTCAAAAGTGGTAAAAACGCGCCCTCTTTTGTTGGCGCACGGAGCCCATAGGGCATCTGCATATGTGCAAAAAAACTTTATATCTGACATGAAAGCTAACAAAAATATAAGCTTACTGGACAATGACGTTCACTCCATGCAGAATCAGCTGCAACCTTTATCGTTTCACTTATTCTTGATATAGCAAAACAACTGTTTCCTGATGTGAAATATTTTTGTTTACATCCTCACAATGCACATGTACCCGGTATTTTAACAATACCTGTTCTACAATGACTTGATCTACAGGCAGACCGGCGACACTGGCAAATTCCTTGGCTTTCTGAAGCAGCTTGGCCTCCTTCAGGCTCTCCAGCACCCTGTGGCATTCATCCATGTACTCTGTGCCTTCCAGCAGGCAGGTTATGTTGGCGTGTATGGGGGTGTCTGTCAGGGCTTGTGTCATCTTGTATAGCTTGTTGTAATCCGGCACTGTACAAAAAAAGGACAATTGAATATGAAAACATTGCAGCCCTTTACATCACAGGAACGATTAACACAAAATGTGAATAAAGGGAATTTGCAACATGTGCAAACATCAAAAACAAAAACTACCAAAATATTTTAAAATACCTTACTGTCTAAAGCAACCTGTAAAATCATGGCACCTGGTGTGCTGTCATTTGTGCTGAAATCTTGAGAAAAAAAAAAGTTAATGGTATGAATACCCAAAACACTAGGATCCTTAAATTGAATTTTCTTCTGAGCCAGAAGTACTGACCTTGTCTAGACACAATCCTGGAGAAGTTAGCGTGAGCCAAGACCTCAAGCAGACAGAACGTATCCCAGTAGCTTGAGCAGCCAGCCACCATAGAGTAGACTACAGAGCTGGCTGTGTCCTCATACCAACGCAGATCGCCAATCTTGAAAGCGGGGACGGGCCTCGGGCTGTGGGTCCCTGATCCCACAATGCCTTTTCTCCGACACTGATAATTGAAATGAAGACAAACCGACTCAATTCGGAACATCATCATCATTAGCCTAATTCAATCCACTGCTGGATGAAGGCCTCTCCACTAACTTTCCATGCTTTTCGATCCCTTGCCAGTTGTTTCCATTTCTTCCCTATGAAATCAGAGATTTCATCTCGCCATCTCTTAGGCTGTCTTCCTCTTCGCCTCTTCAGTGATAATGGCGTCCAATCCGTTACTTTCAGGGTCCATCTGTGGTTGTCTCTTCTCATGACATGTCCTGCCCAACTCCACCTTTCTTTTTGATCTCAACTATTATGTCTTGCACCCCTGTCTTTCTTCTAAGATCTTCGTTCCTTATTCTGTCTCTCTTTGTGACCCCAACCATTATTCTTTCCATTGCCCGTTCGGAACACCAACATGCTAAATAAAACCCTGTATCAAAGCTTTGGAAAATAAAAGACTTCCGAAGGACAATTTTCAATGATACTTTCAATAAGAAACCACAGACGTGTACTCTAATGTACATTGAATTTCATGAGCCATACACATTATCTCTTGAACTTGGTTTTGTTCATTTTTTCTTGTCTTCCCAATAAAAAAAACGCTTGGAAAAAAAGATGGGTCATTCCATAAATTTGGGGTCCAACTGTGATTGTGTCCCATATAACCATAGACTGTTCAGGCTATTTCGGGCGCTACAGAGAGTATTAGGCACGGTGGTTTGGGGCGGTACAGTAACTTAAGCGCTAAATGCCCAATTGTGACAATGACTAACTACATTTTCCAACACAAAAAGGAACTCTTGCGTGAAATACAAGCAAAACAAGCACACTTATGTAGTGTGAACCATCCATTCTCACCTTCAAGATGGCCGTGTGGAAATCTTGAAGGCACGTTTTTGCCTGAGACGTGTCGCATTTGACCAGCATCGCTTCACAGAAATTCAGGAACGGATTCATGGCACAGTCCTGCAGAAACAGACGACAATAATCACATAGTAAGTCCTGAGTCCTGACTAAGCAAACATGTGATTATTGACTATGGATGCAATGCTATAAAAGTAATCACAGCAAAATATCTTGCTCAAGGACACGACTATCAAGATAAGTGGTTTCAAACCCAAATGGCGACATAAAACAAGGTCTAAAGCTGAAAACAAGACCAACAAAATTATCATCACATATTCTTCATTTTCCTCATCATGCTGTTTTCTCGATAAACCACAAAATTTACCTTATCAAAAATGTAGAAGCCCTTGGCGAGGAGTGTCACCAGACCAGTTGTCATGGCAACCTCAACGATGGTCGCCAGCTCATCCAGAGTCCAACTATGCCACTGAACAGATGCCATGGACTCAGTGACCTTTTCCACTGAGGTCGGGTCATCAAGTGAGGTCAAGAGCCATGTACAGAGACAGTCTAATGTCACACAATCCTAGCCAAAAAAAGTCAAGGGAAAGGTTAACGTTCAAATGCCAAGTTCTTTGTCAAGAAAACTTTCAAAATGGTGTATCACTCTACTAAACGTACCTTGTAGCAGGCAGCGATGACAGCAAGTATTGGTTCCCTGAGTGCTACAGCGTGCGCTAACAGTGACTTCCAAGGGATCGGCGTGGTGTTACAGTCAAACAAGACACCAAACAGGTCCTTGGGAACTCGGTTGATGTCGAGTTCTGTACAAAACAAAAAACAAAATGACATGAGCAGAAAATTACTTCAAACCATATGGACGAACCAGTGTGCATAAACTCCACAGTGGTCACAATAGACCCCTCTCACAGACAGCCATTTTCGTAGGAAAATTACAACTGCGTATTCAACGCCATCAGGTATGTGCGTGCGCTGTGTGCAAAATGTTCTAAATACACGCGCATGTTGTTCGAAATTTCTTTGAATTACGGCGCTGATGCATGTCACGAAAATTTGTCGCGTGACAATCTGTAGGCAGTGACGTCATTTGAGAGTACTCATCTATAGAGTACCAAAGTCTGACGTCGGCTATCTTTGTTCTGGTTCACGCGCTGCTTCACGCGCTGATGTCTTCACACGCTTTAAATAAGCTATGCATCTGAACCAGAATATGCGGCACACTTCGGTACTCTATTTTGTTCCCTCTTCGTAGTCCATTTATTTTGTGTGTGTTTATGCGTACTGCACTGAACGGGCCTCCACGCATGATAACAAGACACAAAACACATACATCCATGTGCAAAGGTTCTTTTCTGCAAGAAGCTGTGTTAAAAACCAGGTTTGGTTTAGCCTTGTTGCTTTGAAATTTTCAGGTAATTGTTGCCATCTGGAATACCTTCCGGTACAACAATTTGTGGGACGCCTTCATCTGGAGACATAGCATCCTCACTGCCGCATGTAGTGTCATCTTCAGAGCTCATGTCCGTGTCTGTAGGAATAGAAATAGAATGGAATTATTCATCATCCCACATGAAATCCAGGAGTTGAGTATGCTCTCTCTAATGCACATGGACAAGTAACAAATGCAAAAAAAAGGTCCTTAAGATTTTCTTTAAGGGATCTTGTTTCATCTGCACAAAAAAACATAGTTGTCAACTTGACTTACTTTGTCGTCGTAGAAACCCCACTCTCTGGTAGTAATGTGCCTTGATGTCTCGGCTGCGTTGGCCAGACTGTGTGACTGGCCGACTGACCGAGCTCGGCTGGTCATCCCTGAGGATGGCCGGCCCCCGGTGGAGATTGCGGAAGGCGTCCTGAAGATGCTCCCTGATGGTGGTACTCCTAAACCTTGGCAGCAAATCAAGTACCTATTGGGGAATGGAATCCAGAATGCTGTAGAGATTTTGTAGGTCCATGGACAGAAGGATTCACTGAGTTTCCGGGACCCAATCTCAGGGAGAAAAATGCCGGTAAGCACATCATAATTTTTTAAGATTAGCGGAAAATCAGCTGAGATTATCCATGCTTGCACAAATGCTGGGATAGTTGAGGATGTGAAAAAAATGCTAATTATTCAAGGTATCACAGTTTTTTCTGCTTTAGTTGGCATCACTATTTGGTTGTTAACCAGTGCAATGAAATTGGGACTGGGCTTTACTAGTTGAAAATCTTGGGTCATTTTTAACAACAGCTGCAAATCCAAAATTTCAGTTTCTAATCCGTTTTTGCCTAAGGTAGGAAAATCTGACTTTCCATAGTTTTCCTCGGCCCGGAAGTCCAAAGCACACTTTATATTTTATTTTTTCTGTGGTTTCAGTTATCACCGAGTTCATTGCAAGAAGCTTCCATCCTAGGAACTTCCCTATGAAATTCCGTATTCGTCCAAGTTAAGTAGAGGGAAGTCCCTACCTGTTGCTTTGGATACTGGTGCCCCTGCACAAAACAGGTGAAGTGTAACCACTGGTTGTCTGATGCGCACTGCGCGGGGTAGACAGCACTGAGGGGCAGTTTATGACGTCGACAGAAGTGAATAGCCAAGGACCACTCCTCTGATGCTTCCCATGAGGATCTGACACAGCCAAAAGATGAAGACAAGAATAATAAAAAATAACAGCGTTGCTGTTGAAACCCCTCAGCCAGAGTCAAGTTATCATCCGGAAACCATTAACCTTTAACTCAACGTGGTGACCTTGACCTTTGGCCTTTGACCCCAGAACCAGTCCCAACATGCCTGTACCAATGGGAAACCCCCTACCGAAGTTAGACACCAACATTTCATTTCTAACTCAAGGTATCATTCGGAACCATTTACATTGAACTCACCACGGTGACCTTGACCTTTGACCTTTTGACCCCAAAACTAATCCCAACTTGCCTGTACCCAAGGGCAAACCCCTACCTCAGTCAGACACCAAAATCTCATTTCTAACTCAAGTTATCATCCGGAAACCATTTACCTTTAACTCACCATGCTGACCTTGACCTTTGACCTTTTGACCCCAAAACCAATCCCAACTTGCCTTCTCCCAAGGGGAACCCTCTTCCAAAGTTAGACACCAAAATCGCATTTCTAACTCAAGTTATCATCCGGAAACCATTTACCTTTAACTCACAATGGTGACCTTGACCTTTGACCTTTTGACCCCAAAACCAATCCCAACTTGCCTACTCCCAAGGGCAACCCTCTACCAAAGTTAGACACCAAAATCGCATTTCTAACTCAAGTTATCATCCCGAAACCATTTACATTTAACTCACCACAGTGACCTTGACCTTTGACCTTTTGACCCCAAAACCAATCCCAACTTGCCTACTCCCAAGGGCAACCCCCTATCAAAGTTAGACACCAAAATCTCATTTCTAACTCAAGTTATCATCCGGAAACCATTTAACTTTATCTCACCATGCTGACCTTGACCTTTGACCTTTTGACCCCAAAACCAATCCCAACTTGCCTTCTCCCAAGGGGAACCCTCTTCCAAAGTTAGACACCAAAATCGCATTTCTAACTCAAGTTATCATCTGGAAACCATTTACCTTTAACTCACAATGGTGACCTTGACCTTTGACCTTTTGACCCCAAAACCAATCCCAACTTGCCTACTCCCAAGGGCAACCCTCTACCAAAGTTAGACACCAAAATCTCATTTCTAACTCAAGTTATCATCCTGAAACCATTTACATTTAACTCACCACGGTGACCTTGACCTTTGACCTTTTGACCCCAAAACCAATCCCAACTTGCCTTCTCCCAAGGGCAACCCCCTATCAAAGTTAGACACCAAAATCTCATTTCTAACTCAAGTTATCATCCGGAAACTATTTACCTTTATCTCACCATGCTGACCTTGACCTTTGACCTTTTGACCCCAAAACCAATCCCAACTTGCCTACTCCCAAGGGAAACCCTCTACCAAAGTTAGACACCAAAATCTCATTTCTAACTGAAGTTATCATCCGGAAACCATTTACATTTAACTCACCACGGTGACCTTGACCTTTGACCTTTTGACCTCAAAACCAATCCCAACTTGCCTACTCCCAAGGGCAACCCCCTACCGAAGTTACAACCCCAAACAACATTTCTAACTCAAGTTATCATCCGGAAACTAAGCTGCCCGGACGGACGGACAGACACACATACATCCGGACGGACGGACGCCCTAGGCGATGACAATACCCCTCGAGCCTCTCGGCTGAGGGGTAAAAAGAGAAAAATTGTGTTATTTCTCAAACCTCCTCTTCAGATTCAGGCTCCAGCTTTCTGATTACAGGTCCTGATATTCGGAATCCTGGCTCAATAAAACATTTTTTAAAAAGGTCCGAGTCATGTGTGGGACTAGTGTCTGGCTCGCACCACCTAACAGCCCGACGGTAACAACTACTGATGAATGGCATTGATGCTGCTTGAAACGTCAAGGAGAACCAGTAAGTTTGATTGTGTACAAATAACATATCTCCCTTCAATTATACATCATTCACCATCAGATGAACCGAAATCAAGGATTTACTGAAGATTACGGCCAGAGCCACGTGGAAAACTCAGACAAATTGAAAATCCATTGAATCAAGAAAATTGCACAACATCAGGATCACCGAGTGCTCATCAAAAACCTATACCTCATCATAATAGAAACTAAAATTCACATGATTTATTAGGACAACAGCAAAGTCTTAGACGGAAAAACAGTACGATTTACAAGATGGTTGAAAGAAGCAATCTTGATTAAGAAAACTGAGAACATGAACAGGGACGAGGGGGCTAAATGTGCGGGAGCATTATTGGGCTCGCGCCACCTAATGACCAGATGCTAACAACTTCTGATGAATGGCAACGATGTTGCTTGAAATGTCTTCAAAAATTGTCTGAGTTTTTAACTTCAACATGATTATTCGGTGAAAAAAACGAAAGCAGACAACAATCCACAGCGTTTGAATAAATAAAGTAAGTTTGTTCATGCACTGACTCTGGTAGGGAATCTCGTCACGAAAACACAACAACCAGACAAAAAGGCAATGGATTTTGTTAAGAAAATCTCCACTTTCTTCTCTCATCTTTGACACAGAGGATAAAGAGAAAAGTACACACTTACAAGTCTACTTTGATGAGATTGAGCTTGCTTGTGATGGCAACCTCCAACAATCTCAGGACTTCTTCAGCATTGCTCTTTGAGCCTTGAAGACATGCAAGCAGCCTCTTCACTGAGATACACACACAAAAATGTAGGGGAAAAAATCATTTTCAAACTGCAGACAAAACTTTAAATTTTGACTTACCATCGCAAGATGAGGCTTTCTAAGTACATTTTGGGGCAAGTTTGGCAGGATTGGATATTAACTATTCAGGTCAAATGATTTCTTACCATGGGAAGGATTGTGTCAAAAGAAAAAAAACCATTTCAAAACTGGAGGTTGCTGGGAATAGTGTTATCAGTCTCAGGAATTGTAGTTGGAATGCACAAATGTAATAGAAAAAAGTCTAGATACCAGACTTCTCAAATTGCTCATTTACCCAGATTTTGTTCCAGTTGCTCCTTGTCCTTCCTGGTCTTGGCCCCGCCTCCCCCTCTGGATTCCGTGTGCTCCAGTATGGTCAGGGCAGCCTGGAGGTCAATACGTATTGACAAGCTATCCTGGCCCAGCATCTCCACGAATGCAACACAGGCCGCAGCGACGGTACGATTGGAGAAATGCTTGATGGCCGTGCAGTAGGCCTTCAGGTGTGCGGCTAGGAGCCTAGTGGTACAAGAATGGACATTTCTGTCAATGTACTATGGGTGGAAAAAGGACATATCCTCCCAGTCTCCCCAGCCCAACAAAATGATTCCAAAGTCACATTTTAGTAAAACCTAAAAAGTCTTGGACAACATAAATTGGTAGGAAATGCCACAATTTTCTCCCACTTTAACATTTTGTTGCAATATCAATATAAAAAGCTGACAATCCATGGCATTTCAAATTAACAAAAAAAGTGAAAACAAGTCCATGAAATTCATTTTGTAAAATTCTCTCTAAGTGCTCAATTTTTTGTCTTTCCGAGGTTAAAACATTCTAACTTCTAAATGAAATTCTGCTAGGGTCTACCACGCGAAACTCTTAAAATTCCTTACAGCAATATTTACAAGAAATACAACCAATAAAAACAATGTATACATCATTATGTCTGACATATTTTTCTTCCGGAATACAAAACCAACAAGACACCACAGACAATACAAAGATATCACGATGGAAATTCAACAGAAATGAGTACAGCCAATTCTAAAATATGACCATCATCTATATTTTCCATCTCAAACTATCCTTGATAGGACTCCAACAGGATCGCAGACATAACAAGATAGAAAGATTCTAATGAAACCTTTACTTTTTCTTCGTTGGCGTTCCTCCTCCCTGTAGCTGGCTGGCCAGGAATGCTAGGTAGGCAAAGGAGGGTCTGCCTTGGTACAGGTAGTAGGTGAAGCGGAAGGTCTCGGAGTAGGCGTAACGACCTGTGAGATACTGCTGGGAGAAGTGGGGCATCTCGGTACGATCTGAAAGAAAAACCAAGCAGGCAGTGATGAAATTGAAATACTTGTGTTGAACCACAAGTCTGTTACAAGTCACCAGCCCCAAGTTGACTAAAAAGCTATTTTACTGAACTGTAACAAAGACATTCTTTCGTTGCTGCTATACCTGTTACTTGTGACTGAACTTGTGATCCATTACAAGTACCCTCAAATACTACGCTGGTTTGGAGCCATCGTTTTTGTCAGATTTGGATTCAAGCTCGAAACCAAAACATTTACTTAGTAGACTGAAGGTGCACTTGAGCACAAAACTTCCAGAACAAGCTCAGGTCCAGACTTGACTTGAACCCTGGCTGAAACGTACACTTGATTCTGGGCACATCTACTGTCGCTGTTTTGGCCTAGCAGGTGGAAATCAAAGCCTATTTTTTTGTGGCAAAATTGTTGGAGACAAGCTGTTTATGGGTTACAACCAAAATCGCTAAACTCACCTCGTTTGTTCACCATAGGGTTAGTAGTCTGCCATTTGAACAGCCTGGCTGGATCGTAGGGACAGTTGCCCTGCAATGGGCGAATGACAAAAACAATCAATTTTAAATATCAACATAATCATTTGACTTTTCTGAAGTATATCAGAGCTAGATCCAATGTGGTAAAGAACATATAATGACGTGACATCATTAAATGTGACAAACAGAACATCAGATACAACAACTTTCAACAATTGTTTTTTGGGGCATTTTGGGCGAATGCTACATCTGATTTTCATAAATTCGGTGTCCAAACGTCTGCAAGGCATCAGTCTTCAAGCAACTGAAAGCTTGGCACAAAAATCAAAAACATGCTGGCAATTCAGATAAAAATGCACAGGAAAAACACTGATCTAAAGCCCTTACTTGCAGCAGCTGGTAGACGGTAATGTCCTGCTGACTAACTCCATCTACATCAATGGGAGGGAAGACTGCTGTCTGTAGCTTAGGGTAAGCCTTCAGGGCTGTCTCTAGCACCTCAGCATCTACCTTCCACAGTCTCTCCTCGACCGTAGTCGCTGGCGTCATAGCCTGTGAAGACAACACACAAAATTACCTCATGCCGCTGTAAACTATGTACAGGAGGGTATTAGCCTACATACTTCCGGGCTCAATTTAATGGCCCTGCTAACCCAGTATTCTGTAATGGGAGACTTTTGAGACGTTGGTGGCAGCGAACACACCGGTCCTGTTCAATTCTTTACGTCGTGTTAAAGCTAAAGCATGCATGCTCAATATGACCACCAACGTCTGAACAGTCTATTATGATTGAATCAATTGCTGTGATTGCAGTGCTAGCGAAGAAATCCTGTGCTAAACCTGAAAACATTGTTCATCTTTACTTACAGGAAAATGACAAGAAATACGCCAACCGTAAATGCAGAATCTTCTGCAACATTTCACGGGGATTTTTCCTTTACAATAAGCAAGGCCATGAAACTGGGCCCAGATTTGAAGAAAATTGGGTACGATTGGACTTAGATTCAATTCACACTATGTGGACTTATAGGCGCTGACTCAACCGACTGAACAAAAATTTGGACTTCATGTTTGTGCCATGAAATGCATAACAAGCACTGTCTTAAATTACTTCAAAGTTTTAAGAATTATGCTACAAATATTACTTATGTGTTACATATTGACAAAATCAAACATCTTTAAAAACAGTGTTTCAATATTTCAATATCTGAAGAAATATATGAGTATGCGATTTGAAGGCAACAGGGCCATGAAAGGGGGAAGGGCAGCAGTTTGGAGGGGTACATAAATATGTAAAAAAAATATTGTATTGAGAACTACAAAAAGAAGGGGAGGAAACTGAGGCGAAAAAAGTGGTCAGGACGGCACCTTCTTTAAATATAGATTATTTGGTAAATTAGGAAGATGGTCAAGGAAAAATGTATTCACAACTTGGTGGCAATGCAAATGAAATTGAAATACCTCTGAGAAAGTTCCTGGAGCAAAGATGAGGGTTGCCAGGGCAACTAGGGGATAACTGGCTACAAGCTGTGAGACGGTTGGCTGGCTGTTGCCTAGCAACAGTTGGGAGTTGGAGAGGCTGGCTTGGAACATCAGTGAAGGATCTGGGGGGAATTGGTTTAAGATGCAGATTACACATTGACAATCCTTGTTGAACATTTTGGGATCGATCCTTTTGATGACAAAACTCATCATCTGTAAAATACTTACAGGTGAAGATAGAGTAAAGGATTGCTTTTTGGGGGGGTTTTGTGGGGGGGGGGGATCAATTATCTCCTGTATTCTTAGTCCTTTATATTTTCCTTGTTGAAACATCCACAATGACCCACAGACACAACTCGAAAATCCACAATTCTTTCAATAACTACTTGAAAAAGATCACTTGGATGAACAAAAAATAATGACTTCAGTGGGATTCTAACCTGCGAAACTGGATAACAGGGCTTCTGACTAACACCCAAAAGCAAACACATTGACTAAATTAGGTCTGCATGGCTATTTTGCATGGATAATTGTTATGGTCACTGTTTCAAATCTCCCTTCGATTCTTTTCTTCGCTCAACCCAAAATTTAGAATATCTAAATTACCTGTGGTTTGTCTTCCCACCCATCGGAAGTGAAGCAGCATCTCTAGCCAGCTACAGTCACTCAATGGTGGTTGCATTGATATCACCTCATTCTCAGACAAATACAACCTTAGAACAAAAATAAAATAGTTACATGTAAAAACCGTCTACAAAAGTTAGGCCAAAGTTTATGGTGCTGCTGGGAAGAAAATAGTGCCCAGAAAACATAAGTTCTGAACAAAAGTCACAGATCAATACATGTGCCCAATATGTGCACAACAATTGTGTGCAAGCTACTCAAGTTGTTCAAGTTGTAAAGTCTACAAACAAGTAAAAATATACAACTCGATCACAAGAAATCAGTCACGTGTTTGCAAGAACCCAATCAATAATTTGAATAGTGGGGAACGTTAGCAGTCTTTTCCTGCAAACTTGATATCAAAGCGATATTTTGTAGTTAATATGATATTTTTGTATAGGCTTCTAACACTAATTTAAAGGCCTGGCTCACTTTCCTTGTTCAGATTTTGATGTGATAACTTAAAAGACAAGAAAAGAACGAAAGTGTACCCGTAGAAGTCAAAGTAGAGGTACAAGACGTTGGGCAGTTCCTCTTTGAGACACATTTCAATGAACCACTGGTTGAATCTCTCCCTCATGTCTCCATCTCCGTGCAGTGATGATGGGTCAGCATATAGCTGTAAGGTACGACCGAGTCGCGTCAAGAGGAAGTCAAATTTGGAGAGTTCAGTGGATGAGAAGATTCCTCGACTGTTGACAAAAAAAATTGACAATATTTAATTTCACTGCGCAGTCCAATGGTGAAGTTCATGCAACACAAAATTATGTGTGCTTAATCTTTAGTAGCATTAAACCCTGCCCTGCCAGATGCAACACATTGTATCATGTATAAAAGTCTGTGGGACTTTGCTGCATCAAGTCACCAATACAAGTGCATAAATTGCCAATTCTGAGACAAATGAACTCCCATTGAATAATGCCACAATTCTATCCTCCTGCAGTTGGCAACCACAGACTCTGAGGCAGTTTGGCCTAGGGATTTCTGACCAGTTGGATCTTGTTACACTGGGCAGGCTGGTAGCTTTGGCATGTGTTTCATGTTGTTGCATGGGTATCTCTAGAGACAAAATAGCCCATGTAGAACGCCATGGTCCAGTGGCTATGGTGTTTGACTCGTGTACAATGGCGCGTGGGTTCGAACCCTGCCAGGAACATGGTATTTGTGCCCATGGGTAAGACAGTTAACTACAATTGCCTCTCTCCATCCAGGAGTATAAATGGGTACCTGTGCGGGTAGAGAACTGAATATGTGCTGATATTGGCTGCCGCGTGGTGTCATGGCCTGATTAATTCAAACAATCACAACTAATAGAATTTAACAAACCTTGCAAGTTCATCCAGGATCTTTTCTCTCACATAGCCTGGGCGCCCCTCCAAGTCATCAGCCCCGTCTGCAAACAGTGGTTGGGCCAGGACTGGGCTGAGATGCTCAGGCTTAGTGGTACGGCTGCCTGCTCGGGGCAGGCTTGCTGTGATCCAATCAACTAGGTGCTTGCTGTCAGCATGGGCAGTCAGGTAACGCCAGGTGGATTTAGGATTGATGTGTGGCCGAAATGAGGTATCTGGAATAGGAATTTACATTTGCACTGATTTGTAAAACTCACAATACTCGCTGTTATTCAAATTAAACCTTGCAAGTGGCTTCTTTTTATTAAATCCTCACCTTTAGAGTTCAGAAGCACGTCAAGCAAGACTCGCTCTCTCAACTCTTGGTCCCAGGTTCGAACCCACTCCAGTACAATGTGAGCATAGTGGAAGTTCTCACAGTTGGGCGGTTCACAGTTGACGAGCTCTCCCCGCTGCAGTCTGGTTTCCATGAAGTTCTGGGCCCAAAAGTTCAGGGACTGTTTTGGCGGGACTATGCCAGCCCAAGTTCTATGGGAAATACAAGCCAATATGACACACTACGTGTAACTTCCCCCTGCAAAGCCCGCTGCACACTTTTCTGATTTTACCGGTTCGACGGATCACATTTTCACAATATTTCAAAATGCAGTTGATCAGCATAAGTACGTGTCTTCTTTCAACTCTAGCATTTGAAAGAAAGAGGGAGTTTATCTCCCACAAAAAGAGGGAGTTTATCAAGGCACTACCAGCGCCTTGAGTACCTAATTGTTGGTAGATACGTGCGTTAAATAAGACTCCGGTATTATTATTATTATATATCATATGGAAAAGCATCTCTCTTGACCACAAACATCATTGCACTTTTTTCGTTCACAGAAAAAAATCCTAAATATTTGTAAAATTGACAGTGTCCACTGGAATTGAAGCATCCTTTGGTGTTGTCGTGATACCAGTTCTGCACTTAGAGCCTTTGAAGTTATCAATCTGTTCTAGAATTTACGGAATATTCCATTTCACTTACCTTTTCCCACTTTCCAGGGCCAGTGCTTTTGCCCTCTCAAATGACTGGCAGGTGTACAAGTGTTCCAATTGGTGGATGAAGGTAATCATGCCCTCCTCCTCTGGTGTAAACTGCCCTGATTGGCTGAGGTGGTCAATCTGGAATGAATATTCATTATTTTTTTAATATATTAATCATGACCCCACTCTGTGAAAGGCTACAGCCTGAGACTCTATCCACTTTTAAATTCTAATGCACATAAATTGGCATGACTATTATGCTTTAGTTGACTTCAGATTCAAGTCAAGGCTAACATCCTGCCTGATTCTCATGCAAACACGCTACGAGTTGGTGTATATTCCGAAAGAAAATGTCAGGCATTTTTCCATGAATTTTCATGCTCTGTTGATTTTTAATAGGTTTATAATGCATTTTCACAAGCTGGGGAGGACAGCACAACTCACCAAGAAGTTTCTGAGGTTGTGATTTGCCGTGTACAGACACATCTTCTTCAATTGCGCATTCACATCATAACCCTGAGGCAAAAACAAGATTAGTGCACAAGTTTCAGAAACCTGCACAAGCAAGTTTTATAGAGAAAGGTTTTCGCAGGTACCAATACAATTTGTGAACAAAGAAAAAAATGATGAAAGCCACGAAGCAAGCCTTTGCTTTGCATATAATCTGTGCATTTTTCTCAAAATGAACAGCCATGGAAGTGTTTGCAATTTAAGGAAATATTTAGTCTTGCTTTCCAGACACATACCATGTGTTGCAGCATCTTGGTCGCCGTTTTGAGGTCAGCATTGAGCAAAGAATTTAGCATAAGATGAAGCCCCTGCTCAATCAAATCCGACATCTGAACTTTGACCCCTGACCCTCCATGGCAACTACACAGGTATGCCTGCGCCAGTGGCAGACAGCGTTTCAAGATGGCATCTTTGATCACTTCCTGTTACCAGAAGGAAAGGTGTCAACAGTAAAGCAAAAGAAGGCAAACTCCCATTTTAAAAGTTGACTTTTGCAAACGAGTCTACAGAAATCCCAAACAGCACTTATTAGAAGCCCTTGTTTAATTTGACATAAAGCTTCACAGCATTTTTTCTCATGTTATCATAAGGGTGAAAATATGTGACCTGCCACAAAAAAACAGGTATTATGTCGCAAAAAAATTGAGTTACCTACATGGTTGGAAAGGCCCACAACGTAAGCTTTCATTCGGTATATAATAGAGCTCCATAGCCCCTCCCGTTCTGGAGATACAATGTATTACTTCCTTGGAGCTCGAATTACACAACTGAGAAAACAGGCCTTGAAATAGTTGGCTCTGTTGTAGATTTGGGCACGATGCACTCCAAATTGTAGATTTTCCCCCACTTTATACATCGAAATCAACATTTCTGTGAATGAACCCTGAAACTTTAGGTAAAAAAATGTGACTCATGACATGACAACATTTTCACCTTCGGGCCATTACACCATAATGTACAGCGCGACTCGATACCCTTTTTGTGGAGCAGGTCACATATGGGACCTGTTCTGTCAAAAGCAGACGCTTCTGGGCAGAGGTTGAAATTGAGATAGGGCCAAAAAACGCTGTGGGGTGATTTTTATCGATTTTCTAATTTTTGCATATTTGTAATCCTGAACATGTCTAAAATATATTATAAAAGTTTGAAACCCTAATTTGAACTCTACATATACTATTTTTGATGATTTTGATAAGGTATATCACTCCGTTTTCTACTTTTTGACACAATGAACTTCAAAATAGCATAACTCTGCCCAGGAATGACCGGTTTCAAAAATTCAACCACCTATTAAAAGGGAAAATAACATATGTTAACAATATGTAAAAATATCGTTTTCGACCTTATGCCCAGAAAAGTCTGATTTTGACAGAACCGGTCACATATATGCATACGACATAACCCAACCGATCACCGAGGATAAGAAAGGTTGTGACAATGTACTGCAAAGAGTAATTGCTATAAATACTTTGCATTCAAATGATTCAAGCATCACGTAAGCAAGTAACGACCAAGCATCTGAAAAAAACCACCACCATTGCGGCAATCTGTTGTACCACAAAGTGCAGTCAGAAACAATGTTAAGACAACATGCTCCAAAAGAAATGATGAAAATAGTGGGGGGGGTTAATGCATGAAGGACAAAAATAAATACAAACATGATTACAGTTGGGTAATTTAAGACAATATGGGTTAGCTAAAGAAAGGTGTATTGAAGTTCTCCAATACCTCTTGTTTTCTGGCATGTGGAATGTAAATGCATTAATTTTCTATCAAAACTGATTTAGAGGTGGGCACTAAGTACCACAGCTCATGCTTATGAGTGCACAGTGAGATGCCATTCTTTCCAATAACCATACATTTACCGCACATTAATTTGCATTTGTTTTTTCTGACGACTAGAATATTTAAAACCAACTGCAACGTTGATCATTCGACATTTCCTGTTCGATGCTGCTTCTATAATAGTTTATATTTTCAAACTTTCAGTGAAATTAGTTTCAATCTTGAGAGTACTAAGGAATGACTCAGGAATAACAGTCGGAACTGGGAAGGGCTCACCTCTTGTTGCATTTTTCGCCACTTCTTGATTTGTTTCTCAGCTATTTGTCCCTCCAGTAGAAATAAATCTCTCGGCCCAGAGTCAACCTCATCTGCAAATGAAGTCATCAAATGTTTAACCAAGATTTCACTGATTAATACTGAAACTGCAGTGATGAAAAGCTATGCTGGATTTATTACTCAGTCTTCACTTCAAAACCGATGCAAATTCTATTATTGGCTACCAAGGTCAGGAATCGCTGAAATGCTACTAGTTTGTGCACATTCAATCGATAACTATACGCACTGTGCCATTTACACAATATAACCCCCGCATGAAGCGCCATGTTCCAATGGTTATGGTATTTGACTCATTTGCCGTGGTACGTGGGTTCCACCCCTGATAGGGAATATGGTGCTTGTGTTCTTGGGCAAGACACTTTACTGCAATTGCCTCTCTCCACCCAGGAGTATAAATGGGTACCCGTGAAGGTAGAGACCAGAATGCACTGATCTCAAGCTGCTGCAGAAAAACTGGTCTCATTGCCTGATGAACAGGGGTAATAATTGTGAAGCGCTTTGAGACCTTTGGTATAAAGCGCTATATAAGCACCACATTATAATGAACACGTGTGCCTTTCACTGGCTTTCATGAGCTAGCTTTACAGCAAAGTTTTAGTTGAATTCGATCAAAAGTAAATCATAAGTTCATTCACAAGTCTGGTCACAGGCAACGGGGATGAACAATAACAAAGGAATGCCTTTGTCACTCTTCAATTCAATAACTTGTAACTTGACAGGTCTGGAGGACTTGTGATTGTCTTTTGATGGACTTGTGAGGACTTGTAATGGACTCAAATACAACACTATTATTATTATTATTATTATTTATTCGACCATCACAAAACAAAACAAAACAAAATTGAGTAAAACGTGCATAAAACAATGAACAACAAGTACAATAAGACTGCAACACTACCTACACGTACAGTTCCTACATGGAGGAATGACATCCACTAATTAGCCCTAACCCCTAGGCCCTTTTTGCTGGGAACCATCCTCAATCCTCCAAAATCCTCCACCATGTTGCACTTGATGTTCAAATGAAGGATACCCAGCACCTCAATCCTTCAAAAATCGTAAGACAGTCCTGCATCTCAAAATACATTCATCCTCAATCTTCTAAAATCCTCCTCTTCAAACACCTTTCATCCTCAATCCTCCAAAATCCTCATGTGCTTCAACACCATTCATCCCCATTCATCCAAAATCCTCATGTTTCTCAAACACCATTTCTCCTCAATCCTCCAAAATCCACCACAACCGCCAAGAGGATTTTGGAGGATTGAGGTGGGTTAGAGTTAGTTAATATCCACCTATTTATTACCTTTATTCACTGGGACTTCCTTCTCCTGTTTCGCGCCGATCCACTTGGGGCATCCTTTCAGGTACACCCACATGTCCCGGACGTAACCCTGAAGCCTCTGGAGGGCTCCCTCCAGCACCTCCTCTGTCAGGTTCAGTCCCTCCATGATGCCCAGCTCATCCTCCCCCCGGCTTCGCAGCAACGCGGCCGTCTCGCTGGCATTCTGCACCAGCCGGTTGACGTAGGCCAGCGTCAGGTTCAAGAGCTGCAGGGCGTACTGACGGGACTGGTGCTCACGGGCGTGGGCCCTGATGGAGGCCATCAGGAGGTCCAGGGCCGGCCAGAGCTGGGTCTGGTCAGCCGTGGGAGGGGACGGGGTGCGGGGACTGCCCATTCGAGCTGGTGAGCTGGGCGATGGACAGTACCTGAAAACTACACAGGAAAACAATGCTATGTTCACTGGGTGGGAAGTGGTGCCCCGTAGTGTCTCAATTCAGTGTTTTATTAACACTGTTTATTCCCTTACAGCCAACATTGAGAGTATACAGATCGGTGTTGTGCAAGGGCATATTGCAAAGGTGAAACATCCGCACAAAAGTATACTTCTGAAAATTGCTGACATGGGATTTAAATGATCTGTGCACTACAAGCCTCACGGAGCAAAAGAGTTCAACTTCTGCCTCTTTTGAACTTTGTTGAATTTACTTAATTATAAATAAGACCCAAAAAATTGCAGTTGAAACAAGAAGAATAGCAGTTCTCTTACCATTCTCTCTGCTCTTGAGGAAGAAGGCTACTGTATCTAACTGCCGTTGCTTAAGGCCGATCTCCAGGGCATGTATGGGAATGGAGTAATGATCCCAGTGGTTCAAATGACACACCGTCTCAGCCAGACTGGCACTGCTGTAAATCATCAGCTACAAATTCATCACATCAAAAAAACAAGACTTTACAATTTTGGATATTGTAGGAACAACCGTACAAGTGAACTTCAAACACTAGGGGTGAGGTTGGGAGGAGAATGAAACATCCACAAACAATCGGCAGAAGATTGGGAGCAGATGGCCACAAAGCAACGTAGGGTCTACAGTATATGTTTGTATTTGCCTAATTAAAGGCATCCCTTAAATAACCATTTATTTTGTTCTGAATATTTTTTTGTTGTTTTAAAAACACCTTTACAGATAAATCTCAGGGATTCCAGATTTCAGAAGGGATTCTTAACAAATCTTGAAATCAGGGAAAATCCTGACAAAAAAATCCTGAAATCAGGAAAAATCATGACAAATCTCACCTTTGAAACACAGAGAAAACACTGCACATTGTGGATAACATAGGAAAAGCAGTGTGAATGCACGAAAATAATGTATTCTGAAGGAAATTCACACAACCTGTAAAACTGAATGTTGATCCATTGGTTGTTCAGCAGTTAAAAAAAGTCTTGTATTTAAAAAGTCTGTCATCTAAGACCTTTTAGAGACTCTGCAGCCGATTTCATGAACAGTGCATGCGTAGGACTTGCGAAACAAATTTGTTACGCAGCTGCACAAAAAACTTCCAATTATAAACAATATAAAAGGTGAACAAGTACATATTATTGGCAACAGATGACCCCCTTATTTATGGTCATCAAAAAAGTGATGATTTATAAATCAAAAGTTGCTGACGAATAGTGTCAAAGATAAGGGCACGACTTTTGCTGGTACGTGTTTACTGATTATCTTTTGAGGAGGTTCATGTATAAGTAGGCAGACTGATTATATTAGATTGAATTTCAAACTTTTTTTCTCTCTCTTTTTTTTTTTTTTGGGGGGGGGAAATGTGGTTAATGCATTTAAAAGCCCAAAACTGCTTATTCCAATTAATAGGGTTCCTTTAAGTGTAGCATACAAGTACTATCTATACCTTATTGACAAGTGTCTCTTGATCCACTCCATAGGCTAGGGCTTCAATACTACCATTAGACAGGAGGAGATGTGGGTGGCTGGAGTTAGGGGAAAAGCTGACGACAACAGGCTCTGCAAAGCTGTAAAATTAGGAAACAAATAAACCAAACTCAAATCATGAAGCAAGAGTTTTCAGACAGGAACCGGAACCAAGCACCAGTGGAGTAGCGGTGGGGCCTGACAACAAAAAAGAGGGGGGGGGGGTAAAAGAGATCTTACTGCCAGGAAGGGGCCTAACCCTTCTGAATCCAACAGGATCCAACTATGTCACATACCCGATGGAGCCTGTTGGATTGAGCAGTTAACCCCTTGTGTACATTCCTCATGTAAAATGTTGGATTCAGCAGGCAACTGAACCGCATTATAACGCATTGTTGGACTCCGTTGGATTCAGCAGACAACTGAAAATGAGGCACAGTGGATTGAACAGGAAAGTCCGGTTGGACTCTGTTGGATTTTCAGGGTAGTCCTGAGGAAGTACCAGGGGGTTAGGGTTAAAAACAGCTAGGTACACATGAATTAAACATATTTGTATCATAACAAGTCTTTTCCGCACTGCAATCTAAATGTGTCAAACTTAAATGTTCTTCTCTGTACTAGTAATAAGGTTTGTGGGGTAATCAACGTACATGTACCAAGCTTTCACCTTTAAAAACTGATCATATTTTAGCAAAGACCAAAAAAGGTGATTAAAAACAATATAATTTACATTACATAAAATGTGATAAGAGAAATCTGACCTTTTTTTTATAGACTAGCTAACATATTAAATTTCAAAAAAGATTCTTTGGGAATTTTAGTAATGGACTGTTAAACCAATTTAGCAATCCAGAAATTTACATCTCCCTCACTAAAAAAATTACATCAAACGGCTGTTGAGATGATTTTTGCCATGGATAACTAAACCTCACCTGAAGTAATCCATGTCATTTGTTCTGAGGTCCACCAGACACACCCCGCCATACCGCCCCCTGTTCACCTCCAGCTTGGCATTGCCCCGGTACCATATCACAGCTGAGGTCCTGGTCACAAACATGCCGGCTACCTCCAGGTCCCGGAAGGCTTTCGTGGCTCTAATGGCAGCGGAGGGACTTAAGGCTAAGTCGGCTTCATCCTCACGCTTCTTGATGACGAGTTTCGGTCGGTAGGAGCCCACAGATTCATGCCTATGTCTCGGCTTGCCAAAACCAGAGATCTTCTCCTGTTTATTCCCTGAGTCGCCGGGCTCCCGATGAACAGTTCCTGATTTGGAAGACATCAGTTCAGTCAGGCCAACACGCTCAAACCAGTTAGCTGTGGCTCCCGATACTGAATCAGGTGACAACTGAGAGAAATCAGCCTGATGAGGTGGAGTCTTACCACTCCTTGATAACAGCCTCGATGCCGATGCAAGGACATTCAACCAGCTTTGATTACCGCCTTCCCCTTCCCTTTGAACTTTAACCCCACCGTGCATGAAAGCAATCTCATCTTCGTCGCCATCCCTCCGGCTCCCCGCTCCTTGAGACAATGACCTACCCGACCTCTGAACTTTGACATGGTAGGGGTAGACTGCAAAGTACTCATTCAGGCTGATTTTGTAGATGTTGAACTTGGCCTGTCGCTGGGTGAGTATGAGATGCCGCAGGTCGGGGCTGACGTCTAGGCATTCAGGGTGGAGAGGTTTGAGTACTTCCATGCTGGCATTCGGGTACAGGTGATGGAGAAACTTGTGGAAGTGGATGCTGGCTACCGCCATCTTTCTGCTCAGTGAATGCACGGCTGGAGTTAGACTTGAGTTAAGATAATAACTACTGCGACAGAAGATTTTGCACTATAATAACGATGACTTGCACAGAATACCCAAAGTAAATGCGCAATTAACCAAATGCATAGACCTCTCAATGGCACTCCCACATATAAACTGCATGAAAAAGGCCTCAGAGAGTAGACAGAACATTATCATAATAAATTTAACTGCTGAATTTTTTGCAGGTACAGTTTACAATCTTCCTTAATTGACCTGTTCACTTAGATAAAAATGTGCTCCTGCATCAAATTCATATTGAACTGCTTTATCAGAACAAATACATAAATTCTTAAAATTACGACAAAAAAAAGACAGCAAGGACAAAGCAACTCTTTTGTATTTGTTCACTATATGAAGTCAGTTATCTTTGAGATAACTAAAGATTCACAAAGGACGTGTTTAATCTTCTTAATTCAGTGTCAGGATTAAACATATTTGGCTATGACTAAGGCTTTTGTAACTCACATGCATGTATTGCTGTGACTAGCCCTAGCCGTAGACAACAGACGTCTACTTAGGAAATTCTGTCTTCATCACTGACTGCCGTTTAGGCTCCATTTTCATGATTTAAGATCCTTGACATGGGAGACACAGATTCATTATCAAGTCTATTTTTCTGCTAGTGAACTTCAATTCACAATTAGTATGTGCTCACATTTTAGAGTAAGTGGGATACCACTTAGGTCTCTGCTTTTTTTTTCTTGAGCTGAAGCCACGGCCAAAGCTGGAGAAGAAGTTGATACTGATATTGAAAAGGATACTGATATTGCCAGACTGGTGCAGTAGGAACACCAACCCGTGCAGCATCTTGCATTGGACTATGCTGCCCACTTTAGGGTCCCAGACCAAAGCCGAGCACTCTTTGGCTTCTGGCTCTTTGTCCTCCCACAGAGATAACTCCAAGAGGATGCTGCCACAGAGGATGGTTGCCGTTGACAATGATGGCGATGATGAGGACGATGACTCAAATGCAAGAAGATGGATGTGTGACACATCAGGTAGATCTGTTGATAACATGTCAGTGAATTACACAAAGGAAAAAACACAATACGGGAAAGACAATTCCAATTTTTGGTTTAATTTTATGACCAAAACGGAAATACGTGTACATGTAGAAGGATTCACTTGCCTGATTTTGAGTGTTTGTGTAATATCTTTCCCAGCTGTTCTGTGGTACACATTGCCACACGCGACGAAACGACTGACTGTGATCCCGTTTCCAAGGAAACATTGTATACGCTGACAACAGGACCATGCTGGAGAGCAAGGAATGACACCAATGTGTAGGTGGAATCTCTGGTCCTTCTGCCTGAGAGTAACCTGTTATTCGTAAGACAAAACAAAAGTTTGTGGAAAAGCAATTTTTCTACATTTCTTTTTAAAGGGAATGTACAACATTTGCTTTTGCTGCAATGTTCAGAATAAATGGATTTGGAGGATGAGAATGTTATAGCAAATATTGTTAAACTGACTTGTTTCACGTTTTGGTCTTGTAGATGCTGGAAAAAAAACAAGAAAACCATTCATGTTCTTGAAGTCTGGTTCTCTGGCCCCACTTATGATGAAAAAGAGCAATTTGTAGACTTTGGGGAATTGTAAGGTCAGAGAATCAGTCTGGCAGGCTTGTACCTCTTCACAGGTGTGTGATCAATTGCAAAGAAAATGCGGAATACTTAAATATGAATAACTAGGAGCAGTTTTTGAAAATAAGCCAGTTTTCTCCAACGCTGGTCGGCCGACCAGCGCTGGAAAAATACACTTTTTCTTGAAAATGTCAGCACACCACACCAGGAGCCACAATTTTACAGGATGCTTTAGACTGTCATTCTAAACAATTTAGTCAGGTATTTCGTGATAATTTGATCATTTTGTTTTTTGATGTTTGCAAATGTTGTATCTTCCCTTTAAAGATAAGCAATTTAGTTGAGGTGTTTGATTTTTTTTTAAAGGGATCAGACACACTTGTGTCAATCTTGAATTGAGCACTTAAATTTGCCACACGCATGTTCCAGTTCAGGGTGCCAACACAAGTGTGACTGATCAAAAGGAAAAGGGTGATTAAATAGATAGTCCAATATTTGAAGGGGTCAAATGGAAAAGGTTGAATATTAAATTGCAGCAGACACGCATTTCTCTTGATACCTTTTTTTCATTTGGAGGAAACAAATCAGCTTTAAGGGTCTGGTAAACAAATAGAAACACTAAAGCTCATACTCTTCATACAGACTGCACACTACATCTAGTTTGTAAAATTAACACCGCTCCAATGGACCAGCGTGACAGTCAAACTTTTACTAGTTTACTTTTTCATTTTTACTCTTACTTAATATTTTGCTTTATCTTATAACTTTCCTTATTAAGAAACGACACCTTTTGGACATGTTAGAAATGAAATTGCGAAAAAGTCACACTTCTGGAAAATGGGCAGATTCTTGCGCACATTTGAATTTTCAAATTTGCAAATTGACATGCTTAAGTTGAAAAGATGTACTCATGTAGGCCTACATAGTACAGTCGTTTTCCTAGTTCCAGATAGCAAACATCATTCAGGCTGCTTTCAGCTGATCTACTCCACGAATTCAAGTGACATTGGTTCAGTAGTTTACCTCGAGTGATGGAGATACTACATAATAATTTTCCAAAATTAAGCTCTTTTTATTTTGACTTTACGATATCAAAAGTACCGATGTCACTTTTCCTAGTTCCGGATCGGTTCAATCGGTTCCGAATCGATCAAAAACTGCTTCGCGCAAAAAAAGAATCACACGAGAAAATTAAAAAAAATTAGCCAGAACTTTTCTGATAAAGTATTATTTCATTTTCCCAAAATAGTTAATTCAAGAGAATTCCACCAAATTTAAAAAAGAGAAAAACGTAAATGATTTTGAAACGTTTGTCTGCACCGACCGAAAACATTTGACACAGCACACAGAATACGTCACACAAAATCGATTAACGGTCGTGTAGTTGGGTCGTAAGGGACGAATAAGTACATGCGCTATCCGGAACTGGGCAAATACATACGGTCATTCGTTGGTGAGTTTTCAAAAATTAGAGACTCTACAACTAATTTTGATTCAACAAACATTCAATGGAAGAGTTTATATGACTGTAGTGTATAAACAAAATATTCAAAATCACACGGTACGAGTGATACACCGAGGAGAAAATTTCTTGTTGATTGCAGCTCCCACGATTTTCTACAAGCTGTCCCAAACATGTCAAAGTGCGAGTCGGAAATTTGGCCCAAATTCCTCTTCTAAAGATTTTATCGAAAAGATCTTCATGAATCAAGAAGCTTACATTTTCATTTTCAAAATGCACTTCGTCAGAAAAAAAATATATTGGAGACTAATCCAAAAGAGGTTGGTTTTTATTTGAAGCTATCCGGAACTGGGAAAAATCCGGAACTAGGAAAACGACTGTAAATGCATATAATTTATACACAGATATATTTTTACTATTTTAGGCCTAGGCTAATATTTGTATGCTCCATTGTATAAAAAATGATGAACTGTTCATCATGATCTAAGCTGTCAAAGGTATCAATTCATCATCTAGTCAGTTGCATAAAACAGCTACATGCCTGTCTATCAGTCTATGGTTGGTAATGTTTAAAGGAGCCTGGGTACCGCACCAAAGTACCGCTGCCAGCCGCCCACCATGCACCATTTGCCCACCTACCGAAATTGCAGCACGTCTTGAGCAATAATAGTGCTATTTTCCAGATCATCTCCGACATTTATAACAACAACATCACCATTTTTACGATGTACGACAAAAACTCGTTCGGATGACACATAGTGGAAGTTAATAATTTGTTCGGGTTTAATTGAATTTGTAACTTTTTGTAACGAAACACTAAAACTCGGTGTGGACACTGCCATCTTCATGTAAGCGAAACATGCAACAGTCGTAGGTATTTACTTTCCCTCAACGTCACGTGAACTTTTGACTGAAATCCAGACTTCTGTTGTGCTAACTTAAACACGAAGGTAATTAGTCAGTGCCCCGTCAGGTGCACACATTGATCTCCATATCATTGATCTCCATATACACTGTGTATACGGAGATCAATGGGTGCACACATGGTCGACCATACTAAATCTTTCCTATCAAATTACAAGACGAGACCACTGGGCACCATACACAATGTGACAATTACAGTCACGTCAACCTCGTCCCCAGGGTGTCGAACAGTACGCGCCCATCACTACCTGCTCTCTTGGAAACCAGGTTGGAAATAAAGTAAGCACTGGGGACGAGGTTGCAGTCGCGTGGATTTTTCACAACAGCCAGGCTAGGCACGAATGAAATAAAATTGTTATTATTATTATTATTATTTACTCATGCCAATTATTTTTCATCACATACAAGATGCGCATAGGAGAGGCAAAAGCGATAACAATCACTGTGGCCAAAGACCTGCCACTCCTCATCAAGTTGTGTACAGAGTAAATAAATATAAGTAAAAAATACTAATATAAAAAGTATTTGAAGCCAAGTTAGAACTAAAAATATTTAAATATAAAAAGAAAAGGATGTGTTTAGTTTCAGGATTTGTTAACACTTCTTACATAGCTCCCAGTATCCCGCTTATGTGATTTGTTTACAAGTTAAAATCACATACACACAAAGACCAATCATAAGCTGAGATACTTCGTATAAAGAGTGGGAAATTTCTATTTTCTAGGCGAGCTTGAGTGGACATTATTTAAATAAAAAAATGTTGTCTTTACGTAAGTAAGGAAGTCATAAACAAAATGTTCAAATGCTATGGCCATTAACAGACGTCTTACGGTGCAGGTATTAGTGTTGAGCAGGTAGACCGTTTAGCCGATTATCGGGTAACTCTGACAGTTTTTTCTTTTTGTGAAAAAAACGAGTTTGACAGAAAATTTGACCTGATGGATTTTTTTGGCAGATTTCTGGCAAAATTCTTGGGGGAAATGGTTATTTGACAGAAAAACAAAGTAAATTTGAAAAAATGGTACACTTTTTTTTGTTTAAAAAAAATTCAATAGTCTCTTCAAACAAACCTTGCATAATGGACAGGTTAGCTGGTCGTCGAGGTGCTCGGAGTTTCAGAACTTTGTGGTGACGCAACCGCCTTTTGCCTGAAATGTACGCAATCTTATAACAAGGCTTTATGTGGCTATAGATTGTTTATAATGTAATTTAAACCTTAATTAAGGCAATACTACAACATCTGCATGTGATTTTAAGTGTTTATACAAGTGTATTTCGAGTAATTCTGGGGAATTTGGCCGATTTTTGATAAATCTGACATATTTTTGAAGTGAATTCAGCAGAATTTGGCCACAGGACCTTACGGTCACCCTGGTGTTTAGGGCGGGGTGATTTGAATAGAATGAATTGTCACGTGCACGGCTCAGTTCGATGGCGTTGTTTGTTGAGCCATAACAAACATTAGTTTCAGTGGTTACGACCAAAAGATTCTGACTATTCCTGATGAATCTTAGTTCAGGTAGCCTTCGGTAATACATTGTCCGAAGTTTGTTGAATTCGTTTCGTCGACAATCGGATACTGCAGTGCCCGAGTATTTCCGAGTATAAATATAGGTTTTTTTAACTGCTAATTGCTTATCAAAAGCTTTAAAAACTAGTTGATAATTAATATCCATTGCTTTATTTTAGAAAACTTGAAATTCAACGACGATTTTGTACTCGGATCGTATACGAGGGGCGAACTTTTTGCTGCGTCATGTACTAATTTGAATTTGACGACCGTTACCGGCATTTTCCAAAACTGGGCGTGGTCTTCTTCGGCTCCGCCTGCTAACACTAGTAACAGTGCTACTTGGGTGCAGGCGCGTACGCAGGGGGGGTGTTTTGGCTGTTAAACACCCCCCTTTGGTATGTAAAAATATGGAGGGAAAAGAGAGTTATGTGACCGAGCGCGGAACAATTACAAATTATGTGCATGTTCTCAACTTTAAGCTTTGAATACAGAAGACACTTTATAAGAGCAAGAATACATAGTCCTATATGTATTTGAAACAAATGAAACAAAATATCCCCTCAATTTTAAAAACTTCTGCTAAAAAAATCAGGGGAAAAGTGGCCAGGAAACGCCTCAGATTGCACCACAGAGCATCTACGATCCAAAATTTCCCGGGGCCCTTAACCCTAAAGGGGCCGGGGGGGCGGAATCTGCCCGCCCCCCCCCCCCCCTCAACATTTTCCGTGATAGCCTCTAAAAAAAAAATTCGCGACCCGAGCTGTTATGACTTTTTAGCCTCGAGCTTTGCGCATCTTTTGATACCAAATGCATAAAAATCGGACCACGGGTTGCCGCGTAGCGAAAAAAATTTCCGGCGCTACGCGCCGTGAAAACTGAATTTTCGCATAAACGTCGTGTACACAGAGCAGAATTGCCATTCGTACATATGAATAATTAATTAGCCATAATTCCAAAACCCTTTGGCCTATAGTCATGAAATTTCTTGGGTATGTTTAGGAAGAGTTGTTCTATGCATGTGCCGAGTTTCAAAAAATTTCGTCACTCGATGGCCGAGATCTTAGGGGGGCGGAATCCGCGGCGCCCCCCCCCCCCCCCCCCGGCTGAGAAATGGTCAAAATAACCCGGCCCCTTTAGGGTTAAGCGGGCCCCGGACCCCACGCCGTAAGTGCTTCGCGCTCCGCGCTCGCATTAGTCCTCCGGCCAAATTCCCTCTATGCTAATTTCACCCTAGCGGTGCCCCCACCTTATTTGTACCTCATTCAGCGAATGGCTGAGGCTCGGACTACAAGGGGCCTAAATCCCTTTCCAAAATAGAAAATTGTGAAAAAATACGGAGATGGAACATGGTTCTCAACTTTGAGTACATAACAAACTTAATGAAGAACAAAAAAAAATAACAAATTTTAATGGAATTTTCGATGTTTAAAACGTTTTCTAAACGGTGGAAGTGGCCAGGAATCGCCTCAGATTGCACCACAGAGCATCTAAAATCCAATTTTTTCCCGGGGCCCTTAAGCGGGCCCCGGACCCCACGCCGTAGGGGCTTCGCGCTGCGCGCTCGCAGGTCCTGGACCCTTCACTACAATTCTAGCCCACCCCGGCAAATGGCAGTCTGAATCCGCCCCTGTGACCAGAGCGCGTTTGTATCCTGTATCTGGAGTTTGGCCTTAGGGGTGGGGGCGGTTTACACAAAGAATTAGATTCCCAACGGATGAGAATCATGAGATCCAGGGGACGAAGCTGAGTAAATTTAGCCAATTACAAGAACAGATCCTAGCACTTCCGCAGCCTGTGTCACTTTTTTTCTTGAATTTCTTCTTTTTTTTGTTTAAATGCTGTTTGTTGAGGGAGGGGACTGCCCACATTGACCCCTTTACTCATATGTTCATCATAAGACACAGAACATGTTTTGTTTTTTTTCGATTTACTATGTTTGGCGCCAACACAAACTCCAGACTTTTATTTTAGCGTTAAGTTTAGCCCACTGATACTATTTTTATTTCGGGCGCCAACACAATTTACCATCTTCATTTCTAGCGTCATAAATGATGACATCCAATTTTGAAACACCCCCCTTGAAAAAATCCTGCGTACGCCACTGCTTGGGTGCCTAACTTTGAAGATTCCATGTCAACATTAGTCAATGTTTTCTTACAGAAATATCCAACTGTTTTAACATAATAACTGTATGATATTATGAAGCAAGTGATTTATTTAAAAAATTTGATCAGAACATTAAATGCTATAAGTGATAAAGCGAGTTCGGAAACGAAGCCGAGTTTTTAATAAGGCCAGTCGATGTCGTCGTGTTTATTTTTAGCCACGGAGGCTGCCTGACCTACAATTTAGACGTAAGCGTCGGGAATAATTGTCAGGTCTGGGAACCAGACGAAACAAACATTTCCTGGCCCCAACAATTATATCAGAAGTTTCAAGTAGTTAAAAATAAACATAAAAAGGAAAGTTGAAATTCATGCACAAACGACCCCTTTAATTTAATAGATTGGACGCGAGTTTGTTTTGCCAGTTGTCACGTATCAAGGAAGGACCTTTGAAATAAAAACTGTATTAACACTAATATTTGTGGTAAGATATATTTATGATTGAAATATGCCTATGGAAAGACTAACAGCTTTTTCTTTATTTACGTCACTTTCATATGTGGAAGCAGACTGTTTGGGTTTCAAATGGGGGGAATCCCGAAATGGGGGGAATTTTAAAGGGATGTCTGTTTATATCTGTTTATATCACAAATGCGGCTTACTCTGTGAAAGGCTTTTTAAAACTTTGATGTCTGGAAGTACTTGATCTATGCATAGAAATGAGAGCAAGAATGCATCTATTTTGCATATACATGTATATTGGGTCACTCTGGGGGCATATGGATATTTTTTTTCTCGTGAAAAATTGTCTTTGTTTTATTTGTACAACTTGTTAAAGGGAATATACATTTTGCAAACAAAAAACTGAACTGCCAAACTATTATTATGTAATACTTTACTGGCCCGTTAGTGGTCAAAGCATCCTGTAAAATCATGGTACCTGTAGGTGTATAGCCTAGTCATTTTCAGAGTTTCCTTCTTTTGTCTGTTGACTGAATTTGACTATTCAGAGTGCTTACTTGAAAAATGATCTAAAATATATGTTATTGACTAGCCTGTGTAAAAGCCATGGAAGGGGAAGTGGATGGATTTTTTTACTGTCTGTGACTGTTTAAACAGTAGGAGGATTACAGTATAACAAAACACACATTTTCTCAGTACCCCGTCACCACTAATTTATTCCGACCATCCAGAATATAATATAGTCACTAGCTATTACATTTCCAGCTGGTTTTACGTTAAACAGAGACTAAATATTGTAATTGTTCTGCGCCCCTCTGGGTGGCCTATTTATTGATCTGCGGGTCGCAAAATTTATTTCTGGACATTGTCGAGTACGTATTTTGTCAAACGACCAATACATAAACAGTCCACACAATTCTCATGCTGAAGTGACATTGAAATGAAGATAGTGATCGATTCTACAAATAGAAATCAATCAATGTCGTAATAGATTAGTGTTGTTTATATTTGGATGCAATATTCCATTGTAATATCAGATCATGTGACCTTCAGATCGTGTGACAATTTTTATGATTTTGAAACTCTGGCCTTTGTCTCCAGCTTGGGCTACACATATGGCTTCAGAAGCTTTAATGCTGAAACCAGCTGAGACAATGCCGCAGTTTCGAAACTCTCTTTTATTTACTGTTCTTAAAGGTACTTTTGAAAATGTAGGGAAAAAAACAGAAAACAATGATACGTAAGTACAAATTAAAGAAATAGTACTTGAAGGGCCTACTGTTATTTCCCAAATGAAAAAAGAAAAACTAAAATAAGATTAATCACAAGATAAAGGTTTAGTTACTTTTCTTTTAAACTAAAACGTTTCAAAACAAAGAACATGGTTTATATTTCGTATATGCGAGTCAAGCATCACTAATTAAAATTTTCTTTTGGCCTCTGAAGAAGAAATTGTTAGGTTTGCAACGTCAGGCCGCACTAATTTTTTTTAGATTGAATGAATTTTAAATTTAATTAAACAGTTATAACTTAATTCTTACATTATATTACATTTTGAACTAAACTCTTCAATTATATTTGTTTTATATTTTATTTTCACATCACCAATATAGACCATTCAACATTTTATTTAAGCTGCTTTAACATTTAAGTTCAATTACACACTTATTTTTACATCACCCAATAAAACCCAGCATGCCAAAATCATGATTATGCAATTTAAATTCACTTTGAACCTCAAAACAGTACATGCTAACACTATAAGTCTTACATTTTAGGAGTTATATTAGAATGCTAAATCAATCTTCTTCTTTCACAATAGCACTCGGCATTAATGACATCACTTTTGCTCCGCTCCTTTTTTTTTCTAAACATCGCTTTTTTTCCCTAAACAAGTGCCCTTTTTTGTGCCATCGGCCATTCCTGGTGCCTTTTTTTAAATTTCACACATGTATCGCCCTGAAAAGCACCATATTGTCCGTTAGTGTGCATAATCGTCGGTTTTGAACAGCGCCCCCACCGACAGATTGCACCAGCCCCCCCCCCCCCCTCCCCTCCCCAACACTATTTGATTTTACGGAGGCCAAGTGTTTGGAGAAAAAAACGTGTCTACATTTCACCATGGATGTGCAAGTGCCCTCTTCAAAACAAATTTACCCCCTCCAATAAAAATGACCTTGCTACGCCACTGCGTCATTCCCCGGATGTCAGATAAACTTTCGAACAATCATGCACGCGCTTGCATGCACACCTGGCCGCATATTCACATAGAAACTGTGCTGCAAGCGTGTGTGTAATCTTCACACGAGAAGTTCATAAAGGATGTTTACAACAAAAAAGGATGGATCTGCAATTTATTTTCGGTAACCACGTCACAGGCCCACGGACATGCATGATCATTTCTAAACCTGGCGTATGCATAATTCTGGACACAAGGAATAGTGCGGAGTGCTATTGTTCCTATGTATTTGTAAAAATAAAACCCTGTTACCTTGACAATGAAATTTACATGGGTTAAGCTCCTTTAAAGAGTAATATGCTTAGCCATAGATTTCTGCTTAGCGTCCAGCAATGGCAACACACTTGCTGTTTCAATTATGTTTGATGCTGGTTTAGTGATTTGCTTAAAACATTGCCAAGCTGTAAAGCAGTTATTTTAGGACTGAGATGTGTGTTGAGCATTATTGCTCCGACGTTTTGTGCTGATGGTCGGAGGTTGCCTAGGCAACACCGTGGCACTCAAAGTTGTACAGCTGGGATGATGATAAAGCTGTAAAAAAAAAAAAAGGAAAAAAATTAATGCGTTTGAAAATTACAGATATTGAAATCAAAATAAGCAACAAACTCTGCATAATTACAGCCTCTGTGGTACATACTGTTGAACACAATGTTAACAAATTAAAAAACTTTTTTTTCAAAGTTAAACAAAATATTGACTGGAGCGGGGTTTGAACCTGCAACCTCCAGATTGCCATTCCAGTGCTCTACCAACTGAGCCATCCAGCCCTATGTTGGCAGTTCCCCAATTTGTCAATGTACTTGTTCAAGCGGTGCTAGCCACATGCCATAAACCCGTGAACATATTAAAAGCGACACTATTTATAGCACCATTTGCCTATCTCTCGTATCGTGCAAAGATGCTGCAACTATTTTTGTGTTTTTGGAGAAAGGAATGTTTTACAATTCCTCTTACCTTTCTCGTAATAGTCAAAGACGGTGATGACTCCATCACGAGGAGCCTTCACAAAGATGTCTCGTCTGGCGAGAAAGTCCACACAGGTTTCCTCATGACCAAGCTGTAGAAGCAAAATAAGATGGATTATGTCACTGAAGATGGCTAGAAGTTCCTGTAGTATGTCAAATCCATAGAGCTATATTAAATTACTAGAGCGCTAACTTCGTGTACAAAGTAATGCCTGCTGGGTGCATCCATGTTTGTGCACAAACCTATGGAGACCTAGAAATTGTGTACGGCTTTTGTACGGCTATTTGCATATCTGCGTTTTTGTATTCCAAACCGGTGCGTTATCGAAGCCAATACGCCCAAAACCGAAACGCACGATCAGCAAATGAGCGTGTCATTTTGCACTACGCAAACAGCGCAACGTGTACGCGTATTCGATGCAGATGCTTTTTGCCGTCATGTTTTTTTTTTTTAACATTCATGACGCGCTTAAGTTGTTTGCGTATCTTCTACTCGCACGTTGCATGTAGAATACACTTTCATAATTCAATCCATCTAATTTAATTATGTTCCACAAACACGCACATGAATTCAAAATGTCTGCGCCCAGGGCGGCTTCAAAGCGTCTCCGCGCGCAGAATGACGAGTTAGCGCTCTAGTAATTTAATTAAGCTCTATGGTCAAATCAAGCCTTTCATGACGCTACAGAACTACCATCATCATCATCATCATTGAGGAGTCTTCACACCATGACCATGATTGCCACAATCTTATCGTCTTAGCGACAACATATCAGCTCTTCACCAAAACCATCAAAGTTACGGGCTCTTCACCAATACCATCACTACCTCCTTATTATAACAAAAGTCACCACTGTGACCATATCACAGCAACTACCACACTCGCCTTCAACCATAACTAACAATTATCCCTATCACCACTGCGATCAATATAAGCACAGTCACTAAAATCTCACTCTAAAAAACTATGACCACTACCACACCACTACATTATTGCCATCAACCCCACCGTCATCACCCTCACCAGTACATCAAAAATGTAATGTGAGTAACCGTGGAATTGCCCCTCTGGTTTTCCTCCCTCCGGAAAAATCAAACACTTTGGATCTCTGGCTGTGCTCCGTGGTCATATATGGGTCGATGTGGCTGGCTGCTAGGGGAGCCTTTACATGACAGCGGCTCCACCACTTATAGCCGCGTCCTTCGCAATTCAGCGTCTCAGCTGCCAGTAAGGATGATTAGCTTCCCAAACTACCATTTTTATCACCATCTTGAGCTTCTCAATTACCTGATCAAAGTAGAAGAAGACATCTTTTCCCTCTTCCTCGACCCTCTTAAGGTTTGGCGGAGGCAGCGACCTCAGCATACGGATGGCGTTAGCGTCCGCCTCAAAGCCCGACACCATGCGCACCTGCAGGACGGCCATGTTGGAAAACTCGTCCTCGCCGTTGTACCTACATTTGAGAGAGGTTCGGAACAAAAGGTGAGATGGAATTATCGCCTAATTTGGCCATCTGTACTGGTGCAACTGCCATATTGTTTTCTTGAGATTTAACACACAAAAATTTACCAAGAACTGCCAACTTAAGGCTAGATAGATCAGTTGGTTAGAGCACCAGAATGGTAATCCAGTAGTTGCAGGTTCAAACCCCACTCCAGTGAATTTCTTTGTTCAATTTGAAGAAAAAAAATTCAAATACAATTATTTTGTTGTATCTTACCTTTATGCATTATTCAAATTAAATTCTGAGTAGATCCTTTCAAATCAGCTTTCAGGGCAATTTGTTTGAAATGTTGAATAAGTTTACAAATTTTAAAAATATATGGTTTCCCCTATTCCTATGAACAGAGGGAATGAATTGACAATTTCTGTGGAGATGATTTTTTTTTGGGGGGGGGGTTTGACAAAGACAACAGGAGCAATAATTGCCAACTTCAGTTACTTGCTCTAGGCTTAAAGGTATAGTCCATCATTTGCAGCTATCCCAAAAGTAACTGACAAAATTATTGTTGAAAAGCAAACTTGGTTTAAAGATAGTAATGGCACTAAACTCCCTGTAAAATTATTCTTTCTGGCATGCTGTCATTTTGAAGAAAACAAAAAAATAAGGTCATTTCCAAAGATGTGTCTAAGGCCCAAAAAAAAAGTCTCCGGTTTCTGGTATGCGCGCGCGTCGCCGTAGCCATGGGCGTCAGCAAAGTGAAAAAAATTTTTTTATCAATGTAAGATGATGTCTCAAAACCGCCAAACTCACTGGTTTAACTGGAATCCTGCTGCTGCACAATTTAACATGTTTTTAGATGGGGTTACGATCAAGAATAAGCTTTATGTGGCCTCTCTGGACTCCCATATATTTGCACTAAGTTTACTTCGGCACCATTTGCAGTCATCAGCCGACATTTGAAGAAGGAAAAAAACATTTAAAAAAAAAAAGCCGCGTCGCTGCACCACTTTTTGGGCAAGCTCCATACCAGAAACCGGAGACTTTTTATTTTTGGCCTAAAGACACATTTTTGGAAGTTTCTGTTTGCTCGTTATTAACTTGGCGAAGCTGTGAATGGGTACGTGCAAGTACATGACACGACGCACATGTGAGCACAGTTGCTATAATTCGTCGGTTCTGTGTGCGACATCACATAGCTGCAATCGGCTAAATGTGAATGTGTCCCATCACTGATTTTGGGCGCAATTCAAAACATGACTCAACAACTTTTGAATGACATCAAGATCCTAGAACACTGTTTTCTTGGAATGTTGCAGCATTTAGCAGCATTTACTGAGTTAGTTGTTCAGCAGCCTTCTTTAGATTTTGAGCACTTTTGTTGCTTCAAACGCAACAAATGCACAAATGGCAAATGATCTAACGTAACTTTGACAGATTATTATCTCCATACAAAGACACCACAAATGATTACAAAAAGCATTGTCTGCTTGATTCATTGGTTCTATTTGTCAAAGTGGTCAACAGAGCTTCAACTGTTTGAGCAGAAAGTGCAAACCTATTTATTCTTTGAATAGATGATGGATTCTGTTTTCTCCAAAGGACGACATTTGGTTTTGTCCACCCAAAAGATTACATCAAACAGGCATCACCTTGTCATACATCGTTTCGTTGAAAACAACATCCATATATCTATTACGGCTTTGTTAATTTATAGCCGTAATTAGAAGTGGAGGCATTCGGACACCAAAAGGCCATTTTGTTCTTTAAAAATGTATACAAAATTTTAATTTTCACTTAAGCAAGATTAATTGACATTTAAGTGCTTTTGGCACTTACTGTGGCTTTTGCATGAACACTTGTCCATACAATAAGTGAACTATCACAAGTCCTGCGGCATTTGCATCCATCGTGTTGGTCAGTGAATACTTTTGACATAGTACACAGTTAAACAATTACGGCACCTTCTTTGTATTTATTCAATTTTCCTAAATTTGCTGAAAGAGGCACTGTCATCAATTATGAAGCTCATATATTAATTTGTTCTGACCCTGCTTGCCATCAGTATACACAGAGCTGGTACAGCCGACACTAGGCTATTTTAGTGTGTAATTCCACTTGCACAGATGCACATCCCAGCACCCAAACATTTTGAATTTGGCAATCACACACCCTGGGCAGACATTTGGCATCGCTTCACTGCAAACTAAAGATCTGACAATTGAAAGCTTCTAAGCGTTGTCTGTAACATCCTGAACTTGTCCAACATATCTGACAGTCTAGAATCATGCATTGTGTACAAATTCTGCTCTGCGGTTTCTTCGTTTGGGTGTGTGGTTCTCTGCTCTGCAATGGATCAACGGAATCTGATGACTGTAGGTGTTCTAAAGGATGGGCCGAGCATGACAAATCTTGCTACAAAATATTCACCGATGGCCAGTATACCTGGTCCCAGGCGAGAGAGATGTGCTCAGAAGGCGGTGGGTGGCTGGCGGAATGTACCTCTGCGACAGAAACCTGCTTCATCACGAGCATGGCGAGGGATGCCAACGTCTCCGTGTGGTATGCAGTCAGTGAAGACGGGTGCTCGACGGATCATAATCAGAAGGCTTTGAAACTGGGCTCTGACAACTGCACCGTCATGGTTGTCACTGACAGCGGGGTAGGCAGCGAGCTCAAAAGTTGTTCCAGCAACTACTACGCAATCTGCGAGCGCAACGTTAACCAACCCATGGCTTATCTCCACTGCTTTGCTGTGGCGGGCGTCGCGGATACGGGGAACGGTCCGAACGGCACCGACGGTTTCCCCTGCCTGATGAACCACACCATCATGGAAACCGGCGTGGCCCACCCCTTGCAGTGCTGCAAAGCTTGCTCCAAGGAGCCCGCCTGCCGTTCCTTCAACCTCCTGGAGGATCTTGGGATGCTGAAGTGTCATCTTAACAACGCGACCATATCTCAAGCCAGCAGTGAGGACTTCACCGCACGGCCCGACTGCCAGAACTACGAGTACAACTATGAAATAAAATCCTGAATTGGTATGACTTTGGATTTCTTCTCTTTATTCTCAAAAGATTTTGGATGCGTAACAAACGTTTAAATGGATTTGAACCCGGACCTCTCAAATAGGGCTCCAGTGACTTGACCAACTGTACGTCGTCTTTATTGGATAAGGATTCAGAACATGGCCACATGCCAGCAAATAATTGTGAAACTTGTTGCAAATCGGAAACCACAGATATTACAGGATGTGAACCTGAGATTTCAAGATCACAGTACCCATGCTCTATCAACAAGAAACTCTGATAAGGTGCGTAATTAATTTTTACATTACACGCACAAATAATGACTATCCCTCAGTCATGATCGAGAGCCAAATTCTCACTGGTCCAATCGCCATCAGCGTCAGAGGCTAGTTTTGCTGTTTACTAAGAGCGCACGCGCAGATTCACGAACACGGAAATATGCATGCATTTTACTACGCGCGAGTTTTACAAAGCAATCATGGAACTATCACACAAGGGTAGTGCGCACATGCGAACATCGCCTTCCAAAATATACCTCGCGGAGCTAATATCGACTGTCCACCCTCAAACCATGTTATATTTGTATACCAGGACATGATTGAAACTCTTGAATGCTATGCCAGTGCTCTCAAAACAATAGAAGAGCTATTTAGGAGACCCCCAAACTGTCAATATCATAATTTGTTGAGCCGTCTTCAGATATTGTTTAGTCCATACATGCCAATAGTTAGTCCAATAGTTAAGTCAAATAGTCCAATAGTTTATGTTCAAACAGGGGAAAACAGTCAAGCTGCTATTTTACTGGTCTTTTTTTTCCCGTATCTGTACATGCTATGGTATCATGAAAATACCTCCAAGCTAAATTCTCATTCTATTTCCAATGGTTGATTATGAGATATTTTACTCATTTGCTTAGTGATTAATATGTGTCAAGTTATGTACATTTAAATATACATTTGTGAGAAAAGATTGCTCACTGACTTACTGCCATGAACTGACATTACAAGGAATCACCAAAGAAAAGAATTATGCCAACTTTTGGTGCTGCAGTAGCTGTAACATTGAGGTTTCTGCCTGAAATGACATCACACTTTTGCTCATCATGGACATTTTCACTAGCATAAAAACCCAAAAGGCACCAAAGCACCCTTGAAAATGGCAAAACGATAATTCAAAATAAGTTTCAATGGAACACAAAGTTACATGTTCAAGAACTGCATTAAAAATACATCGCATGGGCCCTTTAACAAAAGCTATCAATCATAAGAATTCGGGACTAGTATATCATCAAATAAAAACGTGATGCTAACTACTCATAACTTCTTAGTGATTTATTTCATGCTCACTGCTCCACGAAATTGAGCAAAGGAATTCCATCATTTTTTTTTATAGAAAAAAAAAGGTTTTGCACAGTTTCTTCAATCTATCTGTCACATCAATATCCACTTAACATCAACTACGTGATTTTGTTTAACTTACCGTGCACACACATTAACACTGAAGGTGGAACACGGAGCCGGATTGTTGTCTCTGCTCTCCGAGTACTCGAATCTAATCGCAAACGGCGGTACTTTGGGTTCTTCCGGATACACATTGTAGGTAACTATCACCTATAGGAGGTAAAGAAATAATTAAAAAGAAAAAACATTGGCAATTTCTGAAATCAACTTTTTAAATGCCGGACACTTTTTGGCATGACACCAGGCCCTGGTGCTCGTCGTGCAGGCGCGCATGCGCGGCCCCTGGATATAATTTTTGCGCCGCGCCCTTTTTTTTGTCTATGGAGTAAAAAAGAATGCTACGTTCGTCGTACAAATACGTAACGCTATGTTTTTTCTTTTGAGGAAAATACTTGACTTGAGACACGAGTCACCAAGCTTGAGTTCGAGTCACCGTGGTCGAGTCCAAGTCCAAGTCCGAGTCATTTTTCAGTATTTGAAAAAAAGTTGTTGGAAATCGATACAAAACTTTGGAACTAAAAGTAATTCAATTTTTTGACATTACAGCAACTTTTAATACTGCATTTTTTTTTTTTTTTTTTTTAAGTTGATCACTTTTTGACTTGGTGAATTTTACTACAATTTTTCTTGATGTCAAATTGGCTTTACATAACATATGTGTTAAACAGGCATGCAACTGGGAATTTAGAAAAAAACGAGGAAACTCCAAACCACACAAGACTTTGTACAGTATTTTTCAATTTGTTATGTCATTCATGAGAAGTAAAAAAATAAGGAAATCAGCAGATCCAAGGAAAAGTTGCATGCCTGGTTAAAGGTGCATAGTTTGATTTGCTTTTTGTGCGTTTGTTTTTGTTTAAAATCTTAAGAAGGGTGCATTACAACTAACTTGTAAATTTCATCTCCATGGACTCGATACCATACATTATTTTAGAAAACAGAGAAACCGTATGCACAGTTGTTGGGGTCTCGTGCATAACTGGATTCCATTGCTAACACACGTAACTAAACTATATACTAGGCCCATCTAGTGAAAGGGCAAAATTAAAGCGCACGGATGATTGAATTTACCGTGTTAACAAGTCACTGCATTCATCTTCGTTATTTGGAGGGCTAAGCTCAACGATTGTCCGTCTTCGGTGTGCACAATCCATACAACGTAGCCTTGCTATATAGTGGCGACCACGTGAACGCAATGCATGTGTACGTGTGCAGTTGGGTCATTCTATAAATTTGGGATCCAAAGTGTGACATTTTTCCCGTCCCTGTTACGTTGGTACTTTGTAATTTGCCATTCAAGCATCATTAAGAATGACTTCAAATGATTGTTTATTTGTTGGGTAGGTAGTTTGTTATTCACAATCACTCTTGGAGGATGACTGCATTAAGGAGTGCATCAGAATTATACAATCATAGATGTCAGATGTAACAGGGACGGGAAAAAAGTGGACCCCAAATTTATAGAATGACCCATTTACGAATTAAATGTTACTGGTATTGCTCATGATGTATTGCTCAGTATTGCATGTATTGGTGGAACCACTTTTTGATTGTGCGCGCTGTGGTGGCATGTATTTTGTTACCGCAACCGTAGTGCAAGAAGTCGATGCCAATGAGTGATTTTCTAAACGCCGATTTACACAAAGGATTTAGTTGTGCTTTTTGTAGGGGACTGAGAGTAACACGCCGTCTTGAGCGAAAATGGCGACTTGTAAAAGCCGACTTACAGCGCGATCCGGCCAACGTACATGTATGTACATATGCTTTCCAATGTACATCGCACATGTATTTCCAAATCCGAACCGAACCAATGTTTGAAGAAAAAAATGTTTGAACCGAACCGAGCCTGGAGGAAAAGTTTTAGCACCTATCAGAAAACGAATTGATTAACCGTACCAACCTGCGTCATGGCACATCCAGGACCCGTGGCGTTCATCTTAATCTGGACAGGCACCTGAGGTACCGGCAACGTCTGCAGCAAGAGACGATTGTGATCACGGACGTACTTCCAGTGAGTGTGTGGCTCGCAGGAGAACTTGATTTGCAGTTTGACGTTTTGATGGCTGCCTACGTAAGCCATCATGCCATACTCGGCAAGAGCTTGAAGAGCCATTACTGTGTCCTGAAAATAAAAGCCCCCCAAAAATAACAAACACCTTAATAAAGATAGAGGGAGCTTTGTAAAAAGGACACAGGGTCTTTAAGTTAAGTTGAAATGAAGTTGTTTTGAAGTGAGTCTTTCCATAAATTTAGGGTCCAAAGTGTGACATTTTTCCTGTCCCTGTTAGGCCAACAACAAAAATATTTGGTCTCTGGTCAGACCAAAGTTCCGGAATTGACACGGCGACGCGGCTTTTTTTTTTTTTTTTTTCCTTTTTTTTTTTTTTAAAGCTTGGATTGTACAGACAAGGTGGGGTACTATTTTGCTTTTTTTTTGGTGTCCTCATGTACATTGGTGTCCTCCATAATTTGCCTTGGTGCCCTCGATCATTTGCCTTGGTGCAATTTCCCATTCCTTGGTGCTCTTTGGTAAAACAATTTGAGGAGGTGCGGCAATAGAGGGTGCTGTTGGAGCTACCGCGGAACATTTTGGAAAAAAAAAAGGTTGACGCGCATGATTAACATCGACGCACGCGCTGACCAGAGACCGACTATTTTTTTTTTTTTGCCTTTCCTTGGTACTTTTTAATTTGCCATTCAAAGTGTCGTTAGAATTGAATTCAAACTATTCTCAATTGTTGGGTAGGTAGTTTGCTTTACATGAACACTCTCGGAAGGAAAAAAACATTAAGGACTGCATGGAGAATTTACAAAATCGAACAGGGCAGATGTAACAGGGACAGGAAAAAAATGGGCCCCAAATTTCATTATAAATCATCACAAGCGCATGGATCGCAAGGCCAGTTTAAAATGAAACGACAGGCAATTCAAATGTTTATCCCTTTAATTGTTAATTATTATTTGACTTGTAATTTAAATTGTGATGGACTTGTTGTGATGGACTTGTGATTGACTTGCGATTAGAGGTGTGATTGACTTGTGATAATGACTTGTGATTGACTTGTGACTGGACTTATGATTGGCATGTATTTGACTTGCAACTGTCTTTTGATGGACCTGTGATTTAACTTGTGATTGACTTGTGATCGACTTGTAAATGGCTTGTGGTTGACTTGCGATTGACTTGTGATTGACTTGCAACTGACTTGAGCTTTGACTTGCGATAGACTTGCGACAGACTTGTGATCGACTTGTGATCGACTTGTGAATGGCTTGTGAATGATTTGTAAATGACTAACAGTTGACTTTTGATCGACTTGCGAATGACTTATGAACGGCTTGTGGTCGACTGGTGATTTGACGTTCAAATGTCTTGATAACAATTCCGACAAATTTGATCGCAAAAACTAAAGTCTCAATCTTAAGGAACAAACCTGTGTGGATGCAAATCCTCCATTGGCGTTGCGCTGCCCGACAATCCACCGCGCTACGGGGTTACCATACACCAAAGCCTGTGTCTTGGCATAGGCCCTGATGTAAGTGAGTAAGACGTAGGACGTAATCTCGATGTGTTGGGAGGAGGCTTGATGATGGAGGTATGGGGGACGTTCGCCCTCTGGCACCGGCTCGGGACGACCTTCCCAGTGTCTCACCCCGTCATCTGAATCTGAGACGGCCAAAGAAGAGAGAATGGGGGGCAGAATATGAGTTAAAGAAATAGATTTAGTCACTGCAAGCTTTCCTGCTGGACAGGAGACTGAGTGGTTGCATTCTCAGTCCTGAGACATACAGGGGTAATTTATATGCAATGCAGTGTATATGAGATAATTTATATGCAGAGCAGTGTATCCGTTCACAAGTACCCCCTCACTGGCAAAGAGAGTACAGTTGGGGGTGAGCGACCGATGCCATCTTGCCCAACTGCAATTCATTTGCCGCGAAGCGCAGCCACTGCGTGTACATAGTACAAATCCCCTGGTGTACGTGCGTCACACACAAGGAACGGTGCGCGTCAACCAACGAAATGTCCAACCCATGGGACGTCGTTGCTAGGTAAAAGGGTGCCCTCTTTCGTCGGCGCACAGAGCTCATATACAAATTTGGTACGTTACTTTCGGGGTAAATGCAAATGTTCCTTTAATGCCTTTAAAGGTCATATACACCGAGGCATGGTAACTGAAAACAAACGGAAAAGCACTGTATAGACAAACCAGCGGCAGCCATTTTCTGGGTGGCACCAGGCTCGCGTGAGTCGCGCTCAGGCGGTACACACGCACGCCGGGCTCCTTGGACCAATAGGAAAACCAAAATGCGCATGCGCCTTGTCTTTCACTATGCGTGCAGTACACCACCGCAGTAAAAGCTTCTAATTCTGGTTGCCAGATTCCACTACATTTCATGGCTTTGTACATTGACTTTTTGTCACAGACTCATCCACATAGCTAGCCTAGCCACAACGTCGTCTTTATGGGGATAGCTGGACAGAATGAACGCATAACTGGCTATGGCTAACAAGTACATGACACAAACTCACCCACAGCCAGCATAGCTAGCCTAGCCACAACGTCGTCTTTATGGGGATAGCTGGACAGAATGAACGCATAACTGGCTATGGCTAACAAGTACATGACACAGACTCACCCACAGCCAGCATAGGCCAAGTTCGGGCAAGGACCATAGTCGACTAGTGGTTGATTTGTGACGTACCTTACGCCTGCGCACTGATAGCAAAGTGCGAACGTCTTTAGTCAAATGCTGGTCAAAATGTCATTGCAAAACGTCTGGATCCTGGCTCCCTGCTGTACGTTATGAACGCGCGCGGCTATGGTTACCAGCGAAGCAACCAACCCCAGTAGGTTGGTTCCAAATAGTCGACTAGCGTAGTTAACCATCGTCGACTAGACAGAGTTCGGGCAAGCGTTAGTCGACCAATGGTTAACTATAGTCCTTGCGCGAACTTGCCCATAGCTAGGCGCCACAACGTCATCTTTATGGGGATAGCCGGACAGAATGAACGCATAACTGGCTATGGCTAACAAGTACATGACACAAACTCACCCACAGCCAGCATAGCTAGCCTAGCCAGAATGTCGTCTTTATGAGGATAGCCGGACAGAATGAACGCATAACTGGCTATGGCTAACAAGTACATGACACAAACTCACCCACAGCCAGCATGGCTAGCCTAGCCACAACGTCGTCTTTATGAGGATAGCTGGACAGAATGAACGCATAACTGGCTATGGCTAACAAGTACATGACACAAACTCACCCACAGCCAGCATGGCTAGCCTAGCCACAACGTCGTCTTTATGAGGATAGCTGGACAGAATGAACGCATAACTGGCTATGGCTAACAAGTACATGACACAGACTCACCCACAGCCAGCATAGCTAGCCTAGCCACAACGTCGTCTTTATGAGGATAGCCGGACAGAATGAATGCATAACTGGCTATGGCTAACAAGTACATGACACAGACTCACCCACAGCCAGCATAGCTAGCCTAGCCACAACGTCGTCTTTATGAGGATTGCCGGACAGAATGAATGCATAACTGGCTATGGCTAACAAGTACATGACACAAACTCACCCACAGCCAGCATAGCTAGCCTAGCCAGAATGTCGTCTTTATGAGGATAGCCGGACAGAATGAATGCATAACTGGCTATGGCTAACAAGTACAGGACACAGACTCACCCACAGCCAGCATAGCTAGCCTAGCCACAACGTCGTCTTTATGAGGATAGCCGGACAGAATGAACGCATAACTGGCTATGGCTATTACAAGTACATGACACAGACTCACCCACAGCCAGCATAGCTAGCCTAGCCAGAATGTCGTCTTTATGAGGATAGCCGGACAGAATGAACGCATAACTGGCTATGGCTAACAAGTACATGACACAGACTCACCCACAGCCAGCATAGCTAGCCTAGCCAGAATGTCGTCTTTATGAGGATAGCCGGACAGAATGAACGCATAACTGGCTATGGCTAACAAGTACATGACACAGACTCACCCACAGCCAGCATAGCTAGCCTAGCCAGAATGTCGTCTTTATGAGGATGGCCGGACAGAATGAACGCATAACTGGCTATGGCTAACGTGTACATGTCGGCAGAATTGATGTCAATCTTTGACTCCAGGCAGCCAATAGCTTTTTTAATCTGTGCGTCCTGCAAAAGAGTGGAAAATGAAAAACAAATTCCAATCTAAATTTAACTGAAAAAAAAAGCCTTTCTAAATATTGGTCTTTTGAATATTCCAGTCTAAGTGAAGCAGCTGTTTCCTGAAAAACAAATTCTGTTCTTTTTGATTTGAAGGATTACTTGGAATTACAAAAATAATAATAAAACAAGTACATATACTTAGAAACACAAAACCATTGGCTTCAGCTAAAAGCAAATTTTTTTTTTTAAAGTTCCTCTTTTCAAGCACACTAGGAAAGACCAATGATGACGGTTATAAAATGTGGCTTATTTGGTCTACGGGAATGCACTTACATTGTAAGCCACTTCTGCCTCTATAAGGGAGATCACTACATATGCGGTCAGTGTTACCTCGTCATTCACACTCCCCTGGAAAACAAAAATGACAACTCTTCTTAAAAAATCTTTGTACAAAATTAACAACGCCAATCCCTTTATGATTTTAAAATACACTTAATACCACAAATACCAACACAGAAATATCACAACTTGGTAAAGCGCTTGGGAGAATTGGTATGGACTAAAGTTATCAGCTTTGGTATTAAAATTTCAAACTAAGAAAGAAGTCCGTAAAGTATCTTTTCAACAACTAATAAGCCTCTTACAGTTAGGCCAAAAAAAAGTAAAATATACGGTAAATCTTCAAAACTTATTTCTGTAGTTGATATTTCATTTTCAGTTTAACTTATGTGTATTCACCTTTCTGATACCATTGAAATTAATCCATTAAAAGTAAAAAGTCAGAGAATTCACAAAGAGCATGGTATGATGACATTTAACAACTTTTAACTGGAAGAGCACCAACGGGTTTTTAATGATGGATTTTCAGTTTCACAAATGCAAAGGAACAAACAGCAAATCCAAAAAAGGCCACAAGAGTGTAAAAGACTTGAAGGAGCCGTGAAACCCACCATCATATCTTTGTGAATGACTTGGCCGTGCGACTCAAAGCACCCGTCCGCCCTCTGCTGTCGCCGTAGCCAACCCATGCTCTTATCCAAATCGCGCTGATCCACGTAGATGTAATGCTTGGCCTGCAAGAAAGAGCGCACAACAAACGCTGTCAGCCAGGTGCTGCCTGAGGGGTCCCTGTCGCCGAAGGCCGAGTAGGACCCGTCGGAGTGTTGATAGTTCAGCTCACGCTGGTAGCCGATCTCCATGTTCTCCTTGGCTTTTGCTTCGACGTCTTTGGGTAGCTTGTTGATGCCTGGAAACAGAGACAATGAAAATCTTTATAATAATGTTAATATAATAATATGGTGCTTATATGGCATTTTACTTTTGTAGGGGCTTTGATGTATTTTTATATAAAGCGCCATATAAATACCTGTATTATTATGGGGGGGGGGCCTGGTACTATCTTCCAACATAGGGGGCGCTCTTCACAACCAAGCATTATAATATAATGCTTGGTTGTGAAGAGCGCCCCATATTATGGTCATTACGGGAAGCGTGGCATCCCGCCAGTACATTTTCAAAAAAGTCTCTTTTTTCTTTTTCACTCTGGACTTAGCTATGATACATCAAAAGAAACTTGAAATCAGCTTCAGCCTCTAAAAAATATGAGTTCACTGCATCTTCTTTACAGATCCAAGTTCCAAATTTTAAGATCGTACCTTTGAGATAGTGTAAGACGAAGATATTGGGCACAAAACCTATCATGTTCTGTTCGCCACAACCGGTCGGGATTCGCAGGAGATGGTCCAAGTTATCGATAGTAGGCCCCAGCATGTCTCCTGAAACCAGAAAGGACGACAATCAACATTTTTTTTTTTACCGCCGAGAGCATAGTTATGATAAAGGTAGTCCATAGTGAAATATCTTACCTGTGACTGTTACTATACCCCTCTCTGAGGTAGTCAATAGTGAAATATCTTACCTGTGACTGTTACTATTCCCCTCTCTGAGGTAGTCAATAGTGAAATATCTTACCTGTGACTGTTACTATACCCCTCTCTGAGGTAGTCAATAGTGAAATATCTTACCTGTGACTGTTACTATACCCCTCTCTGAGCCACTCACGTAGTTGTCTGGTAGATCTTGGAGGGAAATAACTTCTTCATATCTGCCTCCCTCATAATCTGAATCAAGGAACAAATATAGAAAAAACTTCAAGGAATAAACATTGAAGGACAAACCATTGAAAAACATTACGTAGTTTTAGTCTTTCTCGATTACATTTCAGTTGCAGATTTTTTGTTGTTGGTGTTTCCTAACATTTCTAAATACCTAAGACAGTTTACCCATTCCTATTGGTCGAGAGCCCGTAACGTTGGTGGTTATTTAAACGATTGATAAGTGGCTTTTCCATTTAGTTTTCCATTATTTTATCCTTGTGGTTGTTGCATTTGTTTGGTCATTTTCTGAGCGCTTTGTAACCCCAGGAAAACGCGCTTTACAATTGTTGTTGTTGTTCTTATTCTTATTATTATTTCCTGAAAAAACTTTTAAAATATCTATCAAAGAGTACAAACTTACCATCTGGACAGAAGTAGGCACTGAAAACCTGTTCAGTCTCAACCCCTTCCGGCTAAAAAAATGATAAAAGTATTAGAATAAACTACCGATTTTCTAGAATCCCAAATGACATCGTCACATAACTAGCCTGAAGAAATCCTTAGATTGAAAACAATTCACAGAATATTACAAACACACACATTTAGTATTAAGTTGGAAAAAATGCAGATTTCTCACATTTTCAAATGTTTCTAATGAAACAGGTTAACTTCAAAATAAATGTTGCAAATTTGAAAAAAAACGAAACAAAATTTTGGGTTGTCTAAAGCATAAGTTGCATTTGAGTAAGCTGTACTGTGATGTGTTTCTTCAATTATAAAAAAAATTTAACTTTTTTCCCCAGACTGTTGCAGCAAAAAATAGAATGAGCTATATATTTGGCGACATTCTTTCTCTTGTTTCATTCTAAAACAGTTGACAAGACTTGATTTCTTATGATTTTAAACTTAGATTTTTTTCAAAAGTCTATCCAGCCCTTCTCTAGCTCTTTTTCTGCATATCCGCTCCGTTCACAAGTACTCCCTCACCGGCAAAGAGAGTACAGTTGGGGGTGAAGCGTGGCCACTGCGTGTACATAGTACAAATCCCCTGGTGTACGTGCGTCACACACAAGGAACGGTGCGCGTTTACCAGTGACATGTCCCGCCCATGGGACGTCGTTGCTAGGTAAAAGGGCGCCCTCTTTTGTCGGCGCAAGGAGCCCATAGCGATTGTGGGAATCTAGTACACACCTTGACCAGCAGGGGTTTTCGGATGGCGTCAGAGAACCCGTCTTCACTGGTGTCCATCTCCTGTCCTTGGCACCAGTCGTCGCTATCAACCACCGATACCGCACGGACTGCATTGAAACAGTTGGTTAGTTAGTTCGTTTACATTGTTTAAAATCATTTTAGCTAAAAATACATCCGAAAATTATCGGTTACCACGTGTTAGTTATGAACTTAACCAATGCCAGTGTGAATGCATCATTACAGGTAGATCATCAGCTGTACCCTACTTTCATGGACAATAGACCACCACTGACCCAATGAAAATAACAATTAATAATAATAATTTTGAGAAGGCTAATCATCCTTACTTGCAGCTGGTATGCTGAATTGCGAAGGACCGCGGCTAATAACGTGGTCGGGCCGCTGGCACGTAAAGGCGCCTATGGCTGCCGGCCACATCGACCCATATCAGACCATGGAGCACAGCCTGAGATCGAAAGTGTTTGATTTTTCCGGAGGGAGGAAAACCAGAGGGCCCGGAGAAAAACCCTTGTGGCACAGGAGAGAACCAACGCACAACTGTACTCACATGTGATCCGCGGCTGGGATTCGAACCGTGATTTGAAGACAAAAATATAACTGCACTTTTTTTGTCAGAATAGCAAAACACAGTCGAAGCTTAATACAGGGCGAGTCAAAAAACAGCGGAACCCAAAACCCAAAAATTATATTTCATATTTAAAAAATATGTAGCACCAAAAATAATGACTGGAAAGCCAATTTTATCAGCTACTTTTAGATGGAAAAATTACTGAAATTGCTCAATCCGTTCAAAGAATATCACCATCTAAACATAATGACCCTAAAACCTCTTTCGTCCAAAAATGGGATTTTATGAATCGTCGTCACAGTTGTCTTCAAACTTCACCAGCGATAAAACCTCAGTTTGAAAGTTAAAAGTCCTTTTGAAGGCCCATCTTTTCAAAAAAGGGGATAACACAAATTATATTGTTTGCCTAACTAGGGTTGTTAATAAAGATATTGTGTACTACAGTTGTTGACAGTTGTTGAAACAAGTATTCTTTGTCATTTTCTTTGTTTTTCCAAACAGTCAGAATACACAATAAATTGGGGGGTTTTTGGACGAAATAGGTTTTAGGGTCATTGCGTTTAAATGGTGATATTCTTTGAACGGATCGCGCAATTTCAGTATTTTTTTATTTAAAAGTAGCATTTGAAATTGGTTTTTCAGTCATTATTTTTTTGGTGCTACTTATTTTTGTATAATATATTTTTGGGGGTTTGGGTTCCACTTGTTTTTACTCACCCTGTATAATGTTCATGCACAGAATCATGTTGGCTTATCTACCTTCAATTGGAACGGTGCCTATGGTGACAGCTTTGATGTAGAAAGAGGATGGCCCAGACTGGCCGCCACAGACACAGATGTGGGCCTTGCGATTCTGCTCATCAATTTCAAAATGGCTGGACGGTTGTAGAGTCAGCTCCACCTGTACGATGGACAAGTGATGTGTTCAAATATAGTAGAGTCCAGTTTCTTCCCATACAGGGTGCGTCAAGTAAAACAAAACCCAAATGTCGGTACTGTTGTTTTAGTCAAGTTCTGCATGTAGCACTTTCAAAATCTAGGATATACAAAAGCCCAATTCATAAGCTTTCTTTTAGTACAAGAATCAGTCAAATCACTCACGTACCTTTCAAGTTACGTAATTTTAAACACAAACCATTAAAGTTCTGGCCACGGATCACAAAAAAAGGTGTGCGTTCTTTCAGCAAATCAAACACAATTCACACACATCCCTGTGTGATTTGTGTTCATTTTGCTGAAAGAACACTTTACCATTTTATGATCCGTGGACAGAAAAACCATGTTTGCGTTTAAAATTCTGTAACTTGAAAATTACACAAGTGATTTGATTGATTCTTGTACTAAGAGAAAGCTTATGAATTGGGCTTTCATATCCTAGATTTTGAAAGTGCTACATGCAGAACTGTACTAAAACATGGGACAAAACATTTGGGTTTTTTTTTTCTCACCCTGTAGAATAACTCCATAGTTATTCTATGGGCACACAGTAAAAGTTGCCATTTAAAAGAAAAGTATGGAAATCGAATTTGAATTTCAATATAGGGAACACAAAATAACTAAATCTTTCTGGGATTAGACAAATGACATTTTTCTGGCGGTTCTCTATATGTCAGAAAATTTCTAATTTCTAAAATCGTAAAAAAAAGAATTCAACACTCAAATATGTAACAACTCTAAATCGATATGGTATTTTGTTCTAGATGAGCAGTTTTGTACCTAAATTTGCCCTCTGTTGTTTCTTTTACGTCTTGAAATTTTTAATTACATCTCTGAGCATGAATTCAATTTCTAACTTGAAGAAAACTATGAAAATAAAATTTGAATGCTGACATTGGGGACACAAAAACATACGTCTTAGGTCAAATTTATGGCCGTCAATTTATGATATTGTGTATGGCAAATTTATAGCGTGCGTATATTTTCTACAAATAAATCAATCCCCTCCACTTCCTCACGAGATAATAACTGAAAAAAAAAAAATTCCTCGACGATGAGTTTTTCAGTCTTACCACTAAGCATTTGGCGACATAGTTGAAGACCAACACCGTCACGGGCACGTACTCGTTGCGGATGACAGAGTACGGCAGCGTCATGTCCACGAAGAACGGCTGGAATGCCGTGAGCCTGGTCAGGTCCGAGACCCCGGCGCCGAATCGCGTCGAGGTGCAGAAACCGTGGCCGACCCACTCAGTGATGGTGTGGGGGAGTTGGATGGATATTTGGGCCTCACCGTCCGAGCTGTGACAGAAGGAAAATGTGTAAGAGGAACAGTTTTGTTCCTTGCCCAAATTCATGGTTCTGCCTACGGTGAGCAAAGAATGCTTGGTTATTTTGTCCGGTCAGTTCATGTACTGCCAATGGATGGGCTAGAGATTCATTAGAGAATAACTTTGTTGGAATAAAATGCTATACAAGTTCTAATGAGTTGCCAGGGAACCGGAAAGGAAGACATATCCATGTTATATGTGGTGAAAGCAGTGGCTGCAGGGTACTTGCCGTACATGGATCCTTAACTCTGCAATGCCACAGTTGAAACAATTAATGAAAATGATGCAAGGGCTAAAACAAGAAATTCCCTTACTTGACTCGTTTAATGTTGTACAACCAAGTCTCTGGGAAGTAGGAACGGACGTCTGGTGCCCCGCCCCCCTCCACGGCAGTAACTGCCATTGCAGCCTCTGCAATCATGGGTGATCCCTCAGCCATCGCTAACATTGGCATTGCCACGGGAACCGGCATCCCATCCTCCAGCATCGGTCCACGATAAACTGGAAATATTCACAAAATATAACACGTTTCATGCAGAATTTATTGATCGTGGTACACACTGATACAGATAAACAATTCTTTCAACTTTCAAATCAACCACAAAGGGAAACTGAGAAGGCCCATTATAATCATTTGTACAGCTTGAACAAAGAAATTGACTACAGTGGGATTTGAACCTGCCACCTCCAGATTGCCGTTTCGGTGCTCTACCAACTGAGCTATCCAGCCCCATGTTGTAGGTTCAAGTTCCACCCGAGCAAACTTGTGCATCGTTCGAGCCCTCAGACAGCAAATAGTTTAACGTGCTGATAAAAATAACGCAAAACGAGTTTCAAAATTACTTACAGACGGGAACTACTTCTGGGCAAGGTGCTGTTTCCACTTGAAGATTGGTAAGGTAAACCACACCAAGATCCTGATATTGGGATTTAATAAGAAAAGGTGAGCACGAAATATAGTGGTAAACTGAAATTGTGTGATCAGTTCAACAACACAAAATGCACAACCCGTCAATAATGGCATGCAACATTTAGGGATACTGAGTTCAGAAACAGAAAAAACAGACCACCAGCTAAATTGAAGTTCTAAAAGTACTTTTTGACAAAAGTTACTTTTCAAAATCCCGCTTTTAAGAGTGAATGAACAGTCAACTCTTAAAACTGGATGAAAAGTAGGTTTAACAATTTTTTTGGACGGAACAAAAACAACTGGGCAAGGTAGAACAGGACTTACAGATTAAAGTTCACTTGAAAACAAAACAAAAATCGACCACCTCTTCAAATTTTGGCTTTGCCGGCTGTACTGCACAGAAGCATTTTCGGACTTGAGGCACATTTTGTGGGGACAGATCACATATCATTGGAAAGTCTTTAGCTAGCTAGTCATTTAGAAATTTAATTGTAAAAATCAGCTTTTGCAGAGGAAAAGATTGTCAGAAAAATCAGACTTTTCGAAATAAAAAAATTTGAAAAATTTGGAAAGTTTGTTGTTTGTGCACGGAGCCCATAGTAAAATGAGTCCCTACCACCTAGTACTCACAAGAGGTCATGATCGAAGCGCCATCTATTGTTCTGCACGGAGTCAATAGGAAGATGACCTTGTTATTTACCTTGAATGACTGTGAGGCATCCATGAGGCTAGGACTTGGACCGGGAAAGCCTCCACCGCCTCCGAACATCGGCATGGCCCGGCCGTAGCCACCTCCACCGCTGCACCTCTTGCTGTGAGTCTCGGCGAAACCCCCCTCGGCCGACAACTGCAGGTCCTCAAGGGCCTTGAAAACCTGGGTGAATGGCAGGAGAGATACAATGAGCAATTGTGATCCGCTCTGTAAAAATGAGTCACAGGGCACCAGAGTCACTTTTTGAGTTTTACTCTGTACTAAATTGAGGAATTTGAGCTCTTTGTTTTGATGTGCCACTTAGTTTGGTTTGATGAAAATGGACATTGTGTAGAATTTAAAATGTTGAGGATTCCAATTGCTTAAACACTGTGCAACATTCTTTCAAAGACAATTAGCTCAAAAGTGGCTTTGGAGACATGTGACTCATTTTTGCAGAGCGGGTCACAATTATCAGTAAAGAATCAGCGGAACATCCAGAATTTGTTTAGGGTTGGAGGAGGCTAATGGACCAAACAAAAAACAACGACCCAGAAAAAGACCTTTTCTTTTGTGATCCGGTTGTCCCCTCCTAGCAGATGCACACTCTTGTCCACGACCCCGTAGGCGCAGAGAGAAGAGGGCTTGGCCAGGATGTTGAGGGTGGTGTTCTCGCCCGGCTGCTTCACATACTCGGCAAAGTTGATGTCAACCTGAGAGTTTGAAAGGAAATGAGGTCATTTTACAAAACACACATGTCCAGTCCTTCTGATTTGAGGCGTGCGATCAAATTGCCATGTTGCACCTATGACCCAAGTTTGGTGCAATTGGACTTCAACTTTTTGAGATCAATTTTTAACATGTTCAGCCTATTTTACAACTTGACCTCAGATGACCCTCGACCTTGGTAAGTAACCTTTGACTTCATTATCATATGAAGGTTGCCGTGTTCCATCTATGACCCAAGTTTGGTTCCAACTGGACTTGAACTTTTCAAATGAGACAAATTTTACATGTTCATCCTATTTTACAACTTGACCCCAGATGACCTTTGACCTCAGTATGTGACCTTTGACTTCATTATAATATAAAGGTTCCCGTGTTGCATCTATGATTCAAGTTAGGTTCCAATTGGACTTCAACTTTGGAAATTAAGCCAATTTTACGAAATTTTCACCAAAATACCACATGCATACATACATACACATAATACTTTACGTACTAAATACAGCTAGACAACTAAGTTCAGGCGCGACAATAAAAGGAAACATTTCTACCCACCTGATTTTGGAAGACCTCCTCGACGGGTATGGTCACAGTATCAGCCACGACTTCCCCGTTGTTCCTGACGTAATACGCCATGACGGTGACGGAGGGCGACATGTCGTAGGAAACCTTGAAGCGGCGGCGCGTGGTCTTCACCTTGTCCTTCTGCAGGATGTGGATGGGAACGTCGCTGGCAATCATGTGCATGCTGTAGACGTATTCTGATCAAAGGGAGTGATCGAAGTGAACACTTGTCCAACTTCATTCTACTAACATCTTAGATTTAGATTTTTTTTAGATTTTTTTATTTTCACACCAATCGTGGCCCTGAGGCCAAATTAAAAGTGTGGTACATGCAATAAAAGAAAATACAATTAACACTGGTGGTAAATAAAAATACGAGTATATGAAATGAAACAGTGGATATTAAAACATTTAAGACAAAAACGATAAGAACGATAAACGCCTTTATACACACAATGAAGAAGTAACAAAAACTATTGATACATTTAGTGGAGGCCAAAAAAAAAAATATTCGGTCTCTGGTCAGACCAAAGTTCCGGAATTGACGCGGCGATGCGGCTTTTTTTTTTTTTTTTGCTTTTTTTTTTCTTCTTCAAGCTTGGATTGTACAGACAAGGTGGGGTACTATTTGGCTTTTTTGGTGTCCTCATGTACATTGGTGTCCTCCATAATTTGCCTTGGTGCTTTCGATCATTTTCCTTGGTGCAATTTCCCTCTCCTTGGTGCTCTTTGGTAAAACAAATTGAGGAGGTGCGGAAATAGAGGGCGCTGTTGGAGCTACCGCGGAACATTTTGGATAAAAAAAGATCGACGCGCATGATTAAAATCGACGCGCGCGCTGACCAAAGACCGACTCATTTTTTTTTTTTGGCCTAACCTAATTATTTCAATTGTTGATAAAATGGGAACTGGGCTTTTTTGAAACCTATAAGTTCTTGCTGGTAACAGCGAAATGTTTTTGTTTGACCTTAGACATCGGCCATGACTCTCTAACCGTGTTGGGGGAACTAGGGAGCTAGTGCGGGGATTGATTTTTAGCCCTAAAGAGAAATTATAGCAATGCTGCAACCTCCTATCGGATAGGGAATCCAGATTACAACGTTGCAAGTCATCTTCATAATTCTCAGACATATCATCCGGTACGATTCTACAAGCCCGTCTTGCATACTTTTTATTAGTGGAATATATAGACTTTTTGGCCAATTCGTGGTTGGCACTTTTTGCCGACCACGGGATGGCAAACTATGGAAGGTCTATGTCACACCCAAAAAAAACAATTGTTATAAATGTTTCCAAACATATCATTTGGTTGTTAGAGAGGAAAGTTTTTTGACCAAGATTGCAAAAGTTGTAGTCAACTCTATCACAAATGTGAATTATGAGTCCTTTCACAAGTCCAGTGATAAGCAACAGTGGATGAACAATTACAAAGAACTGCTTTTGTTGCAGTTCATTTGAACATATAGCTTGTGACTTGACTTGTGATGGACTTGTGAGGAGTAGTTATTGACTCAAGTCTCTTTACCTTTCATGCCCATATCGTCTGTGTTAACGGGATAGATCCCGTACTGTCCAGGCCGGCGGAAAGCGTCAATCTCCTCAGGCGGAATAATGGACTCCACGTCTAGGAGAATATTGCCTCGGGCCATCATCTGGTCGGGGAAGGAAAAAGAAAACATGATGCATCATTCTGAACATTTCTGCTTGGCCTCTCATCTTTAACAAAAAAAATAGAAATAGATAATGCCCAACCGTACGCTTATCCACGCCACAAAATCATGCTTAAGGTTGGCACAATTTTCTGCTATGTTTTTTTTTTGCTTACTGTTAAGCAGTGCTAGAAATTGGCCTGTGAAGTTGTGGAGGGCCGTGGCCTCGTGGTCTGGGGCATTGAATTCATGGTCCGCAGGTAATTCTGCGGGTTGTGGGTTCGAGTCCAGCCGGCAGCTATGGTGCGTGTGACCTTGGGCAAGGTACTTTGTCACTCATTGCTTCTCTCCACCCAGGAGTAAATGGGTACCTGTGAGGGCAGAGATGGTTATTGTGATTGATTATAGCTTCCCTGCGCCTAACAGGCAGCATCGAGCTGTATATACCCCAGGGAGCTGAGACTGTATTTGGAATGTTTCATTGGCCCAAAGATTAAGGGGTAACAATAAGTAAAGCGCTTTGATCATACTTAAAAAGCGCTACATAAAAATCTGTTGTTATTATTATTATTATTAGTTTTGAAATAAGCAGGCAAGTGGATACAGGGTTCCAGACTGACCACAGTGTGGAGGTAGACCCCGTTGTATTCAGGCTCCTGGCTGGTCATGTGGATGGTCAGTGTCTGGTAGGAATTGACCTCTGCCCTCTCGTTGACCGGGTCAATGTGGAGGAAGCTCTTGGAGGGGGAGTACTGGGGCTTGACATGACTGTTGGCCCTGGATTTCTTATCGGGGGTCAAGCCGTCTGACACAGCCTAGGGTCAAGAATTTAAAAGGGAATATACAACATTTGCAAACATCAAAAAACAAAACTACCAAATTATTATGAAATGCCTTACCGGACTGTTAGTGAATGATAGTCTAAAGCATCCAGTAAAATGAAGGCACCTAGTGTGCTGTCATTTTCAAGAAAAGTCGTATTTTTGTTTCAATTTCCAACGCTGGTCGGCCAACCAGCGTTAGGATCGTTACCGTGAGAGAGATGTATTCGACATCAAGTGGCACATCCTCGATGGTGAAGAAAGCTATTCCTCTGTCGTTACTAATGACAATCTCATTCAGCAGATCCTCGGGCTTGCCTGCCGTGGCCACAATCAGGCTGGTTTCTCCGGCCAACGGATTACCAACTGGATCATTAAACAGAAGCTGGGGAACAACAGAAAAAGAATCGACCAGTAAGAAAAAGACCAACAGCAAAACACAAATCTGCTGAAATATTGCATTGACACTATTCACCGTGAAATTTTTCAAAATCTGCACAGAAATACAAAAGTGCGGAGAAATTTTAGATTGGATAGGGTGGATTTTTTGGATGGGAGACAACAATTTTAAAAATTGGTTTTTCTCCTAGTTTCCATGACAATTTTTTTTTTTTTCAAAAATTTAAACTTTAAACTAGGTGCTATCCAAGATCTTGTGAGAAAAAAATCCACAAGCTTGCTCTGGTAGGACTCGAACCCACAACCTCTTGCTTACTAGTGCAGACATTTTAACCACTTTACAACTATAAACCTTGCTGAATTACTGATTTAAGGTCAGTTTTCTTGCAGACTATATGGACATTTTAACATTTTTTTTACCAACGATCACAGGCAATTAAAAATGGAACCCAAAAATAAATTAAAAAACAGGTGTTGTGAAATGTACATAATAAAGACAAACAAGTTGAAGAAAAGTAGTCCTCTAATGTTCTTTAGGTCAGAATAAAATTGTCTTGGTCAAAATAATCAAACTAAATAAAGTGTACTTGAAGAGTTATAGGTGCAATTGTTTTTTTTTTATATTTTAGATTTAAAATCTTATTTATTTTCCGTGTGAGATATCTCAATTGTGTACTGACCATTCCTGAGAATGGAAGACCAGGTTTGAAGGTCGACGGAACGGAGAACTTCAGTTCAAGTGGAATCTCTGTAATCATGATATCGTCAACAGTTTTCTCAATCACAGTACCTGTTGACAACCAAAACAAAAACAATTCTTCGTTTTGCTGAAATTTCCATTTTAAGACAACAATTTCAACTGTTAAGCACAAAGCACCAAAAAAAGTAAACCTCATTTTGGCTATCAATGCTCTGTGTCCTCAGTTCTACAAATTTCCTTTCAACAACTTAAAGGGAATACACAACATTTGCTTTTGCTGTCATTTTCAGAAATGGGTGGTAGATCTGAGGGGTTAGCATTTTATAGCAAATATTGTTACACTGACTTGTTTGAAGTTTTGTGTTCGTACATGCTGGAAAAACCAAGAAAAACAATCATATTCCTGTAGTTGAGTTCCCTGGCTCCACGTAAGATAAAACAGAGCAATTTACAGATGTCTGGGAATTGTAAGGTCAGGAACCAGTCTGGCTTGTACCCGTTCATTGGTGTGAAATCGATTACAAATAAAATGCGGACTAACTACATATTGGGGGTAGTATTTGAAAAAAAGTCAGTTTTTTCCAATGCTGGTCAGCCGACCAGCGTTGGAAATTGACAGCACACCCGGTGCTATGATTTTACAGAATGCTTTAGACTGTCATTCACCAACAGTCAAGTAAGGTATTACATAATAACTTGGTATTTTTTTTTTTGATGTTTGCGAATGTTGTACATTCCCTTGAAACTTCAGAATAAAAAGTAAAGTCTAGAAAGTTATCATCAACTAAACCCCATTTTTATAAATATATTTTGTTTTTTTTTGTTTTTTAATTTACACTAAAACGAGAGAGTTATTGGGGATTTTGGGCTCTTTTTGGGGCTACTTTTTCTTACGTGTTGCAGCTTCTTCAAATTCGGCTTTGATGACCAGTTTGGTATAGCTGGGGTTGATGTAGCCAACTATGTCCCAAGGAATATCTCTCAAGTTGACCTCAAAGATGTGACAGCCATACATATCAGTGTCCTGAATGAAAGGCAAAAGAACGCAATAATTTGTTAAATAGTATAGACCATTCCAGGCACGCTCTCAATTCTATCAAAGGCCCCCATCAATGGAGAGAGCATTGTGCTAGCTATTGTTCAGATAATCTGTCACGGGGTATTTGCTTTGTACAATAGCATGCACAATGGTTTCTCCATTGAAGGGGGCCTCGTGAGTGTACAAGTGATTGCATGCCCGGATTCTTAGAACAGTAGAATGTCGTTATAACGAACATCGCTATGCTGAACATTTGGTCTTAGCAAACATACCCTTTGACTCCCAAATGTTACTTACTATTGGTCATTGGTAAGTTAAAGTCGGGGAGTCAGTCAGTCATTTTGTCAGTTGGGGAGTCAGTCAGGCATTTCGTCAGCTACTCAGTCAGCCAGGGGGTCAAGCTAAAAAGATATCAGCTTGAAAATGAATATAAACTCATTTGAAAAAATAAGGCGTCATTCATAACCGTTAGTGTTGGGTCTTAGAATTTGCATTTTCTTTCGTAATTTAACTCATGTTCAGAGAATAACAAATAACATGGTGCATCTTACCGCAGACTGTTCAAGTTTTGCATTCTGATTGGACGACACAGAGACATGCAATTTGATGGAGCCACGCACAGGCTGGCCATGAGTGTATCTAGCAAAAGAAATATCAAGATACAAACAAGTAGATTTTTTTAGAGCAACAACTGAGGTACCAAATCAACTGGCACTTCTTGGACTAGGTAACTTCCAACTTTTTTGTTGTGGTGTTTCTCGATTTTTATCTGATAAAATGTATCTGACAATCTTGTCTTCCCCTCACATACAGTAAAAAAAAAATTGAAAATATGAAATTCCAATCAATCCTTTACCCAAAGTTGTGTGGGATTTTAGAACATTTGTTGGTGATATACAAGATTTTGTTAATGACTTGGCCTTACTTGCCACAAACCATGATGTCTTCCTCTCCACCAGGGGCAAGCACATAGTCTGGTCCCTTGATCATGACTTCAAACTTGGGTAGTACTGAATGTAGTAACACAAAGGGAAAGAAACAGAAACAAGACCAATTTTTTTTTTTTTTAAGTTACACTGCTACAATTATGTTAAAGTTCGGGTTTGTGCTAAAAATAATAACATGGTGACAGTTAAGAAAACAATTTAAGCAAAGCCATTCAAACTACATGTATTTCAAGATGTTCGGATAATGACAACAATTTTTTTTTCTGTCTAACTTAATGAAAAGTGCTCTATAAAAGGCATCTTATCTATTTTAAACCAATGCAAGATGTAAAAAGCCAATCCGAAACAAAAAATCCACACGGGCAATTTCAAGAAAAAGTTGACACGGCTGAAAAAGTGGGAAATCCGTGACAATTTTCAGAACTGCAAGCATCACAACCTTTCATTTGAGTGGTGTGCCAGTGAGATGGAATATGGTCAAATGTATTATTTTTGTCCAAAAAAAAAAAATGTTATGGGGCTAAAATTATGGACTTTAGTTAGTCATTTCGGCATCTTGTTTTCACATGCAAAATTCAAATTTTATTTTGACTTTTTGTTTCAAATGCATAGAGAAAGGTTCATAATTTATGCTTTCTTTTTAATTTTGTTTTAACTTGTATCAAAGATGGGCAAACAAAACGTAACGTGAGTTACCATAACATGAGTTCCCAAAATATATCCCTCGAGAGATTTCCCGATTGATTATATTTTTTAATATTTTGACATGGTAGCATATGACCTACACCCTAATGATGTAAGGGCACTTAAAAAGATTTTTCCAACACAGCACAGTATGAGGACATTTTAAAATGCAAGGTTTTTTAATTTTTGGCCGTGTCCTTTTTTGTAATGTCAGTTACCAATAATAATTGTATTGCCAAACCTACCGAAAAATGTGTTTTGTTGGTTTCTTTTGTATTGTAGTTTAGTCATTTAAAGCCAGAGTCCATCATTTGCAGCTATCCAAAAAGTAACTGGCGTGATTATTGTTGAAAAACATACTTAGTTGAAAGATAGTAAGGGGACTAAACTCCCTGTGAAATTATTCTTTTTGGCAAGCTGTCATTTTGAAGAAATCAACGAAAGAAAGCCTTTCCAATGGTGCGTCTTAAGAAGCGCCGTTGGAAATTTCCGATAGTAGTTCGTTTTTTAATTGGCGAAGCACGCGCAAACGTTCACACAACGCACACGCGCGCGCGGTTGCTATAATTCATCGGATCGGTGCGCGACATCGCATAGCTGCAATCGGCTAGTGAGAACGTGTCTCGGACGCTGAATTCAGGCCAAATTCAAAACAAGATTCAGCAACTTTTGATATAAAATCGAGATCCTAGAATGTTGTTTTTCTCGAAATATACAGCTGAAGCTGAGCTGAAACTTCATCAGGTTAGTTATTCAGCACCCTACTTTAGATTTTGAGCACTTTTGTTGCTTCAAACGAACAAAATGCACAAATAACAAATGATGGACTATACCTTTTACTTCAAATTTTGACCTTGAAACAAATTTGATAACTACAATAGCGATGTATTCTATATTGAAAGTTAGATTGAAAGCATACCAAAACAATACTTGGAACAGCACTTTTTATACTTTTATACGCGAACTCATTTTCAGAGATAAAATACAAAAGACAAATAAGAAGTTGTGGAATTGTTTCTTGTAAAATTCCAACACTCCACTTAACACTCCTGAGAATAAGTGGAATAAGGGAAATCACATTGTACCCTGGTCAAGCAGCCAAACGTGTGTTCACCGTCACTCGTGGACGTCCTATTGCCCCTCTTTTGTTTGTACATTAACTTTTTAGGAAGACTCCCATAGGTTTTGTACACGACCCCAATCGCGGACGTATGCTGGGAATCGTGGACGATATTGTTCTCTTTTGTTCTCTGGTGTTTTTCGTCCATGGTTTGAAAAGATGAACACGTACTTCCCAACAGCCAGGATATCGACCCCCGAGTGCAACCAGAGTGTGAAATGTTTAAATACATAATGTATTATTTTGTTAAAGGTTATGTCAGTTGTGTTTTCCTATTCCGGCGGAATGTACGTGTCTCTTTATGAAGATTTATTTAAAGGTCTTATTTATTATAGAATAATACAGGTGTTGATTACCGCAAAGAATGTAAATTGTTTTCAAATGAACTTAAATTTATATATTTACACATTGTTTTGTTAAAATCCATATTAATTGTGTTTTGATGGAATGTAAGTGCCACTTTCTTAAAGTTATTAGGTCATATTTAATATAGAATAACACAGCTGTGTATTTTGTTGCAATCTAAAGTGGAATTAAAACAAAAACTATTTCAAAAAAAAAAAAAAAAATTCCAAGGGATATTCTGTGAGAAAAATCTGCCCTAAATGCTTTGAATTTATCGAATAACAGCACAGAGTTTGACAGAGGACGCCCACCCATTCAAATGTAATGCAAGTTACCATAGTGATTGCCCATACCATATTCTCCGACCGTGAAGGTCTGCGTGAATTCTCGGTCGTGATGGCGGACTTTGATCTTCCATTCCCCCATTGGTGGATCCGTAGACATCGGCATGGATAGGTCAATCAGACCGTCCACAGTCTTGACCGATAGCCACTGAGCCATGTGGATACCCGCAGGAGCCTCGATCCAAATCTTGGACACCTTTAAGGGTAAAGAAATATTCAAACTCTCTTAAGTTCTGTGTAGCCATTTCTGTTAAAGGTAGGGTAGATCATTTATCGTTTGTCATTTTTTTTTTCGTTTGAAGCAACAAAAGTGCTCAAAATCTAAAGACATGTGCCTAAAAACTATCCTGATGACATTTAGCTCTATGAATGCTGCATATTCCGAGAAAACAATATTCTAGGATCTCGGTTTCAATTCAAAAGTTGCCGAGTTGTTTTGAATTGCATCTGAAATCAGCGTCCGGGACACGTTCTCATTCAGCCAACTGCAGCTACGCGAAGTCTTGCACTGAACTGACCGATAGCAGCCACCAAACGTATGCGTCATGTCAACGCTTGCACGCACCCATTTATGGATTCGCTGAATTGCAAACCAACTACCAACGGAAAATTCCAAAAATGCGACTGCATTTATTGTTTTCTTCAAAAGGACAGCATGCCAGAAAGAATAATTTCACAGGGAGTTTAGTGCCATTACTATCTTCAAACCAAGTAAGATTTTCAACCATAATTTTGTCACTTACTTTTTGGAAAGCTGCAAATGATAAACTCTACCTTTAAAAGCACAATGTTTAGTTGTATACAAATTCATAATTTACTTTTTCATATTTCTAACCATTATTTTTTCCAAGTTAAATGCATTTAAAGCTACAGTCAATCATTTGCAGCTATCCAAAAAGTAACTGACATAATTTTGTTGAAAAACATACTTGGTTGAGAGATAGTAAGGGGACTAAACTCCCTGTGAAATTATTCTTTCTGGCAAGCTGTCATTTTGAAGAAATCAGCGAAAGAAGGCCTTTCCATTTAGACGCACCATTGGAAATTTCCTCTACACCACCTGATCACATCACATGACTTACCTCAGTCAGGTCAGGCCTCAGGTCAGACAGCAACGTCAGGACTCGGAATTGTACTGAAATATATCAGGATAAATTAAAAACAGTAAAAAAAAGGTATCAAGCTGTGAATTGAGGATTCGAACCTTGACCCTACATCTTACTATGAAACTTGTTTCCATGTCAGACCTGGGACCAATCACATGGTGCTGCTAAGCACATGATTTTCTGCTAACAGAGCCTCCGTCGATTTCATGGAGACCGTAAGCAGTAAGCAGTAAGCACACAAAAGGCATGCTGACTTCAGAGGAAAACAGTGCTCAACCCTTTAGTCACTATAGCGCCCCAAACTGCCCGAGCACTTTATGGTTTTACTGATTCTTCAATGAATAAATACAATTGTAATACAATGTAGTACAAGTGCTAATGGGCTAAATTAGTGACGTAACAATGTACATCTACATGCGTGGGAAACCGTCAGCACAGCCACGCCATGAAATAGTGCTTAAGGTTAGCACAACTAACTTTTCTGCTAACTGTTAAGCAGCGCCATGAAACTGGCCCGTGTGCTGTTACATATGCTGCGCTAAGCAAAAAATCTGCCACATACCAGTCACAAGCAATACACATTGCATGACATTTTGGCTGGTTACCTGTTTCTGCTAAGCAAATATTTTCTGTGCTTAGCATATGTCTGTACTGTTGTTTTTTTGTCTGTTTGTTTTTGTTTTGTTTTTTTTGTTACCCTTTTGTCCCGGTTTGTACATAGGCTTGTCTGTCTCGATGAAGGTCTCCGAGTTGCAGGCGTCCAGGTAGACCTTGATGCTGTCCACGATCTCAAACTCCTCGCACTGCATCATGGTCCGCTTGGCGTACATGATGAGTGAGACGACCATCCTGGGCTTGTCAATGACTGGGAGCTGTGAGGTGGAAAAAGAGGCAAAAACATGATAGTGAGAGACAAAATGATGGAATTACGAGAAGACCAGATCCTACTGACGGATTTTATAAATTCAGCTTCGTCAGTTTTGTTTTGAGCATCATAAGCCTTTTTGGTGTTTTGCACATCAGATTCATTGATTTATTTTCGAGAGATCAACAAAGAAGATGAATGTTCACAAGTCTTTGGGGGACATTATAACCGGATTCACATTTTCCAATATTCATCTAATCAAAAAGAAGATGGAAACTTCTGTTTACACAAAAGTAGGAGCATACAAAACAACTTAAACCATGGTGCCATAAAAAATTTTAAAAATAAAAATTTCGCATTTACTTCAAAACAAGAACTTCTGTTAGATTTCGTTGGTATCCACTATGATTCTGCACGTGTGACAAACTGTTTCTTCCGAAACAAAATCGTTGAATCTGATGTTCGCACGCACAGTCGAAATAGTGGAAATAAGGCTTATTGAAACCTTCTGTATATTAATATATTCCCCACTTCTCAGAAACGAAATAGGCAGCTTTACTATCAAACTATAAAGAACAATTTTCTTACATTTCATCACATTGGAACACAAACTTGCACACACAAAAACTGACAATATATAGTCTATAGGAAAGTCCTCTTCTCAAACTTGGAGAAAATAACATTAACCTTTAAACAACAAAAGGATGTTTTGTTAAGCTTTTAAAATAAAAAAAAAGGGGTTTACACAATTACAGCGTGCTAAAAGATACGAAGTTGCGCGATGGACTTGTGATCGACTTGTGATTTGCTTGTGATTGCCTTGTGATCACCTTGAGACTGATTTTAGACTGACTTGTAATTAATTTGTGGTTGGCTTGTGATTGAATTGTGATTGGCTTGTGATTGGTTGTGATTGGCTTGTGATTGGTTGTGATTGGCTTGTGATCGGTTGTGATTGGCTTGTGATTGGTTGTGATTGGCTTGTGATTGGTTGTGATTGGTTGTGATTGGCTGTGATTGGTTGTGATTAGCGCTTGTGATTGATAGTGATTGGTTTATATTTTTGGTGTGATTGGTTGTGATTGGCTTGTAATTGATTTCTGATCCGCTTGTGATTGTTGTGAATTGTGATTAGTTGTGAGATTGGTTGTGATTGGCTTGTTGTAGACATGTCATGGAATTGTGATGGACTTGACTTCAACAAATGCAGAGAACTTACATCGATCTCCACACATCCGCAGGGCGTTTTGAAGACCTTCAGCGGAGTGACAACCAGGGATGTCTCCTCATTCTCCATGACGGCAAACATGACGTCCACCGGCTGTGAGAAGTTGACGAATGTGATGAAGACTTTCTCCTGGCTGCCAGCGCACAAGATCTTGGGCGCCATGGCAAGGTATCCCGCACCAAAGGCACTGATGGGAAAGAGGCAAGATGAAATAAAAGTGTGACTTTAAATAAGTACAAGTTTGTTACAATTTGTAAAAAAAAAAAAGGAATACAATGACCAATGTCAAGAAAATTTGTTGAGTATTGTTGATATGCTAACGTGGCGCACTTTAATTTTTCGCCTGTAGCGCCTAGCTAGAGCAAAAGTTTTAGCATCACGTTCCTAAATCCGAGTTTATCTACCTATTTCAAAGTTAGAAGAACACTTTATTTTGGCGTGATTTTCCAATTTTATTTCGGAGTGCACAGTGAACCCTTTGCAAATGTCCCCCCAAAATAAGAAATAATTTTCTGCCACACTTCTATTTGGGTATGCAAGTATCGAGATAATCATGGTTTATCAGCATTTATCAACTTTACAGAAAGTCTTAAATGTTTATTTTGGAAATTTCCGAGATTTGTTCAAGATTTATCCAAGTTAGGGAACGCTCTGCTGATTTTGTGCTCAATTTTCGGACTCCACCATTTTTTAATTTCGGATTAAATTTAATGACACCGAAATGCAAGCTTTAATAAGGTAAAAGTACCAGTATTTCACTGCATGAATTTGAAGTTTCTCAACAAAGAAGTTTGGCAACACTACATGACGAAAGTCGGGGTAAATGTTGAAAGTGTGCCACGTTAGGGAACACCACTTTATAAAAGTTAATTTCCTAAAGTAACAAAATTGGAAATATCAGTCTCAGATTCATATCTTATCATCATTTTTGCAATGACTGACCTTCTTTGAGATGATATATGAGAAGAAAATATGGCGTCAGGCATTGTCAGGTGGCAAATTCTTTCCGTTAAATCATTCGAGGGTTGAAACATGGGCCTCCACCAAACCCAACTCCCAGAGTTAAAGACCCCCCCCCCCCCCCCCCCCCGAACATGCCGAATAGCTTACGGCCAGCTGACACTGGCAAAGGCCTAACAAGATTAAAACTAAAACAATTTCACAATCATTGATATGTTCAGAAAAGGTTTACCATTTTTACAGTAAGACTTTGTCCTCATCCTTTGTCTCCAACCGTTTAATCAATTGAAAGAGACTCAACAAGTTATTGAAGCTCGTTTTGCTCGCAATCGCAAGAACATCAAAAATCCCGCACCATCTTTTGTGTACTGAGTATATTTTAAAACAAAAGAGGGCGCTATGAAGCTTTTGTGGTGATGATCACACTATCATGCATCAATGCTCGCACATGACACACGATCAAAATTGCGGCGGCTCCTGCTATTTTCGAAAAACAACCCTAAAATGTACACAGATATTTGTATATTTTGCCGTTTTTCAAGCGCTACATGAGACATCGAACGAAAAATATCCCCCTGCGATTACCTATTGAGTAAAAAGGGCAAGGGAAAAACAAACGATTTTGCAGACGTCCCTGGAATTTAAAAAAAAATGTTTTCTTGTCAAAGTAAAGCATTTAAATTGAATGTTTGTTAGGAATATTGAAAAATAATAAGTAAATAAATGTGTTGAAGAGAATGGGAGCAACTTTCATTTAAATGTAGAATTGGTGCGTGACCCTGAAGTGTTGACAAATCCTATACAATCGATGTAATCAGAGTCTGGGAAGAACAGGGTAATAAGTCAAAAAGAAAGTGATCTGCATTAATGATTTCTTTCATTAATTGTTTACTTGATACACCAATGAAACATGTAGGCCTATCAAACGAGCATCTTCCACTTATGTGGGTGGGGGGGGGGGGAGAGAATTACCGAATTTGATCCGTGCTATCAGAAGTTATGCATGTTTTATTTTAAAAAAAAATAAATAAATAAAATATTTGCTTGTAACTGGATGCTAAAATGCTATATTTCAGCTGAGTGAGAACATAACACACCTCCTCTAAGCATCCAAATACAAATGAGATTTTAATAATGGAGTTCAGACTGAAACACTATTTTTAATATCAGATTGTGTGTTTTGTATATGAGGAACAAATCCAATCTTTTTCTGAAATGATTTTTGTCCGTTTTCCTTTGCAAGTTTTCGTGTATTCATGATGGCCCCCATGGTTCATCAGAGTGCATCAAAGAATGATCAGTGGTGGACAGCTGAATTTTGTAGTAGGCCTGATTTCTATTAAATAACTTGTGAATAGAGTACGCAAATTAAGTGAAATTTTAACAGCAACTAGTCAATAACATATACTTTATTCCTGTGCTAATTTTATTAAATGGAGCGAGCCACATATAGTTTAAATATTTGTTTTCTAACTCGTCCCTGTCTTTTCTGACTCACCCTGTATTATAATCTTCCATATTTTTTTTTTGGGGGGGGGCCTAGATATCTAGTCTGTACTCAAAGGGATTTGTCAACACCGAGTATATTATGTTAATTTACAAAACAAAATTAACTAAAACAATTATGTTTTCGGTAAGTTCGTCAGTAAGATGGGCGTCGCCAGTTTTTTTTCGGGGGGGGGGGAAGCACATTTTCCCCAAAAAATCTTTGTACTTTCGCTGACATATTCTCAATTGATAATTTTTCGAAGGTGGGCGGGGGACATTTGCCCAGCCCACCCCCATTGACACCCCTGCAGACGCCCATTTTCTTAAATGTGTATTAAATTAATAGCAAATATGACTTCACACCTCTTTTTCCTTTTTTTTCTATTTCCCTCCCCCCCTTTTTTTTGAGGGGGGATCGCCCCCCCCCCCCCCCCCTTGCCATGCTCATGGTCTGTAGGTAACTAATGAAAACTATCGCTCACAACGATTAATCTTGAAATCGGACACAAACATCTACCGGTTGCCTCTGAAGATGCCCGTGCCATCGCTTCGAATCTCCCATAAAATGAATTAATGAAGAAACAAACATCACAAACGAAAAGTAAGGATAGACGAATAAAAATAACTGACCGATTTCGGATTTCCTTCAGTTTTTCCTGCGCCACTTCCTCGTCCACTAGCTGATCTTCGACTTTCTGGATTTCTGGTGGTGGCTTGCGAGCAGCAAACGGTTCGTCCACCACAGGTGGCGGTGGTGCCACACTTAGTGGCAAAACTCCGAGAATCACGGCAAGCGCCGCCACGGCGACGCGAAAACGCACCGGGACCACGCCCGGGCCCTTCCTCATGGCGTCTCGGTGAGATGGACTTGCGGCCCGATGGGGAAAATATCTCAAAAAATTACTTTATTTCCGTCAAAATTTGGCTCTTTGGCGAACTAAGGGCGCAACTCGCAGAAAAATGTACAATCTGACGTTCCACGTCAGATGACACAATTTCGTTGTATTGTTCTGTGCGGACGGTGTTTTGCATGATAAAAAAATGTTTTGATGGGATTTGAAAAAGCATCGATTTTTTTTCGTTGGCATTGGAATCATTGTTCATATTACAATAGCTTGGATCCAATCAATTGTTTCCCCATTTGCGAACTTAACACCTTTTATGAGAAGACCCTAATTATGCATAATGTAGCCTCTAACATTTCCAGCATAAAAATCAAAGTTTTAAGGAGAATGTCGTTGGTTTTGGATAGTAAATTGAGGCCTACAAAGAACGTTGGGTATAACAAAAAAATGATCATTTCCCATTTTTTTTCCATTTCCGTTCCCAAATATTCGACATCTATCATTTGTCCCACGATAAAATGACGTGTCTATTGTTCCGCTTGGGCATGAATAAACAGGTGTTCGAGGGCCTGCGAACCTCAAAACAAAATCGATCACGGACATAACGCAATATTGATTATGCTCGGCATGATATAGGCGCATTGCATGGAGACTCCATCACACATAATTGTTTGCGCATGTTTTTGGATTACCCTCAATACTTATAACGTGGGTCGTCGTTTCAAGGCGACACGTAGGGTCTATGCATAATTATTTTGGGGCTTCGTGATTGGTTGAGAGTTTCTGAAAACGTGACTGAGCCATCCAATCCTGTACCTTCGTCATTCATTCTTCCTTTAACTTAACCATATATACCTTATCCCTCATTGTTAGTTGGCACTTTCATTTCTCATTTTAAACAGTCTACTTAGCCGGCCACTCAAATTGGCGTTCTTAATCCCACTTTTCAGGGCTGATAATATATGGAGGAACCACAACACATAAACAACACAAAAATGAACATGTTTCCTTGTGTTCTGTTGTATTGATGCCCATGTGAACAAAAGACAAAAATAAACGATAGTTTAATTGTGTAGTATTCTTAAGAAATATTATTTTGTTCTTTAAATCATACTATACGATGAAAATATACAAGTGAATATTATCAACTGAGAGTTTGACAAGTTTTAAATGCAACAATATCTTTTCCAAGTCGTATCGTTTTTTTAAACCAAACTTCTTAATTTCTTTTCTTTTTTAGTACTCCTGAACTGTTTTGATGATCTTTTTGTACCCACTACCCACCAAACCTTTATTTGAAACATCAAAGGAACGAAAACAATTCTAAACAAATGTATACTGATATCAATAGACCTGTATATATTCCTGACAGGGATGCCGAAGTGGGTGGGCGGGTCTTCCTCCCCCATAAAGTAAAAGTATCCCATCAATTTTAACAACTCAAACTTTTGATTTGTCTTTATAATTCTTTATAATTAGAATTCTCAGTTCAACTTTCTCCTCTCCCAACCAAGGTAAATAAATAAAATACACTATATGGTTAAAATAAAATAACACTTTGTGGATATTTTTAAAGGATACTTTTTTATATGTTTTAATATTAATTTTGTATGTACTTCTGAAACCCTCCTCTCAATGCACACACTTTTTAAATTTTAAGCCAAAAGCATCATCGTCCGTTTATCGAAATATCCACTTATTTTCATTACCAAAAGTAAACCTTACTCATGGTAAAAGCCACACTGTTGCTGTTAAAGGAAAGATACAACAGTTGTAAACATCAAACAAAATGATCAAATTGTAACGAAATGCACTACTGGACTGTTAGGGAATGACAGTCTAAAGCATTCTGTAAAATCATGGCTCCTGGTGTGCTGATATTTTCAAGTAAAGTGGTATTTTGTTATCAATTTCCAACGCTGGTTGGCCAACCAGCGTTGGAGAAAACTGGCTTTAAAAAAAACAAACCTCCTAATGGTTCATATTTAGATATTCCGCATTTTCTTTGCAATTGATTACACACCTGTGAAGAGGTACAAGCCAGCTAGACTGATTCTCTGACCTCACAATTCCCCTAGGTTTTTAAGTGGCTCCATTTTATATGAAGTGGGGTCAGGGAACCAGACTACAAGAACATGATTGGTTTTCTTCTTTTTTCCCCCAGCATCTACGAACCCAAAACGTGAAAAAGTCAGTGTAACAATATTTGCTATAACATAATAATCCTGCAAATCCACTATTACGATTATTTATCTGTTCAGTGTGTGACATCAGGTAACTACAATTGACTGAATGAGAATCACATCCAGAATGCTGATATCGGGATTGTGTCGCGAGAGGGCGCAATTCGAAAATGACTTGGGAACTTTTGAAGGGAAGTCGAGATCCAGAATTTGTTTTCTTACAATATACAGCATTCACAGAGCTATAACTTAATCAGGTTATTTATTAAACACCCGCCTTTAGATTTTGAGCACTTTTGTTGCTTCAAATTTAAAAGAAAAAAATGCACAAATGACAAAATGGTCCATTCTAACTTTAACCATAGTTTATTTCACAGATAGCAAGGAAATGTGGCTTACGTGCTTCTAAACATCCAAATACTAAGGCGTTCCCGGTTTTATAAGAGGCTTTTTGCGTTCGGAAGCAGTAGGCACAGTGAGGTAAACATAAATGCAAATTTTTGGTGGTTGACAGAAGCATGAAATTGGGTACCATTCATTCATTCACTCACATACTGCATACATTTTGTCTCAGTTATCCTTGATTGTTTTTGTGTGTGCACCAAATTTGCAGGAGTACGGTTTGATCACCTTGATCAAAGGAATGGTATAACCCATATGTGCGCTGTTCTGCGTGGCAAGATACTCCTAGCACCTGTTCTATTGCACATCAGAGGGGTGAGATTAGTGGCGAGGGGAGGGGGGGATTGGTGTTAGTGGTCCTTGGGTTTCCGGAGACCCTTCTTTGCTGCCTTTAGAATTTGCCCGTCCATTTTCCCTGTAAAATGCAAACAAAATGAACACAAAATGTAATCATATGCTTTGGTTAATGAATTATGAATTACAAAACTATTTGATTGAATGGAGCACAATGGGTTACAGCGTCTGACTCGTGTAGGTTACATGAGTTTGAATCTTGATGGGGACATGGTGGTTGTGTTCTTGGGCAAGAGAGTTTACAACAATTGCCTGTTTCTGCCCAGGAGTACAAATGGGTACCGGTGATGGTAGCGACCAGAATGCGCTGATCTCGAGCTGCTGCAGAAAACTGGTCTCATGGGTGGCCATGGAGTGCAGTATTTAGTGTGTGTTTTGTTTTAACAATAAATAAATAAATATATTTCACATATACTTACAGATTTTATGTTTGCCTTTTATTGGAAATCTGACCACAAGTTCTTGTGGGTTCTCACATATAAATACATAGGGTGATGAGCTGTCGCCACGGGGATACTGGAAACAAGATCAAAATATAAGATTTGTTGTCGAGGCAAATCTCTTGAAAACTTGAGAAAATGTTTAAAATCTGCTCTTGAGTAGACCAACCCCAGCACAATATTGCGTACACTCCCCAAGTCACCTGTCGTGGAGAAAGCATTTTGTTAAACAAAGCATTTGCTTCATGATGGTTAATCTAAAGAATAGCTGGTACAATGCTTCAGCCATTACTGGGGCCTATGGAAGAGTATGCTGTGGTTTGTGCACATTTAGATGAGAACCAGTCATTTGTACTCTGTGCAAAACAGGGCGAGTCAAAAAATACGAAACCCAAATGTCGGGACCATTGTTTCAGTGAAGTTCTGCATGTAGTACTTTCAAAATCTAGGATATGAAAGCCCAATTCATAAGCTTTCTTTTAGTACAAAAATCATTCAAATCACTCATGTAATGTTCAAATTACAGAATTTTAATTACAGTTTTAAAGTTCTGTCCACGTATCACCAAAAGGTAAGTGTTCTTTCGGCAAAAACGAAAACAACTCACATTGGGATGTGTGTGATTTCTTTTCGTTTTGCTGAAAGGATGCACACCATTTTTGTGATCTGTGGACAGAGCTTTAAAACGGTGGTTGTGTTTAAAATTCCATAACTTGAAAAGTACATTTGTGATTTGAATGATTCTTGTACTAAAAGAAAGCTTATCAATTGGGCTTTCATATCCTAGATTTTCAAAGTGCTACATGCAGAACTTCAGGAAAACAATTGTCCCGACATTTGGGTTTCATTTTATTTGACTCACCCTGTACTTGTGGAAACCAGTTCATGTATGCAGTGTGCCCCGCACAACGGAGTTCTTATGAGTGATCATGAAGTGCCATTTACTTTTCCAGCTCAGAGTCAATAGACTCTGGGCACAAGCACATTCCCAAGGTTTATAAAGTGAGAGTCAGGCAGGACTCTGCATTGCTGACGTATGCCTGGTGCTCACGCCATGGAGCAAGGAACAGAAGGAGGCAGAACTCCCCTACTTCAAAGTGATTACGATCGTCACCTCCCTCGAAAGCAACAATAGAAAGCACCTGGCGGCCAACTTGCTCATTGCTCACTACCCTATTGAGATCCGTGCTCACTAATGCTAGAAGAAAGAGTTTGCATTGCTTTGTGGATAGCACCATGGTAATACATGCACACAGGTGCAGCTGTCATACATCGCCAAAAATTAATGATTTTGAAAGCGTTTGTTCGGAGTTGGCTAATAATGGCTCACAATGTGGTCAACATCACTGAAACAATCATTTCATGACAAACAAATATGCTCCATACCTTCCGTAGGAAACCTTAGGAAATGTCCCAAAATGTCATATTTCATAAATGACGTATTGCCAATAAAACATTTCGAAAAGACATGATAACTTATCGGAAAACAAATTAATTGATCTTCAAATGACAGGAACAGATAGCGCTTTCAAGGACCAACCACTGCACATCGATAACTTGATTTCATAACTCACATCTAACAACTGCGCAGTTGTTAAAACCTAAAATATTTTTTCGAAAAAGAGCAACGACGTGACATGACTATAGGGAGATTGTTGGTTACCAACTCAAAAGGCAGTGACGATCATCGTGTTCAAATGCCACTTGCATGCACGCTTTCAATGGCAAGGCTTGCGGTCACAGTGCTTTACCTATAGACATGCCCGAGGGATTGGAATGTTAATGGTTAATGTAAATCGCCAAAGAGTTCTGACTCCTTCTGTTCCTTGCTCCATGCTCACGCAAAGGCGCGGTTGTGAAGATTCAGATGAAATGAAATTGTTCATGCTTTGCACCACGTGTGGCAATGTTTGCATTCATCTCACAGTTAGTCATGAAGTGCTATCTACTGTCTTTTGTACACATGTACATCAACTAACAACTACGGATTCTGCAGCTGGTTCTCACCTGTTCCTGGTACTGGTCCTGTGAAAGGCAGTCCACCATGTCCACACAGCCTAGCAGGCAGGACGTGGGATACTCCCTGGGGAAAAATATCTCCTCCTCTGCGTCATCCGCTGTGAGGAAGCATTGTACAAGAAGTAGGGTCAAAACTTGAGAAGACGCATTACACATAAGGATATCATAAGGATATAATCACAAGTCAATCACAAGTCAGTCACAAGTCAATCACAAGTCAGTCACAAGTCAATCACAAGTCAGTCACAAGTCAATCACAAGTTCAATTACAAGTTAAATCACGAGTTAAAAACGAGTCAATCACGAGTGCAATCACAAGCTAATCGCAAGTCTATCACAAGTCTAATCACAAACCAATCACATTCCTATCATAAGTCCAATCACAAGCCAATCACAAGCCAAAAAGTACTGAGGGATGAGCAATGGAAATGAATGCCGTTCGACAAAGTTCAGCCAAAAGTTCAGTTGAATAGCATGTCACGCGACTTGTAACAGGAGAACTTTTGATTGACTCAGTGCTTCTGATTTGAGGCGTGCGATCACACCCCCACACCATCGCACGCCTAAAAGCTTCCTGAGAAGTGTGAATAATTGCACGCCTGAATTTCCCTGGACCACAGATCACACACCTAGAAAACCACACACCTAGAAAAAACACACGCCTAGAAAAAGTCCAGGTGTGCCTTTTTCCACCCGCCTGTGATTTTCAAATCAGAAGGACTGTTGACTTTCAAGGACTTGTAAGGAGTTGCTGACATCTCCTGAGGAATTTTTGTTTAATTTATAAATTCTTAATTTATTGGGTTTTTTTTTTTGCGGGGACAGAGCTTGACTGACCTTGATGCGTTGCTAGATGAGCGTTCTCTACTTGTGCTATTTCTTCAGCAGTTGCTTGATGTGAGGCAGCGGCAATCCATAGCCTGCCTCTATGTGATGAATACCACGTTCTGCCTTCATGTCTAAAAAAAATAACACACACAAAAAATAAAAAACACCCAAAATATCACACAAGTTAGGCCATGTCCAAATGACTTTGATAAGGCCGACAGTGATGCTCAGGTGTAATAGCAAGCTGTAGCTAAGAGTAACTCAGATCAGATACGTGGGTAATTCTGTAGGTTGTGGGTTCAGGTCCAGCCCGAGGGGATGAGTTGCCTGTGCCCTTGGGCAAGGCACTTTGTCACTCATTGCTTCTCTCCACCCAGGAGTAAAAATGTCCCTCTCATAGACCACAGAATAATTACTAAAATCAAGTTTTATACTCAATTAAGTTTACATATTTAGAAAGCCCACTTTATTTTGTAGTTCCTGTGAAAATTTCAAAGGTCTCGCTTCATTGGTTTTGAATACACAGGCTTTTATTTAACAGCAGTGCTTTCTGGCCCATTCCAAGTTTGATAAAAAGAAATGCACACTAGAGACATACCATACCTTATTCCATGCTACACTTTTAATTCAACAACTGTGTTGTTGTTCTTGTTATTGAGTAACTAAAGTCAAGTTCATTTACTTTTTTAAATGAAAACTAATCAAAGTTCAGTTCCACTGGTCATGTTTGCTTTCACAGGGTGTGTTCCACTTATGGTTTGTTCTTCAATGTCCAGCTTGTAAACCTTTTTTCCCCCCTGCATGTCCTTCCACCTGCAAACTTGGAATGGGCAGAAAAGCACTGCTGTTACATAATAGACTGTGTATTCAAAACCAATGAAGCGAGACCAATGAAATTTTCACAAAAGTTACAAAATTAAATGGGCTTTCTAAATCTGAACACTAAATTGAGAATAATACTTGATTTTGGAATTAATTAAGCAGTCTATCAGAGGGACATTTTTTTGGGGACACGCTGTATATTCATTATAGGCAATGTGCACAAGTACTCCTTCAACGGTAGCAAAAGGAGAGTTGGGGGAGACCACTGGGAGGGATATTCAAAGGCATTGACGCTATTGGTTAGTGCACAATCTGAATAAAATCTCGTACTGCGCGGGAGTCCCTCTCACTGAGAATCTCGTTATAGTGGTTCACACAGCGCCCCCTACTGCCCACGCATTATTACCGACTCACTTCTTCACGCCGGTAACCAGCAGTGAGGCCCACGGCTGATGCATACTCAGGCAGTATCCCTCATCAGACATCTCCATCAGCTCTCGGTCCTGGATGCGCAGGGCACCGGTCTTGCTGCTCAGTGACAGCTTCTCCGACTTGTGCATTGTGGCTGGGTCGGATAGCCGATACCGGTCCTCTTTGCTTTGGACAAACTGTCTCACACACAAACATTGAAATTAATAAAATACGAGAGAAACGTTGAGCCTTCTCCATACATTGGGTTGCTTTGCTTTGGACAAACTGTCTCACACACAAACATTGAAATTAATGAAATACGAGAGAAACGTTAAACCTTCTCCATATGTCGGGTTGCTTTCATTCGTATTCTCAGTTGTCTACGAAGAGACATTCCTGGACATGTGGGTCTCTATAAAAAATGCAACTTGAAATTGTCATCACGTGGCACATGATGCCGTCCTCATGACGTAACTTGTCTGTGCACATCTTTGCTATGTGGTTTTTGTCTCTGCCAAGTTTGGAGCGATCTCATTACAAATAATGTCAAATTTTGTAATTACGATTTTTTTTTTTTAAATTTTAAAAATTCTTAAAAATTCAACCGATGACATAAGATGTCACTTCATAATTTGCATCTTATTAACTTAATATAAGTATCCACCAAGTTTCAACACAATCGGAAATTCCCTTATATGCGTTAAAAAAAATTTCACATTTTTGAAGATGCCAAGAGGACGTCACACATTAAAAAAATGTGTGTGTAAAACAATTTGTGTTTACCAACTTAAAGGGAATGTACATCATTGGTTTTTGATGTAATTTTCAGAAATGAACTATTTGAGGGGTTAGTATATATAGATCAAATATTGTTACACTGACATTTTTGAAGTTTTGTGTTCGAAAAGGTTGGAAAAACCAAGAAAAACAAAAATGTTTAGTCTGGTTCCCTGACTCCACAAAAGATAAAATGGATCAATTTATAGATGATGGAAAATTGTAAGGCACGGGAACCAGTCTAGCTGGCCTGCACCCGTTCATGAAACTTGTAACCAATAGCAAACAAAATTTGGACTGAAAAAATGGTTAATTTGGAGCAGTAGTTGAAAAATAGTTAGGTTTTTCCAACGCTGGTCGGCCGACCACCGTTGGAAATGTATACAAAAATACCATTTTCTTGAAAACGACTTCACACCAGGTGCCATAATTTTACAAAATGTTTGAGACTATCATTTACCAACATCCTAGTAAGGTATTTCGTAAAAACTTGGTAGTTTTATTTTTCGATGTTTGCAAATGTTGTATATTCCCTTTAACCTATTAGAAAAAGAATTTTGATTTTATCATGTTCTGTTCGTGAGATATTTCAATAATCTTCAAAAATCCATATAAAATCCCACGGTGACATCATCATGAAGTCACCTCAATTTGTATCTATAACACATCCCGGTATACCTACATACCAGGTTTCAAGCCAATCAGACTTACAGCTCTCTAGATATAGGACCTCAAAAATATGCACCATTAAGATGATATCACGTGACCCGTGATGACATCATGATGATGTGTATCTTCTATGACCCTCTTTGCTATGTGGTCTATGCCTATGTTAAGTTTGAAAGCCATATGACTATATTTTATGCCAAAAGTGCCGCAGAGAATAACACATGTACAAAGTCTATGGGATTTGGGATAGAAAAACAAGATTAAGAAGTAAAAAAAAATCTTCACAAAAACAAAGGAAAAGCCAAAAACATCAAGGTCACTGGCATTTCTCAGAGCCACAGGCAACTCACAGAGCTGTCGTCAAACCGCTTTGCTTACATTTTACTCATTATGACTATACACTCATATAATTATCTTACATGGGGTGCGTCCTGAGTTATATTTGGATTGATGATGTCGCTGTCCCCGACCGGTCCTCTGTGACCTTTGACCTGACCCGACTTGCCAAAGTTCACGGCCTGGACGACCTCATCCTGCCCATCGTACATGTTGACTTGGTCCGTGTCTTCGACAACTTTGCGGCCGGCAAAGTCTAGAGTGAAGGTTTTCTTGAGGCGGGAGCCGTGTTTCAGTTCCCGGAGTTCTTGTTTTCTCTTTTCGAGTTTGGCTCGGTCGTCCTTGGTCAGCCATTGGTTGGAGTCCGTGGAGAAATAGTCGGACTCGTCATCGATGACTTTGGTGCGACGGACACTAAGTAGAGAAGTGAAGGAGTCTCAATGAGACAAATTTAACCGGCTGATATAAATGTTCTACAATCCACTGAAATCTTAAAATGAATTTCCACGACTTTTCCAGGACAAAATAAGGGCTTTTCAAGACCAATGCCTGGATGCTGTTTTGGCATATTCGGAAAAGATGCTCAGAGTTTTCTTTTTCAAAGACTTACACAAACAAACATCTGGGTCCAATTTCATGTAGCGGTTAAGCAGAAAATACTGCTTGGCAAATTTATGCGCTAAGCAAAAACCAGCCCAGTACCAACCACAAGCAATATACATTGCATGACATTTTGGCTGGTAATCTTTTCTTTTTTTCTTAGGAAGCAGCTATTTTCTGGGCTTAGCAAATGTCTGTGCTTAAAAGGTTCATGAAGTTAGCACCTGATCTATGGCCTACATTAAAAAAAAATGTAAACCTCTTTACTCATTTTTAACCCGAGTCCATCAACGTTTTTGTTGAGAAACTTTATTAATCCTCGAAAACCCTCCACAATGACGGAAATCAATGAGACACTCCTTCAACTTTCTAAGTTCCTTAATCCTGCAAAATCTCCCAAAACATTTCCGTGGTCTGAAGGATCTGCGAAAAAGTTAGGATTAACAGTGAGTTGGCTTCTCGAAGATGCTCATAAAATTGAAAGAGCAATTTTAAATTTGTCAGGAGAACAAAAAAATTTGAACAAAGAAATTGACTGGAGCAGGTGTTTGAACCTGCGACCTTCGGTTTGCCTTTCTGGTGCTCTACCATCTAAGCTATCCAGCCCTATGTTGGCGGTTCCCCAATTCGTCAATGTCTTTGTTCAAGGGGTGCTAATCAGAAGTCATGCCATGTACCGGTAGATTGGATCACACCCAAAGTCACAATGATAGCAACATTTATAGCAATCCTGCAAATCTGCGAAATAGCCACCAAAACAATTGTCGAAGAGCTTGGGAAGCGCACCTAAAAGACTTGACCCACTCTCACCTGGTTTTGTCGTACTCAATCAGCCTGTCCTTGTGCTGGAGTGCCTTGTCCAGACCAGACTGCAGCCTGGCTGCGACGTGAGGTAACGATATGTCCCCGTTATTGGCCACCTTTGCCCCCGGTTCCTCCTTCTTCCCTTCACCCATCAACTTTCGGCGGAGTTTCTCGCTGGTCTTGGAGTTCCTCGCCAGAATTTCTTGCTCTTCCCTTGTGCACACCTAAAACAGAGAGGTCACATTTTTTTTAATTATAATTTTATGATTCCCAACAACTAAATTTATTGACTGATGTAAAGCTCTTCAACCCATTATCTCCTGAACTGCCCGAACCTTTCTTGTCTATTACTCCCTACACAGCCCAAAACTTCCCCAACACCGCATGGTTTTCGGGACTTATCACGAAATAAATACAATGTAATGCACTATAACACAAGTGCTAATTGGTTAACATGACGGGGAAACTCCATTTACCCTAACCCTTGACCCTCTGATCATAAGTCATGAACCGTAACCACTACGCCACACTCCTCGAATAGCAACAGCAGTGTAAATTACAGTAGCAGTGTGAAGGTTTAAGGCTTCAAAATGAATCAGAGATGAACTGACACCAGAGACAAGCTGGGGTTCAAAAAAAAAATTAGATTCTGTAGCAACAGTGACTTACGCTTCAAATTTAATACTGACTGACTATTGACAAGATCTTGGGCAAATAATTAAAAAGCAAATTACCAGTGTTCCGCAGAATAGGCAGGGACCAGACCCTTCCTGATGGCACACCACTCGGCCACACTTGAGGCAGTTGGCTACCAGACTGTGCTTCTGGGCCTGACATTCGCACCAGTGCCTCCCCGCTAGGTGCACCACGCTCCGCGCCTCTCCTTCCTTGCTGTACAGCGCGACGTACTTCTGCTTGCGTTTGGCTCCTTGCCTGTTGGCCTGGGCCTCTGCGATGGGTTGATGAGGGGCAGCGGTGGGTGGGACTGTTGCTGGAGGGGGTGGCTGTCATAAAAAAGGCTTTCTGTGTGATTATTTTGTTGCTGCAAATAGTTTCAGTGCTGTAGTACATGTAATTGCACTCAACCCAAAACCATAGAGTGCTGACACAGTTAAGGATAGTATAGGAAGTATTACAGGTACATGTAAGGTGGTTTGGGGCAGTCTTGGGGCATATGGGTTAAAGGCAAAAGGATGTTGCTTTTCACGCATTTTGTTCGTTTCCAATAATAACACCACTCAAAATCCAAAGAAGAATGCTCAAAACATAAACCTGTTGAAGTTTCAGCTCAGTGGATATTACAACCTTTTGATCACGAAACACGATTTTTGTCATTATTACACTTTATTTCCAAACATCAGTCAATTGACTGATTGTTGGCAATCACTTACATTTTTGTTATTTCTTCTAAATGACAGCAATCCAAGTACGCTTTTTGATAATAGCTTGGTAGGTTACTTTTGGGATAAATGCAGATGATCCTATACATGTATGCCATTAAGCCAGAGTTGTAATGACTCCAGTCAATGACTCGACTTGAGTCTGACATGAGTCACAATTTTTGGTGACTCGACTGGACTCGAGTCCCTCATTAGAATGACTCTACTCTACTTGAGGAAGGCTAATAAGACTCGAGAGACCCCCGAAAAAAAGTAGAACTTTACGAAAAATATTTGCAATGACTTACACCGGTGCTGGTTTTTATTCATGTCACGTTAGAATGTTTGCGAATAATGTATACATATACATACATTTGTACGTGGTTTGATTTAATAGTGTCCCCATTAGTTGAATGGCGATCAGCTGGCACCCCCTTTTTATTTTCATTAAGAGTCAAATGTGGTGTCGCCACATGTAGTAGCCCGAATGTAAAATTAAGAAAGGCAAAAAATGACTTTCTCTCTTGTGTTTATTTATTGTATAGTGTTCAAATATTTGTCACTCGAATTGACTCGAGCTAAAATACTTGACTCAACTCGACTCGACTACACACTGTGACTCGACTCGACTCAACCTTCTTGACCTAATGACTCGACTCGACTCGAGTCACTTCTTTAAAATGACTCGACTCGACTCAAGTCACAAAAATCAGTGACTCTTACAACTCTGCATCAAGGTAAAGTAATAGTGGCTGGACTATTAGGGTTAATAACAACTGTGATAAATGTAAAATATGATGTTGATTACTAATTATATTACTTACATCTCCAGGCATTCGAATTTCACTCTTCAAAGCCGACAAGTCGACCTTGATGAAGCCTCCCGGCTTCTTTTCCTTGACTTTGGACTTGGCTTGTGTCTTGGTGGTCTTTGGAGCATAGTCGTTGTCTTCAACTGGCTTCTTATACACCTGCAAATCAATAGATGAATGTCAAAATGAGTGCCACTCATTTTCAGCTTCTCCGAAAATGAAATAAGAACTGAATTCATTTTTGAAATGGTATTGTGTGTGCACACACACAAAACAGATACAAAACATTGAAAAACCCTCCCTCTCTGGCTGACAAATTCAGCTACGCCATCACAGTAGTGACTGTTTTTAACAGTTCAGAATTCCCTTGTTAATTTGATATAGCCAAGCTTTGACTGGAGGTGATTGATATGCCAGCTGTACCTACCAGTTACCTCTTTTGTCTGCTGATGGAATTCGACTAGTCACAGCCTAAACACAAATGTGATCTGTCTGGTTTTTTTATATTAGTCTGTATACAAACGCATGGCAGGGGAAGTGGAAGAAACGTTTGACTGTCTGTGACTGATCAAACAATAAGAGGGTTTAAAATACCTTCTGTGACTATTTTCAATACAAACAGACACTTTTGAAATTGAACATAAGTGGCACCAAAATGGATGAATATCTGACTTCAAAGTGTGAAAGTGTAAAAAAAAGTTGGATTGATAATTCAAAGAGCATTTACTAAAACAGACCTACCATGAAAGTTTTGAGAAGCTGACCAACAGTATAGTAGGGATATCTTGGTTCGAGAATGAACAGTCACAGACAGTCAAAAACTTCCATCCACTTCCCCTGCCATGCCTTTTATACAGGCTAGTCACCAACAGTCAGATCATATTTCAAGCAAGCACTGTGAATAGTCAAATTCAGTCAACAGACAAAAGCAGGCAAGTGGTAGGCACAGCTGTCTTATCAATCACCTACAGTCAACGCACAGCTGCATCAAGCTACATAAACAGTCACAGCCAGTCAATCCTGCTTTAGGTAGGCTGGGAGCTCTTAATTGTTAAAAACAGTCACTTGATTGATTTTGACTGAAAGGACAACTTGGCACAGAATGTATGTTTGCATAGGAGGGTTAATGAAAGGAAACAATCTACAGAACTCACAGTCATATTGTCTGGTGGGGCGGAACAGTGCTTCTTACGCAGCAGTTCCTGAATGAATGCCTGGGCCTTTGGGTCAGCGATGTCCAGCAACTCCTGCAGATAGTCCTCCAGGTCTTTCACATTGTCTATTTCTAAGAGGTACCTGTGAAAGACAAAAACCCAGAAACATTAATCATCATTGGTTTTAAAGCACTGAGTTATCTTTTTTAGGTTTATATTCTTCAGCGGAAAAATCACTGACTTACTGTATACCCAAACTTTGATTAATTTGGCACTTTTACAGACAACATCAATATTTTTTTTTTCTCAGAAAAACAATATGTGTCAGATAGATTTGGTATAGTTCTTTGGTAAAAACTTCTTCAAACAAATATTTAATTTAACTTACCAAAAAGAAAAAAGAAGGGAAAAAAAGAAGATATTTCTGAAAGAAATTAAACTATATACACATGTATAGATTAGATATAATTACCAAAGATGTTTGCAGACTCGAATTGTACTACTGAAGTTTGACAATCTTCCCTCAAAGTTCTCATATTAAGAAATTCTAGTCAGCTCTAATTGCCCTATCCATAAATCCTGTCATGCCTGTGTTTATCAACCAGCTTTTACAAGGATATGAGAAATATGCAATCGTTCACTTTTTTATTTTGGAGTGTGTAGTGAACCCTTCTGAAATTTTATAAAATTGTTCCTAAAAATTAAGAAAATAATTTTCTCACAAAAGTAACAAGCATATAGGCCTAGACCCAATCGGAAATGTATACTGACTTTGGGGGTAATTATGGCTTGTCATAATTTATCAACAAGTTAATTGTTGATCGTGGCATTTCTGAGACTTCATGTTATGTACACGTACATGATGTATTAACCCCCCCCCCCCCAATTTTGGGGAAAAAACGTTGCAACCTGGCACCACTTCAGCGGTTGTCTAAGTTTTAAGTATTCTCTAAATTGAAAATGTTTCTCAGTCTCAGATTCACGTCTTATCATTTTTACAATGACTGACCTTCATTGAGATGATAATGAACAGGGTTCGAAATTAGCAGAAGCCCGCAAGCCAAATGCTAGTCAAAACAAGCGGCGGGCTAGTCAAACTATTCCTTAAGTAGCCCGGCTGGTGAGTCAAAATTATTGGGCTACGGCTAGCCCCATAAATGTGGCCAATTTACTGGACTCCCTCTGTAAATAAAGGCCACACTTTGACATGTACAAAACATGTACAACTTTGTCAAATTTTGATTTTCACATTTAGGCTTAGTTTGTAGTTTATTTTTGCTTTAGAAGCATAGCCTACTCACCCTCTTTATACATGTAGGCTAATCAGAAAGTGCTGCCTTTTTCAGATGTCTATTTTTCGTGAAATTTCCAGATTCGTTGCACACGTTTTCGTATCAAAATTTCAACATGAAATTTCACAAAAAATAGACATCTGAAAAAGGCAGCACTTTCTGATTAGCCTATAAAGAGGGTGAGTATGCTTTTAAAGCAAAAATAATCTACAAACTAAGCCTAAATGTGAAAATCAAAATTTGACAAAGTTCTACATTTTGTACATGTCAAAGTAAGGCCTTTATTTACGGAGGTAGTCCAGTAAATTGGCCACATTTATGGAGCTAGGCTACGGCAAAGATGAACATGATGAAAGAAGAAATAAATAATTTAATTCAGAAAGCAAACCTGTATCAATTTGTATCTAATTTTATCAACTGTTTTAAAGGGTTAATCTGTTTATTAAAAACACAGACAAAAATGCCTCAGAATTGAGCCTGAAAATGAAATTACGGCCTTTTGTATTTGAGCTAAAAAAAAAACACACCCACCAATAGTCCGAGTAACTTGGACCCAACTTATCGCCTTTTTTTAACATTTGGACATGGTCTGGCGATCGCCAGACCATGTCCAAATGTTAAAAAAGGCGATAAGTTGGGTCCAAGTTACTCGGACTAACCCACCAACATGACCAACAACATGCGGGAAAATGCCCGCCGCAGGCTAGTTTAGAGTCAGTAGCCCGGCTGGCTAGTGAAAAAAAAGTCAAGGTCGAATCCTGTATATGAAGAAAAAAAGTGGCGTCAGGTTGCAACATTTTTCCGAACCGGGGAAAAGTTGAACACGACAAAGTGCGCCACCACACATGACCGTGGCCACGCCCACGTCACTACCACTGGGAATCACAAGGGTGCATACCTGCAAATAAACTCCCATAGACACTAGTGCTAAATGCCCGTACTTCAAAATTCTTTTAAAAATACTCAAAACTCTCACAGGTATTCAAGCTGCACAGAAAAATGATGATCAATGTGTCATCTTTCATTTTCTTTTCAATTTATGGTGGGTTGACCATTGACTTTTCGAGATATTTTCACGCAAAGAAGACGACCCCTGTTTTCCCCAAAGCGGAAAAGTAGCCATCTTGAAAAACGATCCCTCCACAACATGGCAAAATAGCGCCACTTTCGAGCCCAATAGCATCCAAAATGCTCAGAATTGGAAGCCCCAAATCCGGGCCAGAGGTTCACTACCATATCTCTTCAATTCCCCAATTTTACGGCGCTCAGAACTCTCTAATATAGAATATTTTGAGGGTATAACTTTTATTCATGAGCTTGGCGGATCGATTTACCGGTGTGTACCCACAATGCCTATCGCGTTTGCGTCTTTCATTTTCTTACTTGGCAAAGTCCTCCGACGCATCTCCTCCTAGCAGAGCTGAGAGTTCACTACTACACCACTGAATCAATGGTCCGATTGAGGTTGCCATCTTGAGCCTTTAATTTACAGTAAAACACCAAAGAGTCAACACAAGCGCTGCGGTGCTCGCATTGCACAACGTGGGGAAATCCAAACACATGGGAGCTGCCATATTGTTTCCGATATGAAACGAAGTCTTCCGAAATATTCCGGACTGATATGACTGGTATGCCATATCTATTCGTAACAGTTAATGTGGTTACCAGCTAATGACCAGCTAATGACCTTTGGCGCGCCAATTCTAAATTTGGCGCGATCATCACAAGCCGTGTAGCGAGTGGTGTGTGCACGCATATCGTAAACTTCCCGAATTGAACAGTTTTGCTGATCGACTGTCCCTTAATTAAGAGCTCAAAAATGGTTAGAACAAAGGCAGATAACTGTGCAAGAAAGGGTAAGTCCCACAGCAATTGTCTTAACTATAATTTCGAAAGGTGTTTCAGTTCAGGTGATTTTTTTTGCGTAACAAATCCTGTGCCTCATTGCCTGGCTGTTCATTTTTGTGAATGTTTTTGCGACTCACTGAATTAAAAAACTTACGTTATTTGGGCCCTTTAATTTAAATTTCCCTACCTACATCTACCTAACCTATTTTCAAATGCCATGTAATCGGAAGCAGAACTATTTTTGTTGGCCTAGGGCTAGGCCTACTAGTTTTAATAACTTTTGTGTCGTGAGTAATTGACATGAATGAGCCTGGTTACTTTCTTTTGTCTTCAAAAAATAGCTGTCGCAGCCAAGGCACCACGAAAAAATCTGGGTGCGAGTAGCACGGCGATGAAAGCTGGAAACTCCATGAAATCTCCTGGTAAGCACCAAGCACTTCATATTCAATAACTTTACAAATAGCATTAATTAATACACTGTTAACTACGGCCTAATTACCTCATCAAAATCAACATTCCTATTGGAAAGAATGTAGTAATATGCCACTTGTTTTGTTGTTTACAAAGTCTGTGGAGAGTCGAGTACATTTCAAAGTATTTTCCAACAAAGTTGGAAACGTTTCTCACTCTCAGTCCCAGATTCATCTCTTTTCAACATTTTTGCAATGACTGACCTTCATGGAGATAATATGTGACAAAAAAAAGTGACGTCAGGATGCAACGTTCTTACCCGTTTATTTACCGTCATGGTTTTTGTGTGCAAATTCTGGCCAAAAAGAAGAGGTCATTATGAAGTTGTTTTTGTTTTATAATCAGCCGGCAAGAAGGGCAAGTACGGAGGAGGTAATCCCGTCTGTCCGAGACCGACGCCAGAGTGGCAGAAAGAAATCACCAATTTCATGATCCGATCTCCAAGAAGCACAACGAAGCAAAAGGAAAACGTGAACCCTGATGATGAGGAAACCACAGGAGCAGGATGCAGCAAGGAAGACAGGTGAGGCCGAGAAAACAATTGTGTGTTTACCTTAACGCCCTAAAAATTATCAGGGTAGGAAGGTAGGACAATTTTATTTATACTTACCTATAAGAACCTATATAATTACCTAATAATTACCAATAAGAAAGTTACATGAAAGGAAAATAAATCAGCATGTTAATCTAGGGTAAGAATGCAGAAGCCAGATTTTATTTTTTATTTTTTATTTTTTTTGCACTTGGTTGGATTTATCTCATGCGCATGATGTTGTAGCTTTATATTAGACATGGTTACGTGCAAACCATTGTGAAGTCGTAATGTGCTCTTGCTGTTTGAAGTTGTGCACACAACACCATGATGTACAGTATGTGTACGTGACCGCATTGGAAATGCGCGCCTGGCTTTTGAGTTAGCCTGATCGCTACCGCTGGCCCAGCTAGCTGAAGCTTGCATGATAGCGCCCCCTCTGTCAATCAAACAGGACCCGTCATGTGATCGCACATCTGAAAACCCGAGCCTGGTGATGCGTCACGCGATCTCACTAGACTAGACTAGACATCGACAAATCAAAAAGAAGGAAAGTTAGCCAAATAACGTGTTCATTTCATAGCCAGACGTCATAGCGAGTTATGGTGAAAGCCATCCATGTACATTCATATGTATGCGATTGTAAAAAATATGGATCTTTTCCTAACTCGAACTTCGGATATTGCCAATTTTATATCCATTCCTTGAGATTTGACGTATCAAGATTTCACTGTAGTCCAAGCCTACTACAGAGACAGTTAATTGAGAAAATTGTTCCAATCCAAACAGGACTGAGGAAGCCCAAAGCAGCAGCTCCAGCAGAACAGAAGAAATATCTCAAGGAATGGAGGAAGAGAACGAGGATGAAGACGTCAACGAGGAAGAGGAGGAAACGGAAGAATCCTCATCAGCCACGTCCTCCAAAAGGAAATTTAAAAAGAACAATTGCATCAGCGACAGCGAAGATGATGATTAAGATTCATATCAAATATGTTTATTACTGTATATAAATTTGTCATAATGTCAAATATTTTTTCCTCTTTGTAGTGCTCAAATATTCCAATTTGAATTTGTGTTTTACACAAAGACAACTTAATTATTTTGTTTTTCTTTGAGTGTCAGAGCCATACCTCAACCGAGCCGCTTTGTTACAATATTCATGTACATTTTTGTGCTTTTAATAGAAAAAAAACAGGGCCCGCCACCCAATTTTTGGACCAAAGCGCTTAGACAATTGGCATTGCCTGCAATGTTTCCTCAGATTATTTCGGAACTTTGCCACTACTATACATGAATGAAACACCGTAATAATGGTTGATTCAAAGGCGCACGTGAAGAGTTCAATTTAAACTATTAGCCCTTCAACATAATTTGTCAAAACCTAACTAGATTGATTAATTCTTCATGTGGTCAGCAGCAGTGTTTTACATGGGAAAGATTTCCATATACGAAGTTCACTAATTTTCCTCTGTATTGACTATTAACAAGCCCCCAGATAGCAATTTCATGTCATCAAAGTCAATTTGAGCAGTGAGAAAATACAAGCATTTTCTTAGAAAACACTTAGAATTTTTCAATCCAATCTCATAGGGTTTGTACACAGGGTGTTGAGTGAACTTCGTATATGGAAATCTTTCCTTTACATGTAGGTGAATCCACAGCAAGTCCATCACTAGTCCTTTCATTAATAAATCACAAGTCTAGTCACCAGTAACAGGGGCTGAACAATAACAAAGGAATGGCTTTGTTATAATTCATTTGAATAGCTTGCGACTTAAGTAGAGACTGAAGGTCTTAAGATGGACTTGTGATGGACTCGACTTGTAGTTGTAACACTAGTCTGCAGAGAGCAAGGACCATTAGCTAAACCCTCCAACTATTTAAGAGGTCACAAACGGTCAATCTTCCTCTCCCCCTGGCATACTGTGTACAAACCAATGGGAGTCTTGACCAATATTGACCCAAGTAATAACAAGTCTCACAATGCATGTTTCCATAGGAGGGTTAGCTAAATTAGTCGACTAGTGGTTGATTTGTGACTTAATGCCTGCACACTGACAACATGCGAACGGCTCTTGTCAAATGGTCAAATGTCCTAGCTCGCTGTTGTAGCCAGCAATGCAACTGTGCCCCATGCTCCGGTTCCAAGGAGTCGACTACAGAGTAGCCCAACCATCCTTCGTTCAAGCAAAGTTAGTCAAAGTATGGTTGACTATAGTTGGCGCCCGAACGTGCTCAGATATATGGGCTTGCAATGGAGCCCTCTAGAAATGAGCTGATGTTACCGACTTGACGTTACTTGTGGATTGCTTTGAGCCCATCTTAAGGCAATCAATTCTATTAACCAAGTTAAAGACAGAAATGAAATATTTATTTGACAATGGCATGGTTTTCAGATATCCCCGTTTTGAAATACCTGTTGGTCTTCGCTAAAAATACAGCTTTTTTCCAACATGGAAGGCTAAATGACAGGCTTATGTTGCAAACCTTGACTTGTGTCTTTCAAGAAATGATGGGGATATTTAAATTGTCTCTGTACTTATCAGGTTCAAGTTACGTTTATCAAGAAACTGATTAAATTAATATTGTAAGGAAAACATTTCATTAATTATAGCAAAAAGAGGGGCAACTGAACTTTTTTCACAGAGTAAGTCTTATTCAATAGTTCTCGTCGGTTGAGATATTTACAAATTATTAAAAAGAAGTTCCATTGGACTAGTTTTAGGATGACGTAGGAATAGATTTGTAGTTTTTGTTCCTTTGTAAGTCTGCTTGTTCTAAGACTCAGGATAAGTGTATCTTTTGTTGTTTATTATTATTTTTTTACGATTGATTATTTCATATTAAAATAAATCTCAAAGTTGTAAATCAATTGATCTTTATTGGCTTTGGCAATATTCAGGCTGGATAAAAATGGTGTCGGAAACATGAAATTCAATGCACTTAATTGGCATATTGGGTATAGGGATTTTAGATTTGTAGTGTACATAGTTTCAGTTGTGTTTACTTGTGTTCAATAAAAAAATTGGTACACCACATTTGTCTTTCTGTGGCCGAGTTTACTGGTTGTCAAGATCGGAACAATTTTAATAAATTATTTAGAATGAGATTGGAAGAAACTTGAGGATTCACATAAAGTGGCGAACTTTAAACCACAAGTTTGATTCTGTAATCCAAGTATTGTTTACAAACTCCACCACGACACACTTGCCATATTCAATTCACTTGCATCATTTTTATTAAAACATCCACAAAGTTTCAATAATTAATCATTGTTACTTTTTAAATAAACCACAGATTGTTGTCATTAATTTGTCAGGTTTTTTTTTTATCGCTATAAACAGGATTTTAATCATGAGACAATTTGTGGAAATATAAGACATCATTTCTCTATACACCAGGTTAAAAATATAGCATTGATTAAGAAAAAAACGGATAGTTTGCAATTTGGGGGAAAAATACAAAGCGCTATGCTAATTAATGCAAATTTGACCGCAGAAATAAAGACTGGGATCAATTAAATCAATCAGAATTAAAGAGGTTGTGGAATGCTCGAAGACATTTCCGTCATTTTTCGGGTATATGTAGCCTAAGGTGTGATGAAATAAAAACGATTATTGTGTCTGTCCTGAAATGAGTACAAAAGGTACTTTTGAGAGCTGTTTTTCAGGTCCTGTTTCGACCCGAATGTGCAATTTGTGTAAAAGTCGTCCTTGGGGGCAGCAAACAAAACATAGTAAATTGTGACGTAATAAACAGGACTCCCGATGCAGCGTATTATAAACGAGTCCTGTTTATTACGTCACTATTTACTATGTTTTGTTTGCTGCCCCCAACGACGCCTTTTACACAAATTGCACGTTCGGGTCGAAACAGGACCTGAAAAACAGCTCTCAAAAGTACCTTTTGTACTTATTTCATGACAGACACAATAGTCGTTTTTATTTCATCACACCTTAGGCTACATATACCCGAAAAATGACGGAAATGTCTTCAAGCATTCCACAACCTCTTTAATGATATTCTTCATCAAAGCAATAAGACAATCTGAATAACTGAACGAGAAGTTCATAAAATCAACTGACAGGAAAAGAGTATTAGATGCTATATTTTTAACCTTGTATTCGACAACTAACCTGCAAAATCTACGTTTTGTAAGATGGAATCTTTACGTTATTTTCTGTGTCCAATTTTTAAAAATGTATTTATTGATGATTTTCAACTTCAGGGCACTGTCACTGCACACTATAGTACGAATCTCCGCACCAACTCGTAGTCATCATTTCATGCGCCAGGATTACGAAGTAATCCAGAACATTATTTGGATCAACACGTTCTCTGAGCCACATGTTTACCTCAAGAAGTACAAAATATCAACCCCCCCCCCATTAAATTTACAGATTTTTAATACCGCAAATGAACTTGGAAAATAACGTGTTTTAATTACAGCCGAACTTAAAAAAAAAAAAGATTTGAAATTCTCAGGAAGCTTAAAAATTCAACTGTAATACAGGAACATCCAAGCAACTTGTTATCTTAGGAACCCTGAAAATTTACCACAAATTATCAAACATGACTTATTTTTATCGAAAACTCCGATGCCGATGCCCCATTTTCACAATTTCCCACCCCCCTTTAGATATCCCTGGATCTGCCTCGGGTTTTGACCATTTGCGAGAACAAATAAAAATCTATTAAATTACAGCAGTGTACAGCAATTTTTGCCGACTATTATGCCCAGAAACTACAAAAAAAACCTTCAAACCTGTTGTCATTTTTAATCTATCAGTAAAACTTATTTCCCTTTAAGAGGTACCAATGTGGCAATGTTATCATATTACAATCTGTTTTTGTAACCAGGTTCTTACACCTTTGGAAGTAATATTTACAAGTAGAAAGATTTTTTTTATTTATTTATCAACAAAGTGAGCAATTTGCAGAGAAATTTGCCCCCGCTATGTTTTTAACTTACAGCTATTTATACAGTCAACAACGAACCAAAAAATCATGACTTAATCTCTTGCTTTTTTCTTAAACAAAAATTCGCTTTTCTTTACAGATTTTTTTTTCTTACCAAATTAATCATCATGGACACAATTATTTTTTCGTAAAGCACAGATAGGGTGCAATTATGAATATTTTTTTTTTCAGTAAAAATACTCTCTAAAGCCGATGTGAAATGGAGAAGTGAGTGATGAATAGGTGCAACAAGTCGGCAAAACACATGACATGTATAACACTAAAAAAACAATAACCTAGAATGCACTACAGAAATGTGTTTTTTTTCATCAACAACAAAAAATGTACATGGGTAATTGCTGTCAACATTTCAACTATTTCATACTGGACATTTCTTCAAGTTCAAGTAAACTGTGCTACAACAAACAAAAGTAAAACAAAGATGAGGATATTCTTGGTCAATGGACAATGCAAAAAAAACCACCCCACCATTTTTAAGCAAAGCTGCCACATTTTCAAGACTGTGGTGTGCCCTGTGTATATTACTTTCATGTATATTCATTTATGCATGATATGATATTCACACCGGATAGAAAATCAACCAAACATATGCACATCATGTGAATATCCGACCAGAATATATTACAAAGTGTTTGCCCACATTTATCATTACTTTTTCATCGTTATGTTTCACTGAAAGCCATTAAAATGTTCCTACACTTACTTTGCCCCTTTATAAATTGACACCACTTTCTACTGCTGCAATATTGTGGGTTCCCATATACAGTAGAAAACAACGTCCAGATTTGATCTTATTTACTACTATGAAGTACAACATTACATGTAAAACATCCTTTTTCTTTCTTTTCTTCTACAGTGTATAAAAAACATTCTTCATTCCATTCCACCAGTTTCAGTAGAAAAATTCATGCAAATTAGACAAGGTCAAGGGTCAGGTGGGTGGGGCTTAGGTGAGGTAGATCATTGTAATGTGCTTTTTTCAAATGAATAGAATCTGATGCATATTCAAGTATTTTAGGGGAGGGGGAGGAGTGTGCTGCAATTTAGATTTTGCATACATGTATTTATTCAGACTTCATTTGATTTCTGAATGCGACCTCTGATAAATTAAACACTTAAATAATAAAATTTAACACAAAATAATATTGAACCATACTTGCCGTGTGCAAATGCAATTTACATAAGCTATAAAGGGGCAGGCCAATATTAATTGCATTTAGGTAATTGTGTTGGGGTTGTGGTTTTAGATTTTTTTTGGGGGGGGGGGTGGGGGATGGGGTAGGTGTTTGAGTCTGAGGGTTGGAGTTTTAGGTTTAGGGGTTGGGTTTTTGGTGGTTGGGGCATTAGGTTTTTTTTTTGGGGGGGGGTTAGGTTTAGGGGTTGGGCTTTAGGTTTTTTGGGGGTTGGGCTTTAGGTTTTTTGGGGGTTGGGCTTTAGGTTTTTTGGGGTTGGGCTTTAGGTTTTTTGGGGTTGGGCTTTAGGTTTTTTGGGGGTTGGGCTTTAGGTGTTTTGGGGTTGGGCTTTAGGTTTTTTGGGGGTTGGGCTTTAGGTTTGTTTGGGTTGGGTGTTAGGTTTTGGAGGTAGAGGTTTGGGTGTTGGGGTTTAGAGGTGTTGGGTTTTAGGTTTTGGGGTAGGGGTTTCAGGTTTTTGGGGTTGGGTTGTAAGGGTTAGGAGCGGGCGTAACGGGTGTCAAGGGAGTAGCACTATCACCAATTCTAGTCTTTCTGTGATCTTATTGAATCAATGCATGTGACTTTTAAAAATTGCTGGGAGTTACAAGTGATATGTCTATTAAGGGAACCTTTGACCCAATTCATTTATATCTATCAAAAATCTTTCTGGAGCAATGCTTATCTTCTATTACATCCAAACAAGTTCATGTCAAATTAACAGTGATTTGTCAAAACAGAAAATAGCAATAACTTTAATACGGGCTGCGAGCAGCGCAACCATCCAGAAAAAAAGAAGAAATAATCAATGTGTCTGCACAGAATGATAAACAAACACATGTCTGACCTGTGCCTAAAGTGCATTGTGGTAATGTTATTTTGTTTGCAGTGATGACACACAGATTGCCATTATACATGTACTCTTGCAAATAGTGCAGTATGTACAGGTTTGTTGAGGACAAAAATCGATTATGTGCGTTTGTTTTGTAATGCCAACCAGGTGCATATGACATAAATGGAAAACAATGATGTCATATATTACAGGGGTAAGTACATTGTAAAATTAACAACAAGAAAGTGGAAAAATAAAAGGTTTTTATTCAGGGAACGAAACTAACTAACCTAAATCGAGAATGCCAACATCTTTAATTGACATTTTTGGGAAAACAATACAGTCACTGTGAATTTGTGACTCCCCCCCCCCCCTCCCCCCCCCCCCAAAAAAAAATTTGGTCAAACTTTCACTGTCCAACTTCAAAGCAGGCGTGCTCAGTGTCCATGCACACTTAGTGCAAGCTACCGGTTACCAGTCACAATTACCCCACAGTGCCAGTACAACATTTGGCTGGTACCCGATCCAGTGCAGCTGGGCAATGTGAAACTCAAAGCAGCAGTGCATTCTGGACACAGTAAGCAGCAATAAAAAGAAATCATCAACAGAACACAGAACTAGGGATACGCCGACTGGAGAAGTGAACAGAAAAAAAAAACCAGGGGAAAATGTTTCTAGTAGATATTGAAGAAAGAGATCCGACGATGAACAAGTATGCAGGCTTCTGCTGGGCGGTCCAGGAGCACCATTGATGACACCACACGTGAGACAGTGAAGCTAAAGATACGAAGTAGATAGAGAAACTGGGTGGGGTCACGGGCGTGGCAGCAGGGCGGGGCGCTATTTGCGACACGTTGGCCTCTTCTTCTTTTTCCTCCTGAAGAAACAGCAACACCTGCGGGAAGAAACAAAAAAAAATTGAAGTTCTGAACAGGGCTGAGTTTCCATGACCTTTATTGATTCAGCTCAGCGGATACTTTTTGAGAAAAGCAAGAAAACGCTTGCACACTTTTTGGCGTCTCACCACGGGCATACTTTCTCAAACCAATATTCAATGATTGTTTTCTTCCGAATGACAACATTTCAGGCGGAACAATTTCACAGGGTATTTGGTACCAGGCCTATCTTTGCTTTGACAAAAGATTTTCTTGTTAAATCGGTAGGCATATTTCCGGGTTATTACAAACGTTCGTACGTAAAGTCAAGTCTGTCACGAGCCCATGTGGCCCATCAGGCCGGTGTTTATCTCCCTTTCAGTAGCACGAAACGACTGAGAATATTTCTACTCCCCCTGGATGGGATGCTAGTCCATCGCAGGTTACTCCCCAGCTAATGCTGGTACCCATTTACACTCCTGGGTGGACAGAGGCAAGTGGGAGTGAAGTAGCTTGCCCATGGACGCAACAAATGACCAGCAGCTGGATTCGAACCCCTGACCCTCTGATCATGAGTCACAGTCACGAACCCTAACCACTAGGCCACACTCCCCACACACTACATGTTCACACACGCCTTTAAAATTGACATTCTAAAAACTGATCGTATTCACTTTGTCTGGGCCAATTTTGTGTCTAAATTTCTACCCCTCATTTACATTGAAGGTTGGACTTACTTTGTGTCGTCTGGCGAGTCGATTTCAGGCTGCGGTGCGATGGGCACCTCCGACCGACGATCCTCGGGCCCCAGCTCCCCATTGGTGGAGCTCATGACCTGAACAGACCCCCGCTGGTCAGCCAGCATGGGCGGGGCTAGCTTGGCGGTTGCTTCGGGCCAGGCACGTGCGGTTGGTGGTTGCTGCTCAAAAACAGACGGGAAAAAACAAATGATTTTCATTATATTCTTGCTAATGAGGACATTATGTCGTTCCCCAACCTAGTACAGCATGAAGACTGGGTCGGCATTCTGTTTTTGCAGGCGAAAGGTTTTGGTTTTCTTTCCCACTTCAACACTGACAGCTCCTACATTGACTTCTTGGTTGGTTCTCCTCCTAAATACTCCGGGAGGTGTTTTAACAGGAGGCCAGAAACACTGGGGCAAACCCCTTTTCTTGGCGATTAGTGTCACTTGCTTCTTTTACGTGTATTGGATTACACAACACACGGGACCTATGGCTTTATGTCCCATCCGAAGGACGAAGCAATAATGGTTAAGTGCCTTGCTTACGGGCACCAGTGTCTACCCAGGCTCGAACCCATGCCACTGTTGCCTCTGAAGCACCAGAGCATGAGTCTAGTGCTCTTAATCGTTAGGCCAAGACACCCAAACAATTTCCAGCCGACAAGTGTAGCTCACCAGTGTAGAGACTGACAAAGTATAAACAAAAAATGCTCAAAACTATATTTGAATGTCTTGTACCTTTTGAGCGTAGCGTGCTTTGTCTCGATCCCTCCCCTGAGGATTGGCATCTTTAGACTGTGACACTTCACTTGACGTTGTGGTGACATGGGATGTCTGAAAGCGAAGAGGGAAGAAAAACATATTTGAATAAAGCTGTAAGAACGAGAAGAAATTGTCCCCCAGTGTGATTAGAAAGGGTTCCGACTATGGTTTTGTTTGGCATACCGGAGATTGGCACATTTGAATTATTTCTGCTCTCGCTGCTAACTTGACAAATCTGACTGGAAAATACTTAAACAACCTCAGAAGAGGGCGCTGCCAAAAAGATTGGTCAACTCCAGTCTTCGGAACTTTGGCGCATTGAACCGAAAAAAATCCACGCATACCTCACGTGCACAATATTCAAGCTAATGTATGCACACGTGTGTGATACCCTCGGAATTCCATCAATATCACCAGTGTGGTTTATCCACTGTCTCGGACAGACTTGAGCAGCTTTTTACTAACTTTGAACCAAGACTACCCACGGGGTCAAGCCTCTTGGAGGACAACCTAAAGCGTCGCTCACTCACCAGCTGTTTGCCTGTCCAGTCAAACTCGGTCTCCTGGCCGAAGCCTTTCCTGTCGTACAGGTCCTGGAAGAGCTTCCTTAAGTAGTTGTAGTCGGGCGTCTCGAAGAAGTCCAGTCGACGGACATAGCGTAAGTATGTCGCCATCTCGTCTGAACCAAGAGCAGAGAAAGGATTTGCAGTTGACTTTATGAGTGAATTTGCAATGAGGGAGATTTGAACTTACAAAGGTGCAATTTTGTCTGGAGATGGCCGTAACTTCTTTCTTCAATAATGTGTAACAGCCATATTTCAAAAGAGTAGGTCATAGAAAATCCACATTACATCTTACGATGTACATTTACAGACAGTAGCGTTGCTAGACCACTTTGGATTCGGGGGGGGGGGGGGGGGGGGGTTGACAATAAGTTTGACGACTGTCCATCCACGCTAAAAGTAGACAGAATTGTTTTCCAGGTCAACACAATTTTGCCGACACGAGGATGATTTTGCTGACAAAAACGATTAAAAAAAGGGGGGGGGGGGGGAAGAGGGCATCTCACACCCCCAAATTCCATTGTGAAGCCCATGTTTACAGAGAAAATGTTGAAAACCCCAATTGGTTTATAATTGCCTTGCCTATAGAACCATTGAATTTCAAACCGAACTGGCAACGTAACACTGGCCCCACATAACATGCATATCACATTTAAGTGACAATTTACTGTGTGATTTGAAGGTCCGATGCTATCTTCAAACACACATGGTGCAGCGATCCTAGTGCGCATTGCTTTGAGGCTTTCATGCTCAAAGAAGTGCCCAGCCAGAAAAAAAAGCAGCAGCAGAAGCAGTAGAGTATTGAAGCACAGAATAGCAATCATCAGCATGAAATGCCATTCTTGGCAGAGCTAAATGACCTCTGCATAGCCAAGACCTTGAAAATTCAACCTCGTCATATCACTGTCAGTTCTAAAAAGTACATGCAAGCCCAACATGCATTCCACTTGACATCAAAGACGATAATGCTGAAATCGGACAAGATTGCCATGTGCGGATGACAATGACCTACCGACATAGTCTTCACATAGCACTTCGATGGGCGTTGCCCGCTTTGTGTCCCCAATCTTCTGGTATCTCTCCTTGAGTGTGTCGGCCTGTAACCAAAGAAACGAGAAAGAACAAAAAATAAATACTCCAGGCTGATTAGCTTTTCACTGTCACTGATATCTGTCACATTTGGACTTTGTGACAGGAAAAGTGCAACCTTGGAAAAAAGAATCTCAAATTATCAGTGATCCTGCGTAATAGTGGAAAATCATGCTCAGATTTTTTTGTTTTTACTTAACAAAAAGATATCGGTCACTTTTGAATTTCGTGGGAAAAGTACAGCCCTGGAAATTAAAGAGACAATGTGGCAAATTCTCCTTGGGTTAAACGGAATGTACATCATTGGCTTTTGCTGTTATTTTCAGAAATGAAATATTTGAGGGGTTAGTATAATAAATCACATATTGTTACACTGACATGTTTGAATTTTTTTGTTCGAAAATGCTGTAAAAACCAAGAACAACAAAAATGTTCAAGTAGTCTGGTTCCCTGACTCCTCTAAATATAAAATGGGTCAATTTACAGATGCCGGAAATTGTAAGGTAAGGGAACCAGTCTAACTGGCCTGCACCCGTTCATGAACATGTAACCAATAGCAAACAAAATTTGGACTGAAAAAAAATAGTAAATTTAGAGCAGTAGTTGAAAAACAGTTTTTTTTCCAACGGTGATCGGCCGACCACCGTTGGAAATTTTTACAAAAATAACATTTTCTTGAAAATGACTTCACACCAGGTGCCACATTTTTACAAGATGCTTTAGACTGTCATTTACCAACATCCTAGTAAGGTATTTCGTAAAAACTTGGTAGTTTTATTTTTCGATGTTTGCAAATGTTGTATATTCCCTTTAAGGACATTTTTTTTTTATCAAAAAAAATATTGTTTAACAAATTTGCCGACAGTATCCAAAAAATAGCAGGGAGCCAGTCCCAATTTATATGCATCATATAATTATCATTTAGCTGGTGATCATTATCATTTTTTTCTGCAGACCAGTTGTCCCTTTTGTTGACTTTGGGTCTTTGCCTGCGGTGCCCCTTTAAAATGTTTCTATAAACACAGTGACTGTCCTCAGTTAAATATCCACCTTTTTTTCTACAGCCACTAATATGCATCTTGAAAGATGAACATCTGCCCTCATAATACAAACTGCAGCATGTGCTGAATGCACACTGATCCAGCTCATTAAACGGCAAAGCCAGTTCGAGTTCGCACGTCTGTATACAGTGGTTTGGTAATGATAGGGTTATCACATTCAGCTCCTTAGGGTAAAGCACTTTCTTTCTTTCTTCAAATCCGGGCTAATTTAAAGAGGTACTCATCCTCACGAGTTTCAACACTTGAGAAGACAAATCACAGAGCCTCTTCTCAGAAAGTCCTTTTAAAAAAAAAATGTCTACACGAACACCTTCCTCATGCTGTTTAAATTTAAGTGTTTAGAAATCTCATTAGGGCTGCGCCGAAGATACCGAATATTTGAAAATTCAATCATCAACAGAACACCAAACCAAAATTGTTTTGATTCAAAATATTAAAAAAATGTTAGCCGTCTCAAATCTCAAATGCCACACTTTTTGTTGGAAGCCGCTTTGGTGCATGATTTTAGAGCTTCCAGGAAGAAAATTAGCTCAAAATTTTCTTAAATCAATCAAATATGAGCAATTCCTGTTCTTTATTATTATTATTATTATTTATTCGGCCAACAAATGAACAAAAGTACAATGACAAAGCAAATACATATCATAAAGTAAACGAAAATTGGAAATTGAAAAAGTATGACCAGACAAGACTGAAGGATGCGAGAAGGAATGGGTCGAGGGGGAGGGAAGGGAGGGTGGACAGTTTGACAGGGGAGAGGAGATAGAGGGACAGAAAACAAAAACAATATAACATTCCAAACCGGCCAGGGTAAACAAAAGTGTACTTAAACACTGTAGCCCTAAGGCCTGCCTACCCATAATATATTATATTATTTTATCAAGCTTTTCATCCATTTTTGACAAGCCCAGGTGCATGCAAATCCCCATCGGCGCCAACTTTAAGGCTGCTGCATGTTTAACTTCATCAGAGCATTTTGAAATCAAACTTTGAATATTTGATCGTGTCCAAGTTGGAATAATCGAAGACTAAATTATTACAAACTGCACATCCCTAAAACTCTGCCAGGAACCAGCAATAACAATTTTACATGACCTTTTAGCTGGTAACCTGTTTTTGTGCTAAGCTGATATCTTCTGTGCTTAGTAAAATGCTGTACCTGGCTCTAAGAAATCAGTCCAAAAGTCAGAAATTCAGCTTCCACATACTCTGGGATGATACAACTCTTAACCATAACTCCCTACGCATTTTTGCTACCTAGATGCAACCTCAATCCTGCAATATCCTCCAACTGCCTCCATGTAAAAATTGCATACAGCCGCAACCTTCCAAAATCATTCGTAATTTCTTGAATGTTGTCCTTGGAGGGGTGACCACTGCCTCAATCCTGCAAAATCCTCCGGCAATCACTGTCAATATGTTGAGGCAGAGCCAGTGACATCCTGGAGCAGTGTGGAGGATATCGAGTATAATATAGGCCTAAATTTATGCACGGCTGAGCATACATGTACATGTACATGAATAAACAACACAAGGTCCGGCCTAAGACAGTGACACAATGCATCCTCGAAAATGTTTGTCATATATAGCCTCAATCCTGCAAAATCCTCCATTTTGCAAAGAGGATTTTGGAGGATTTGGGAAGGTTAGGGTTAACGATAGTACCTGTCACATTGAGAATGCTTGGCTACACGGTATCAGATTTAACAGCTTCAGATTTTCATAACTGTATACTTTTTGGAATGAAAATGGTTCAGTCAAATTTCTGTTCAGGAAAGTTGTCATGTAATGAAGGTCGCAGGTTCAAACCCAGTCCAGTCAATTCTTTGTTCAGTTTAAAAATTTAAATGAAATATGTATATTTCAGGACAGTTACAAATCTCCATGAATTGAAATCCTACACTCTATACTCTGCCCCTGGAGCAGAATGGCCCCCCTCCAAAAAAGAAAAAAAAAGTTTCTTTAAATTAAATAAAATCAGTTAAAAAAACAAGGAATTGCAATCTAACATCGACAGCACAGACTTTATGTCTGGCTTTCAAGAGCATCACACACATCAAAAATAAACCATTCATTTTCAATACAAAATAGTCTCATCATGGGTTCAAGGTACATTGTATATACGGGTACGTACATGTGCATGCAGAAATGTATTATTAGTCATACATGTTCATACAATTGAAACGAATAATTTGTTTTCATGTGTTAGTTCCGGTTAAGTTAAGTACCGGTACATGTATGTACTTTGCTACAGATTAAATTAATGCAGATATTTAATGTACATGACTTATGTCTCGACACCAATATAAACATTTTACATGCAATTTATCATAACTTTTTATGCACGTACATGTACATGTACATGAATGGGATGAAGCATTACTGTTTTTGTATGAAGTACTGTGCGGTATGCTGCTCATTAATGCATACAAATAATACATGCACATACATGGATGTGTCAAATGCCGTAGGCTTGGTTTTTAATGCAAACATCTGGTAATAGACTTTTTAGCAAGTACTGTCTGTGTTGTTCAATATGTTCAAGTTTTTTACCTATCCAATTTTCAATTTGTATGATTTGTTTCAACTCTTCCCCCCCCCCCTATTTTTGGCATCTGCAACCATGTTTGGATGTTTTGCGCAACAAACAGACCCATTCTGCGGGTAGACTGGTTCCCGGTCCATACATTATTGATCCTGATAGGGGGCAGGCACCAGTCCACTATGTGAAAATTCAATCATTGTCAGGTTTGATTTGAAGATTGTGAGGTAATCATTCCGTTACTAAACGTGAGCGCACATTTTTCGTTCAATGTCTCATTCAAAGTGAATCACGTATTGCTAATGCAACAGCAACAGAAAAAAAAGGTATAATTTGGGATGAAACTTAAAAAATAATATCATAGACAGCACATCTTTAAACAAAATGGTTACGTGGGAATTGTATAATATTGGATGGCTTTGACGGGGATACAAGAATATATTGCATGAGCTATATTAATATTGCATTCAGTCGAAGACAAGTTCAATATTGTTATAGCGCCAAGTGCAATATATTCTTGTATCCCTCGAAAAAAAAAGCCATCCAATATAATTATTATTTAAATCAGGCTGACTGGATCCGCAAGATATAACTTTCAGGAATCAGGACGCTGTCTTTATTTCTCTAATTTCGTTGAATATTCCTCCCTTACTGAAGCAAATTTCGCACCACTGAAGCTGCTATTGTGGTTGTTGAGAACAGTACTTGCTGCACGCTGCATCCGCATGCGATGGTACCGCGCGCTATGCTCTGTTGATTGGTTGACTCCCAGCTTCTACGCTCTTGAAGTTTGTTAAAATCCCTGGATGAGGACGATATTAAAAACCAACTAATATTGTCCTCATCTGGGTACTTTCACCATAGAGCAAGGACCTACTTCAGTCGTCCGGGTCCTTTTTATGAAAAAAAAAAAGGCGCTGATTTATTTTTACCACTGGAGCCTGATGTAAATAATAACACTTATTAACTTGGCGAAAACATCATATTTGTCCAGTATCGGCCAAGCTATTGATAGTTCACTCATTAAAATATGCAATTCGCTGGGGCTTTGTCCAATCTGGGCGCAAAATACGCCGAATTTGGGTCAAAACACTCAGGTCTTGTGAGCACAACCTAGATTGTCAAAAAAAGAAGAAGAAGAGGATTGTACTTTGGCATAGATGTTTGACTTGGCTCCGCTGCAAAACACTTGTTAGTAAAGCGATGCAAAGTGCAAAACTGCCACAGGAAAAAGGGTGTCCGTTCTCCAAGTGAACGTGATAAAAATCCCCCCCAAAAAAAGGTTAAAACCAATGGAAAATGCATTGTTTGCATAACATGAACATGCACAACATGTAAAGGTGTACGTACATTTACATGTCCACAACATGTACTTGTACATGTACATGCACACAGTCAACATGTT